AACGTAAGGAGGCTAAGTTAGATTATAAGGAGCGGAATATAAGGCTTTAAGATAAGTAGATAAGATAGGCGATAATTAAGTATAAGGAGGCGGTAGCGAGATGTTATTAAGATAATAAAGATAAGCTTACGTATACTTAACTACTTTATTAGATAGAATTATAGTATTACGGGTTTAATTCTATAATACCTATATAGATACCTACGTTTCCTTAACCTTAACCTTAATCTTGCCCTCTATCTACTTATAGTTTAAATTATTCGCTAACTTATAAGACTCGTTATAAAATACCCCCTTAGACACGAGTTATAGAAACCTTTAGTAGTCTAGTATAACTAGGGCGTTACTAGGCGGATATAGTACTATTAGCTCTTAAATAGCGTAAGAAGATAGAGACTTATAATAAGACGAGGGCTAGGATATACGAATTAAGACTATATATAGATAATAACTACTATACTTACTACTATATTAAGGAGATAACTTGGCCTAGAACTACTTATTATAAAGCCGCGAAGATAGTAGGTATTCTACTTAGTATTCTACTAGATATATATCTATAATAATAATAATAATAATATTATATAACTAGGTAGAGTAGTACTCTATAGGCCTATACCTCCTCTAGTCTAAGCCACTATATAAGAAGAAACCCTATAGGGAAAAACTTCCTTATATCTATAACTATATCTCGTTAAACCTCTATTTCGTCTTAAGTATATAGCTATAGGGTACGCCTATTAGCCTATAGTCTATATTACCGTTATTTTACCCTTAGGTAGCACGTGTAGATGCGGAGGTTATTAGTTAAGGGCTGCCCCCGACTAATAATTAGGGTTCTCCTAGGGTTCTTCCGGTATATATCGGGTTACTACTAGCGTATACTAGGTCTCTTCTAGTATATATTTCTAGGTCTACTAGTACTAGAGGAGTAGTAGATATATAAGTATCTATTAGGAGACGTCCTTAGGGTACTTATTAAGCCATTATACGATATCTAAAGTCTTCGTAACGTGGATAAGCTATTACCGTTATATATAGAGGTTAGGGTATATAGCTAGATAGTAGCGTATTATATCTCTCCGGCCATACGCCTTATACCATAGAGAGGTATCGGGAACGCCTCTCTTATAGATATAGTATAGAAGTCCTATGGCGCCCGTTCGGGCTTAGATAAGTATAGATACTTAGGCTTTCGTTAGCCCTTTATATATCTATTTACTCGGTTCCTTCTATAGCCCTCGAATCTACTCTAGGTACCTATTCTACTAGAAGGTCTAGTAGGCACGGAGTACCTCTTTCTACTTATCTTAAGTCTACGACCGTATATTTTTTACGAGTTCTTAAAGGCTCTACCGGTCTAGGAGAGTGTCCGGGTTATCTCGGACTTCTTATACTACTTAGCTAGAGTCGGCTTCTATTAAGCACCTGTACCGTATTTAATTCCAGCCTATGTATAGAAGTGCGCGGTAATGTATACTAATTCGTGCGCGTAGCGCGGCGAAAGTGTATTCTACGTTTCCTATGCGTTCCTATGCTTGTTATTTACCTCTAGTTCGAAGTCGGATGACTCCTACAGGTTCGACGTGCCCTATACCATTAGGCCCTACTCCTGTTTTCGCCTTATCTTATCCCCTTTAGGCTTATACCTCTAGCTCTACTAGAAGAGGGGCATAACGCCTTATCTAGCTAGGAAACTATAAGGTTTACTCCTTAAACTCATGTTACTAGCGTGCGTGCCTAGTAATACATTCTATCTCTTTATAAATCGATACACGTATCCGTTCTCTTAGACTATATAATAGTCTCCCCGGCTAGAACGTGATCCCGCCTACTTCTAGATATACTAAAGGTTAGAGCCTATTAAAGGGGTAAGGTCCTTAGAGCTAGTAGTTACTACTATATACCACGCCCCGCCTTTAAGCATAGCTACTATCTAGTTTTATATTACCTATAAGGATCTTTCTACGATAGACCGACCGTGTCTTATAGACGAGTATCCTTTAAATCCTATACGTGTATACTCGCGTGACGCGCCTAGGCGACTTAAGTATCCTCTATCTACTAACCCGACTTATTTCTACTACTTTTTAATAGGTCTCTATAGTCGTCTCTTACCTATATCCGTATACTATTATCTATATATACTAGCGCCCTACCTCCTATAGTAGACTATAATATCTCTCGTACGCGGAAGCCGCTCTATCTATTCTAGACCTAAGCGGTATCCTATATCGAGCGAAAGGTCTTAATAGAGTCACGCTACTAGTGGTCGCGCTAGGCGTCTTAATAAACGTAGTTTAATACTATAGGAGAGTTAGCCTTAATAAGTTCATCCGTAGTAGTTTATAGTTACCCTCGACGTAATTTCTTGCTAATCCTTATATACCTAGAGCTATTTAAGCCTCGAGGTGTCCTATCGCGCTACTAGAACTTCCGCTTTCTCTACCTATATAGTAAGGTAGATTTAGGCCTGCTTTCGATATAGTAGTAGCGTATTAGATGGTTTTCTTATCCTAGTATCCTCGTGGACTCCTCTTAACGCGTTAATTAAGAATAGGATGGAAGTATATACTATCCTAGCTAGTTTATTACGGTGTGGTCCCTATAGAGTAACGCGTCGCGAAAACTCTATAACCACCTACCTAGCGACGACGAGGTCGCCATTAACGCCGCTCTAAACCTCTTACTACCTCCGAAGAGGCATTGCCTAGCTATAACGACGTGGACGCGGTTCGTGAGACTTCGTAGCTAGATATATATCTATACCTTTATAAGTATAAGGAGTAACTTAAGGTAAGTAAGGTAGCGTCCTCGCTCTAGGCGTTTACTATAACTAGTATAACTAGTATTTAGATAGGGATGGTATAGTGTTTCTTAGAGTATATTTAGGAGTATATATTTATATATTAAGGCTATATACTTAATGAATAGTACCTAAAACGGATATATATATAGACTATTACTAGCTAGCTAAGCGACTTACTTATTAGTAAGTTAGTAATAAGTAAGTTACTTAACGAGTTTATAAAAAAGTCTCCTAATCTCCTTAACTTTAGTAATCTCTCTACTATCTCTATCTTATCTAAACCTCTCTAAATTAGTAACTACCTTCTACTAGAGCGTCTTATTAATATAGTATCTATCTATAGTATATTTAAAGAAGTATAGAGCCTACTAATTAGCGTGGCTATATATAAATATAATATAGAGAAAGTCCTTAAAAGTTCGAGATTACTAACATATCTAGGTATACTATCTATAAATCTATACCTTTATTACCGCCTATACAAGCTTAATAGAATTAAAGTTAGATAAGTATAGTAGCGTATACTATATGATATAGCTAGCGCTAAGTATAAGTAGCTTAATCTATTAGTTCGTATAAAGTATAAGATTATCTATAATAATTATTATTATACGCCTAGGGTATTTTACCTTAAGAGTAGGTAATAGATATACTTATAGCTAGGTATAGAACTTATCTATTAAGAAATAACCTTCCTTTATCTAATAGTAGATAAAACTATTAGCTATAATAGCTCTATATACACTATATATAGGTCCTCGATTAAGAGTACTAATCTTAGTTAGAGTCTATTCTTTTAGTACTCTAGCTCGACGCCTCTATCTAATTTTCTTATTAAAAATAACCTTATCTAAGAAGATATACGAGTCTACTAGTAGCTCCGCGATATCCTTAAGGTATAAAGTATATACTATCTCTAAGCGCGTACTACTAATATATTTTAATAGCTTATAATTCTACTCTTACTTAGATAACTCTTTAGATAGAAGCTATTTAGATATAGTAAGATTAAACTCTTTATATATCTATCTAGCTATCTTATTAAGGTATAGCTAGCCCTTACGAAGTAGTCTCTTAAGTAGTTATTATATTATATAATTACTTAGTTAATGAGGTGGACTATGATGTGTTAACTGCGGTTTATTCCTCTATCTATATATCTTAAGGTTAAATCTTATTCTATATACTATATTCTTACTAACTTTAGTAATAGTGATAATCTTATTAATAGGTATATTATATTATAGGAGGAAGTTGATTCGTCTATATATGGAATCGGGATAGATAACGCCCTAGGGTACTATATATATACGCGTTAGTAAGTTAAAAATACTAAATATTATATATACTAACTCTTATATACTATATTATATAGTTATAGACTCTATATATATATAGTACGGCGACGATACTATAAAATGTTAATTATATATAAAAACGCGTGTTGGTGGCATAGACGTGCATCGGGCGCCAAGCTTTCCCATGTAACTATGGACAAACGGATTTGATTTCGCGAGGATAAGCTGCAGCTAGCAAGGGGGTCCTGCCGGTTGCTAAGACGTCATCCATGCATGAAGCTCGAAAAGGCCATTGAAGCAGCATTTGATCAGACAATTCCACCTGCTCAACAGTGTAAGAGTTATGATTTCATGAAACTATATCAATGATTGCTTTGGACATGATGATGAGCTCGAGTCGAAGCGTAGTGTATATGCGCAGGATAGCCTAGCGTTACATCGGCGAGATGCCCGTAGTTCTATCCATAGAATTCTCCCCACCTTGAACTTCTCACCTGCAGAATTCAGCGATCGCGCAACACTCTGACAAATCCGAGGCAGGATCTACCTAATCACCATAATCTAGAACATCGAACAGTGCTATCGTTCGGTATAGTCGTGAAACTCGCTCACCAACACTCCCGTGATCCCTCGACCGGCCTAGCCTGATAATTCTTGCGTCATTCCGTTGCTTCGATTTTCGAGTCCCACGTCAGACTGCTGCACGTAAAGCGCGACATCTATTAAAGCTCTACTTGCCACGCCGTTACCGCGAGTAGCCCCTGCTGCTTGCCCTCAACTCTTTCAAACTGTCGCTCATCACATCCCTCAAAGTTCTCAATACCAGCTCTCAAAGACTGGCTACCGCACGATTACAAAGCTTTACACGGCAGTTCTCGAACTCGACGACAGCCATGGCACCAGTGCCGAAAGAGTGTGACTATTTGGTCATTGGAGGTGGTAGTGGTGGTTTGGCATCAGCCCGGAGAGCTTCTTCAAAGCATGGTGCCAAGGTCATTGCTGTGGAACATCAGCGACTCGGGGGAACTTGTGTCAATGTCGGGTACGCAGAGCCTTCTTGTTTGTGTAGATAATCTGAGCTGACAGCGAATGGTGCAGATGTGTACCCAAGAAGGTTACCTGGAACGCAGCCTCTATCGCCGAGACCATCAAGGAAGCAAAAGCTTATGGCTTTTCGGTTAAAGAGACAGCGCCATTCGATTGGCCGGGATTCGTCAAGAAGCGTGCTGCGTACGTCGAGAGATTGAACGGAATATACGCAAAGAACCTCGACAAAGATAAAGTGGAGCTTCTCCGAGGCCGCGCAAGGTTCCTGAACAAGCATGAAGTCCAGGTTACGATGAATGATGGCTCAGAGGTCAATGTCAAGGCGAAGAAGGTCCTCATTGCTGTTGGGGGCTACCCTACACTACCTCCAATTCCAGGTGCCAAGGAGCATGCGATTACGAGCGATGGCTTTTTCGAACTTACACAACAACCAAAGAAGATTGCTGTCGTAGGAGCTGGCTATATTGGTGTCGAAATGGCTGGTATGCTGCACGCGCTCGGCTCGGAGGTGCATTTTTTCATTCGTCATGACACTTTCCTGCGAACTTTCGATCCTCTTATCCAAGAAAAGGTTACTGAAGAGTACATCCGCCAAGGCATGCATCTCCACAAACGGTCTTCAATCACGAAGATAGAGGATGCTGGCAATGGGCAGAAGAAGATCACAGTAGATCTGAATGGAAAGGAGGAGACGATGGAGGTTGACACTGTTCTATTCGCCATCGGACGTAAACCTGAGGTGGACTCTCTGGGTATCGACAAGATCGGGCTGGAGGTTGACGATAAGAGCCATATCAAGGTCGACAAATACCAGAACACCAATGTTGAGAACATCTACGCTCTTGGAGATGCTTGCAACGCTGGCTTCGAGCTCACCCCTGTCGCCATCGCTGCTGGTCGGAAGTTGGCTGGGCGTCTTTTTGGTGGCTTGAACGATGCTCATCTTGTGTACGAGAACATTCCCTCAGTTGTCTTTGCTCATCCCGAGGTTGGCTCTATCGGCTTGACTGAACCTCAAGCAAGAGAGAAGTATGGAGACACCATAAAAATTTACCAGACTAGCTTTACCGCTATGTACTATTCCATGATGGAACAAGAAGACAAAGGACCTACTGCATATAAGATCATTTGCGAAGGTCCAAATGAGAGAATTGTTGGTCTGCACATTCTTGGACTTGGTAGTGGTGAAATCTTGCAGGGCTTCGGTGTTGCTATTAAGATGGGAGCGGTATGTTACACATCATGTATGATCAAATCGAATCCTAACACCATGAATAGACGAAGCAAGACTTTGATAACTGCGTTGCTATCCACCCAGTATCTGCGGAGGAGCTTGTGAGTTTACACGGTTATACTTGAGTATGTCAGCTAACGGTACCAGGTAACGATGACTTGAGGATGGTTTATTCCCGTTTGAAGATTTAGTAGACATGACACCCAACACGAGTACAACAGAATTTCCGATTTGAATGAATACCCTGAACTTTAGAGCCGACTCCTAACAGAAGCTTGGTAGACGCCATATATTTCTCGTCCGTCTTGCCAATGCAATGATGTCTCAATGATTGATTCACGGATGGTCCGTATTTTTTCTTTCTCTGTCTGCGATGATTCAAACTTAAATCATTGCGATCTATAAGTTCAAAAACGAATCTTGCCTGCCAGGACGTGTTGCGTAACCATACTTTGTATTATCATGTCGAGATATTCCATACATGACTTATCTCGTGTGTTTCATTTTCTGCCAATCTTCTCTGCGTGATAGATTCTTATTACCAGTATTCAAGCTTATATTTTACATTATCCCAACAATGGGTCTCGTTCTTCGTATCGTAATGCATCATCTTCCATCTGTTCATTGACCTGCTGCCCGCTATGACTTGTATATTTCTCTTCACGCACGGATATGCGGACATGCGCTAGTGGGACTCTACTGTAACGTATCTTGCATCTACCGTATAGACGTGTTTCGTCGTATATCACAATTGCGATTTGTTCGACTCGTTTTCTTTATGACATCTGGGGAGAAGATAAGTAGTCAATATGTATATGTACTTGTGTCAGTCGACCATACCTGCTTGTGCCATCAACCTTTGTAGACATCCATGAATGACTCGATTTATTTAATTCCTTTGCTTCTTCCTTAGCATATTTCACCACTTCCATATGACGCGGCTGTTGTGGATGGCCGGGTAATGAATGCGGTTGGGTTGTGCGATCTGTGAATGAGAGGGCCTGCTGTCATTGCTTCCTGCTCTACTATAATTGATCATCGTATATCTCTTCATAATCTTGAATTTTCTGAATCGTCCTAGGAAGAGCATCATTGTCTTTCAGTCAGTGACGAAATACATCCATCGCCCTCACCTTACTCTAGCCCGGTACAACTATTTCCGAGCATTCTGACACTCCTTAGTGAAAGCTCGGGTGTCCTGGAGAGCCTGTATCTCGAATCTTACTGGTACACCACTAAGTGGGCTTCTTCAGCTGTGAAATTATGATACTAAGACTCACTTTGTGTAAGGGCGACTCATAGACAGACTGATGAGAGACCCTCCACTCTCACGGGTTCTTTCACATTGAAATCCAACGCTAGTAAACATCGCCATAAACATCAACGAACTTGCACTGTGCCTCATAGTCAGCCAAAGCGTTGGTAACCTAGGCTTCACTTCACCGATAACAAGGACTTCGCCAGGGCAAGATCCATTTTTGAGATCAGGGTGGTGTTGTTTGGAAACCGCACTCATCTACGACGGTCGAACTCTCTCCTTGCCCATACGCGAGCATTCTAACACGAACCGGGGTTATCTGGATGACCGAAAGAAGAACTAGTAGATATACAGATCGGAGGCTTCAATATCATACATTAATAGGAGCTCAAGGGTTTTTTCGACACAATGGCAGGTCCTACAAAGCCCACATCTAAGACATACGTTTCTCTTTCACCTCCCAAGGTGTCTGGCCAGCAAGAGCCACGAGAAAGTCCTCCCTCAGATACCAATGCTTCAGCCGGTTCCGCACACTCTAGACCGGCGCCAACCCCTAATTTCTCCTTTGATAGGGACACGACACCATCGACAGACTCTCTGGAGCTAGATACCTTGTTGCTGCCACAAGAACAATTTGATAGCAATTTAGCACAAGAGACTCAGACGTTTGGGAACTATGAAGAGCAGAACACACCACCAGTTCCTGATAGATCTCCCGAACGGCCCTTTCCCTACCACCGTACAGTGAGCCCAGTGAGCTCCAACAGCGGCACATATCCACCAGCTGTAGTAGAGCCGGACTCGGACTCTTCTCCAGATCTCAATAAACCGCCCTCTCCACCCCGTTGGCTCTATCACGATACTCAGAACCCCGCCACTATAGCCATAACAACACAGCAAAGTGAGTTACCCGAATCAACTTATCAAGCTACAGAACTTCAGATCCTGAAACCCGTTGTTCGTGGCTCGCACCTTTCGACAATCGTCCCACCACCTCTTTTCTCCGTCAAGACGGCTCTCAGTCCAATTCAAGAGCATGGAACCCAAGAAACGACCATAACTTCTACACAATCCTCCAGCCCGGTTTTGACTGACCCAGTCGAAGCCTCCGCTCCCGCCCCGCGTCTGGCTGTCCCGTCACAAAATACTACACCGTCGGCTGGTACGCCGTCCGGCGATGTCTATTTCAGCCCATCAGACATTGGGTACGCATCTTCAGAATCTTTAAGCTCGAGCAGAGGAGGCGGGTTCAGAGCGCCAGATTCGTCTGGCAAACAGCGAATCCAGGAGATACTGCAGTTGAATCCCGAGCAGGAACGCAGCCGTAGGATTCTGGATGGGCTCTCCGTCAGCAATGCGTCGACCAGCAGTTTTGACCCGATGACGGTCTACCAGCAGATCGTACGCGCTGCGCATCAGCAGCCAGGCCATGAAGACTATCATCTGCGGACACCGTCCGAGGAGGCGCTGCATACACTGAAGAAGAAGGAGGCCGCAGAACGAGCTTGGAGATTTGAACACGCCAGGATAGAGGGCCAGAAGGAAGAGGCCCGGAAGTATCAAGAGGAGCTGGCAGGTGCTGCCGCGACAGACGAACTCCTTTGGCGCAGCTACGTCCCTACGACAGCAGCGAATTCGACGTGGAATTTAGCGGAGGAGGGTGTCACGAAGACGCCCGAACGGCCTCGTTTCCTCGCGAGTGCTCCAGACCTTCATAATGAGCCACGTCCCAGCTTCGAGCCATCAACACCAGTCCTTGAGACGCTATCAATGGACGAGACCTGGGGTGCGGCGGCTGCGGAAGAGAGGAGAAGAATTGAGGAGATGCAAAGCCCAGGGCAAGCCAGACGGCGCCGCTGGCATATCCGTAGCGGATATCACACGTCGTTGCACAGGTGGCGATTGAAAGAGCGTGTGGAAAGTGCAGTTTCTCTTGTGCGCAACCGGGTGGAAAGTGCGGCTAGGAGGGTACGTATAGGAGTCCGGTTTGCAGTGAAGCGTCATTTCATGCGTAGCCATTAGAGCTTTTGACTGTTTAGGGAGTTCTCTGAGACCAACCATCTATATACCGTACCATTTGGATATCATTTGAGCTATTGAAGCCTATGCATCACACTCTTTTCATTCTGAAACACTGTGTCTCCTCAGAATGCTATAACTCGAGCCGTCCCGGTGGCATTCCCCAATTCATCCCATTTTTTTCGAAACCATATCTTGATTATCCTGCTATACAGAACTCTTTCTAACTTATGCCATTGTAACCCGACTGTTCGCGCTTCCCGTGCATCTTTTCGCAGCTCAGCCCATCGTCCAGGACGTGGAGGCGGCTACACTCCACCAAAGCTATGCGGTTTCGATGGCATGCTGATATTAGTAGTGGATACAGATAACTTAAGCACCTAATGTATATAGCAGCGTCTGTTGAGTGAGCTAGAAGGTTGAATCCAGGTTTTGCAGTGCTGATGACACTGAATTTTCAGGTGCTAGATACACGTGAAGTGGATCCAGGCAGATTCCCAGTTTCATTTTGCAGCATCCAGAAGCCCGAGTTGCGATTTGATTGTGCAACAAAAGTACCATTCGTAGAACGTGTATAGGCATCTTGCGGTTCGAGGGGGACTGGGAGATCGGTGATACATAGCCTAGAAGCTCTGCTGTGAGATAAACAGCATTATACCGCTTATACATGCCATGTGCATCCCAGCGTAAGCCAATTCTACCCAGTTCGGTAGCCTGAATAAACGCGTCCAAGCATACGGGTGCCTGATCTCCCACGTTGTTCACTACCCACGGACCACCTCGAGGACCCCTGATTCTCCCAACCACCTCTCTCGGTGCGCTCGCACTTTATTTATTTTACTAAAGCTAGAGACCTTCATCGTTGAGATACGATGGCCTGGTGGTGGACGCACGTCCCAGGTGCAAACCTATTCGGGACGCCGAATGCTGGTTTCGTATGGCAATCCGAGTAAGTTTGGGCCCCGGTTCAACTTTCAGTGAAGCCAGAGCTTTTGTATTTTGTGCACAGCTCAAGAACAGAGGCGCTAGGCTGCATTAGGGAGTGAAACAGGCTGGAGAGGCGTGGAACATACACGAATGCTGACCTTTTGACTTGAATGACAGTATTTGCTCCGATTATCTGTAAATTATCCGGTTCAACTACCGACTACGACGCGCAGAGAAACTCCGCATGCTTTCAGACACGCCATATCCATCTCGGAGTAAGCCACCAACACCCTCAAGACTCAACCCGCTTGTCTCGGGATATATCATCCACACGCAAGCCCAGCCTGCCACACACACGAGCATGTATATAGTAAACGTCCCCACTGGAGTCAGCCATGTCATCATAGGCAGGAATGTCAAGCCCACAAGCGTGTTCGAGCCCCAGTTCGTGCTTGTTGCGAGTGCAGAGCCAAGTGCGCGCACAGAGAGTGGGAAGAGCTCTGATTGTTGCCAAGGCACATTGCCAAGTCCGATGGCGTAGCCAGCGACGTAGGTTATCATGGCAAAGAGGATGACAAGCGGCCATGCCGTGGCTTTGTTCCCTTCACGGCGACCGGGTAGGTGAAAGGCCCGCAGAAGAAGAGCATCTTGTGGCGAGGCCGTTGGAAGTTGAAAGAAATTGAACGCGATACTACAAAGGACCAACCCGAAAGTCATGATGGGGATGGAATAGAGTAGGATGCGGCGGCGGCCTATGCGATCGATGGCGTAGAACGCGACGATGGTAAAGGCGAAGTTTGTGAGTGCGATGGAGAGAGATGTTAGGGTTGGTGAGCGGAAGCCAACAAGGGAGAAGATCGTTGCGGAGAAGTACATCAAGGAATTCTATATAGAGCGTTAGTCAGGAGTGGCAAGGCGAGGGGGCAGGCATACGAAGCCGCAAAGTTGTTGGAAGCCTTGCAGCATACAGGCAATTGAGAGAGCGCGACGGTTTGCAGGAATAAAAAAGAGTTCGCACGCGTTGGCGGTAATTCTGCTCCACGCTGAACCATCTTCTTTCGGGCCCGCAGCAGTCTCCTCTTCCATGACCTCTTTCTCAATGCGACGAAGCACACTTTCAACAAGGGCATCCTGGTCGATACCATACACACTGGTTAGAATTCTCTTTGCACGCTCACGACGTCCAGCTTTGACAAGCCATCTCGGCGTTTCGGGCATGAATCCTAGAATGCAGAATTGCACAGCAGCAGGAAGAGCACCAAGGCCGACCATCCACTTCCATCCGTGTGTTTGGGTGGAAAAAAGCCATCCTATTAGATACGCCACAACTTGTCCACCAGTAATGAACAGACTTGATATCGTAACCAGACGTCCCCTGAACGGGCTAGGAGCAAGTTCCGAGATGTATAGCGGCACCACGAAGCTCGCACTACCAACAGCCAAACCAACCACGCTGCGCCCACCGATCATACCCCAGACGCTGGTAGTGAGTGCTTGCCACAATGCTCCAATTATGAACAGTATGTCCGCGACGAGGATGACGCGCTTCCGGCCGAGCGCGTCAGCAAGGAGGCCTGTGATAGGAGAGGCTAGCAGTGCGAATAGTGATGTACAAGACGTGATAAGCGACTTGTCGAGTGTGGTAAGCGGACGATTGGACAAGTCAGAGCCGATCGAGACAAGTGTAGACGATATCACTCCCGTGCTGTTATTCGCATCGTCAGGAATGCATACCGATATGTAGTCTTGCGCTGAACCTACTCATAGCCAAACAGCAGTCCACTCACGCCAGCAGCCAGTGTTAGTCCCCAGATGAAGCTTCCAGCAGCCTTTATTTTGCTTTCATATCTCTCCTCCACATCATCATCGTCCTCGGGCAAGTCTGGGGAGTACTGATCACCCGGGATCAAGGGCTCAAGAGCTGCTGCCACCCCGCCAGGCATGTCTGGAAGCTCGATATCGGTTGATGAGGCCGTGGCTTTGGTCTAGCTTCAGAGTGGCCATGAAAGGCAGCTTGGTGAAGTTGATATGATATGACTAACGTAAGACATAGTCGTCGCGTTTGCAATGCTCATGGGATCAATCATGCGGCTACCAACTGAGGTCGCATAGAGCTAGGAAGCCTTACCGCATTAGGTTAGGACATGGCTGGAGTGCCCATTCCGTTCACTCGATGTCGCGCTAAGCTATATTAGCTACGCGCACGATACGCTACATGCGTCCAGCCGACATATATCTGCAAATAACCCTACCTGCCCCCCGATAGTGCGAGAGTAGGATATTGGAATCTAAATATGGTTCTGTTGGACGAAGATAGTGGTAAGGCTGTTGCAATATGAATGTGTCAAAATGTTTCATTTCGCTGGTAAATCGGCTTGACCCTGTTCGAGAGTTCTTCGATCATACTCTCCGTATTGGCGATTGGCGGCCGCTTGGCTGATGTGGTGCAAGGCAGAAGCTGCGTTTGGTTATCCGTATACCGCTGTGCCACGTTACGTACTGACAAAACATAGAAACAGGGCTTTAGGTGTATCAAGAGGTTGGTTCTTTATATTTTTTTGGTAACCTTGTTTCGAAGAATGCACTATACCTCCTCGCAATGCTATCATATTATTACATCTACCTTGCTCACGCTCTCGTAGGCGCCGCCATCTGGAAGCTCAGATCGGGTATTGCTTCATTCGCACACAGGTTCGCCTCCCTGTGCACCGATAACCTCCCTGCCAAATTTTCTGATTTCGCCCGAGAGTCCGTCTCTGTGTCTTGTGGTAGCTTCTTGAGTGAATACTCTGCATATGCAAACCATAGCGAACCGTTCTTGTTCACAAGAGTCTCCCTGCCTGCTGCATCTGACAGCATATACATCTCGCCTTCTGGTATGCTTTCTGCCCTTGGATCAAGTTTTCCTGATACGCCCGCAGACCCAAACGAAGGCCCATGTGAGTAGCCACTCCTAAGAACCTGTACTTCAACTTCCTTGCCGTTGATCACAGTCAAAGCGTGATCTCCGATATCGAATCCAAGATCGGTTGGACGCGAGAACCATGGCGTTTCTTCAAGTCTCTCATATGGGATATTTGGCGCATCTTGCGTTGATGTGAGTTTAGTTGGCGCCAAAATAAGCTTATCTTCTGAGACCCATGCACCGATCTTCGACTCCAACCAAGATGGCCAATACTCAAAGGCATAATACCACGTATGTCGTACGCGATACTCAAATTTGCCGTTTTGCTCGCGGATCTGGTGGATGAAGCCGTTGTCATAATAGCAATTTGTCTGGACGCGACTGCCTAATTGGAACCTTGGACTGCGCTGTTGAAGTCGGTCAACATTCCCGGCTGAAGGATCACCTGATCGTATAGATGTCTCACCTCAATTTTTCCATTTCCTGCTTTGTGACCCGCTCTACGCGGAGTGTTCTGCTCATCGACTGCCTTGTTCGCTCTGGACCAGTATCTCAATCCTTCCACACTGCCCTTCATTTTGGGTAAACCCGACTTCAAGCTTGGAATTTTGAGCAGAGCTGATTTTCGAACGCCATTTTCTTCCCTGGCGCCGGTTTTTTCTCCCAGTGTCTTCGTAAACAGGGGTCTTATTTCATGGTCCGCTTTTGCAATGTTCCTCTGATTGTCCTTTGTTGCAAGAGCCATCTGGCCTAGAGAGAGGAATGAGATTCTGGAAGAGGGACTTGAGGTAGTGTTTTTCGAAGTTCGGAAGCGTTTGCTCTGCTGACTGCTGCTTGATTTATGTGATGTCGAACTATCTTGGAGATATAGAGTGATTGATGGTGCTTTGTGAGGATTATATATTGGTATTGCTGCTTAAGACATGTCGGCGAATTTTTGAGCATGCTTTCAAAAGTGCTAATCTTAGGCATATAACTACCGCCTGCAGACTAATGCAAGGTAACATTTAAGCACTCAGATAATCTACGATCCGGAGAAATGCTAGCTCAATACTCTATTCGGGATACAGCATACAACCTAAATGTTCGATCCTGTGTACTCAGTAAGTAATCTTGCATTTATTCTCTTTGTTTTTTCATGCGTCCTGCTCTGTTGTTTGAGTAGAATAGACGGAAGTCCAAGTTGACGGCTGAATCATATGAATCTCATCCATGTGCTCTTAACTCTCCGTCTCATCTGCCGCAAGGCATCGGGGACTTTCGGCTGCAATTTTCTGGGAAAGTGAGAGTCGCTCTGTAATTAGCCCTACATAGAGAGCAATATCCAGCCAACACGTACTTATTTCACATATTGAGCGACGCTCATTACACCGATAGAGACTCCTTCACGGGATAAAGCAGTCAATATCGTAGCATTGAGTGCGCGAGGCCTAGATGGGTGCTGAAAATGACATTATCGAATCATTCTCCTGACTTGCCTAGGGTTAACTGCTTCATGATCTGCGATACTGTCACTGCTTTCATACTACTTATCACGATCAACAATCAGACTCATATCCGTCAGAGCCCCTTTCGCCGAGTGTGATAGCCATGGGTTTCGGATTGCAAGATCCGGAAATCCCCCTACTGTTTGACTTTTCGGCCTGGAGCCCTTCTCAAAGCAGGACGCAGTACCATACATTTTCGAGTGTGTATTCTGTTAAGCCAGCTTACATTGAGTGTTGGAGCTACACGAACTAAAAAAAATTGCCCGAGTCAAAAGTCTTGACAGCAACTCCATTCCCAATCAACTCGAAAGCTCTCAATACGCATATCACGCAATGCTTTTTGTGTTCCATGACCTCCTCAAGCTTGGCCCATGACTTCGTTCGACGTTGACATTTTGACTTGCTCGCTCACCAAGTTAACATCAAGGTAGGTACCATCCCGTGAAGTCATCCTGCCAATACCATACGCTACCATCTGGCTTCTTGAAAGTCTTCCCAGTTTTGCCATCACAAAGCAGATACTGTCGACCATCGGGACCATCTTCTTTACCAATATAACCTATCTTGGCATAACCCACGCCAGTCGCATACACAGCGTCGCCTACATCATATCCGCACTTGTTGAGACGCCCAGAACGGCCGGCATCTCCATAGGCGTCTGTGGGCGATGTTGGCAACATCTTGAATGGAAGGACGCTGGCGTCTTCGTGCTCACGCAGGTGATACATGTATGAGCCCTCCTGGCCTTTGCCTGGCTTCAGCCATTCAATGAAATGGATGTAACCGTACAAAATGGTCTCTCTTCCGCCTAACACATATCTTTGTGACACTTTATGGTTCAGTTCGAATTTTGGAGACTTTGACGGATCCTGAATAGCGAATTAGATTGGAGAGTATCATATGGGATCCTTTCGCAACAGACCTTTGGCTCACGGTTATATTTAACCCTTATGTAAGCATGCTCAAGTTCCTGCATAGCATTCTCTCTTGCTTCTCGTTCTTCGCGTTCGTCTTCAGTCTCTTCCTTGACTGTTTCAGTCTCTTCCTCAACTGGAGTCTGATCGAGGACATCAGTTGTATCCTTCGCGCCATCATGACAGTCAGGAACGTACCAACTTCTTCTTCTTACTCTGCCTAGTATTTGAGCTTTCGACAGCACGGCGGCGTTTTCGAGTCGCTCTAGGCATGTTGATAAGGAAATGTATATTGGGGTCAGAGAATGCGGAACGAAGGAAAGATTTCCAAGTTCTGGCGAACCTGGTTCCGTGAGATCTGCTGCTTCTATGTATGGCGGCTTTCTTCAAGTCTTAAATCTAGTCACTGTGCCACATTCCACGCTGCTTTATCCTAAGCGCTGGCACTATCTTATTCTACTTTCTAGGACACATTCAAAGACAAGAACATATATCGGAGTTGAGCAATTCCATTCGTCAGGGTGCCGAATGCAGACATGCTTTTGTCTGTTCGTCGTCTGTCAGTGAGCACTTATGCTGTCGATTTACCATCGTTTGTATGCTGTCCAACAGAAAGAACAAACTCGAGTTGCCAGATGCCGCTTGAGAAACAGAACGCAGTCCTACACTTCAATCTAAGCTCTTCTGTATGCTACATACGCTTTTCATCGTGTATCCGAAATGGCTTTCTAAGACCAGTAGGACAAAGGTATCTTATATCCATGTCTGATAATCGTCCCATTGTCTCCATTTCCGTCTTCGGGGGCATCATTCCCATCATAGACCACCGTGTTGCAGCTATGTCACCTAACAGTTGGGATCTCGCCTTGATCGAAAGGTTGGAGGTGGGTACACGGTATGGGGAGTGCGTGGGTGTCGTTGGGGAGGCATGAGGCGTTCTTTGCGATGCGGCCTAGGCAGCGTGTCTTTGTGTCCTTCCTTTGACTGCAATTTCTTTGTGATTTAGATATTCAAATCCTGTGCCCTAGAGGATAGTATCCTGTCCAAATGAGACTCCAGAGGTGGTCGCACTTGACTTGGCTGTCTCAAGACCAAGTTGCGCTCTGTCGGCTGAAATTCAAGGGCAGTATATCTACTTTGCGAGTTTTTATGTTCTTGACTCAGACAGTCCTGACTCGGACAGTCCCAATCCAGACAGTCCCGCTTCAGATATTACTGATTCAGACATTTCTCCAAGATCTGCGCTACGACCTATTTAGGCAACCGATCCATGGCTCTAAAGCTGACAGTGCGAACACAAGGAACCTATGCCATAGAGAACACGACAGCAGTCAATCATTCATCCATCCGTTCTCGTCGAAACAGGTGACCGTCACATCCCGCCATAAACGACCACAACCCGTCCGAACCAAGCCCTTCCCATCAGCCCATCACCTCTTCCACGTGGCCCACCCACATCCAAACACGCCATCCCCGATCCCCATTCCCGCCCTCATCCCTACCCGCCCATTCTCACCACCACCACCACCTCCAAATCCATCACCTCATCCCAACACGCCACCAGAATCGCCACCCCGTCGATGCCCCTTCCCAATCTCACGCGTCCGGAAATAACTCCACGCTACGGTAAGGTATTTCCAAGGCCCCCCCCCTTCCAGCCAGCGTGCTGTAGGTAATTACTGCAAGTACTGTTATGTACTGTATGTACCCTGGGGGGAGCCCGCCTTCCAAACTACGCCGCATCAGCCCTGCATCAGGTTATCGAACAGACCGACCCACGTCATTCCATTCCATTTCCATTTCGATTATCGTTTCTATTCTATGCATTCCCATTGCAATGGCACCGACATCACACCGTTGGCTAGGATGTCCTATCGCTAGAATGCCCTGATACCCTATCGTTAGGATACCTTACCCTACACCACATCCGCAAACGACCTAGCAATACCTTAGTTTCCCACGCGGCCATGCCGCGCCCGGACCCAAACGACAGCAAGACCCGACGACATGAATATGTACCTACCTAACCCTACCATCCGCTACCCATCCATCTGCCGAAAACGACGTAATCCCCGACACTCATACAAAGACCCGAGAACAAACCGAACATTCGATTGAATCGTATATGTATACATACATATATGTGTATATGTGTATATATAGCAACAAACCGCATACCTGAGGCCTCCCCCCCTCCCTGCGATCGCCAATGAGTTTGTTGCCCCACCACCTCCTCCCCTCTCCCCCGATCATCAATCAGCACTATACCCTAATCACCACCAGCACCACCACAGCCTCAACAGCAAACAATATCGGCCCTATTATTTCGTAACTGCCCCAGGATCATCTATTAGCATACTTGCCCCGTGCGACCCACTAGGAACACGAATTAGGTAGGTAGGTATGTATGTACCTGTGTGATGGAATGATACAACAGCCAAAAATAGCCGGTAATGAAAAGCCCGGACCGGCAGATAGGGCAGGAAAGGACAGTGCACCATTGCTGCTCAGGGAACACTGACTGCATCACGTATCAGGTACGTGGCCTCATAGGTAAAGGCTAGTGACAGCGCGTGAACATTCGGGGAAATCATAGGGCTCTCTGTTCGCGCGCGGTCGACGCTGCATGCATGCGTGAGTGCGTGCGAGATGACAAGAGTTGTGTCGCCTGTGTCACGTGGGGCAGTTGTTTCTTGATCGTCGTTGGCTGCGCTGTAGTTGGGGGTGATGATACAGGTGGAGTTGACGGTGATGATGAGAGGAGGCGGGGTAATGGAGCTATCGAGTCGATGAAAAAGAACACGTTAGTAGGATACAGTTATTGAGATATAAATGGAAATAGAGAGTACTGGAATGTAATAATCATGTGGATATAGGCTCCATCTTGGGCATCTCAATTACGAGTTGTGCTAACATACGCTGCTGTGCTGCATACAAGAGTGGGGATTTGATGTTCATTGCGACTCTTGGATTCATCAAGCCTCATGCACACTATCGAATACCGCATGCGCCTTCGTCCTCCACGCACGTGGTTCGCCCAAGTCACCCACCATCCAAACATGCTACAGCGCATGAAGATCCTAACAGAGCCTCTAAGCTCTCCAGCACCATGGGACTTGCCCAGAATGCAAAGCTTTCAGTAGTATAGAAACAGCGCAACCAAGCAACCAAGCTGGTCCGCTAACGCAGGCAGGAACAACACCATCCTCCCGTAAAAGCTCCTACTCCGCTGCGCACTGTTGAATAAGAGCTGATCGTTTCGTTTTGTATGACCCATAACGCCGTTCTAATTGCATCGAGACCATCGTCAAATGAAGTTGGTGAAAAAATGCACAAATCCGAGCCAAAAGTGGAGTGCGGATTAATAAATCTGAATATGTGCTAGTAAGATACGAGAAGACGGCTCGCGAGGTTCGACAGTCCTGCAGCGCATGCGGCGGGTTTTATTTACGAAACTCTCACAATATATTGCAAGTTGGCTGCAGGCGAGGCATACAGGTGAGACACGATGTGATGGTCAAATGAATGTCTGTATAGCGTCTCACCAGTTGTTGAAGGTAAGTGTTCTGTTCGAGACTGGGCGCGAGTGAGAGTTGTAGAACGTCTCCGAATAGAGTGAAGGTGGTGTTCCATCACTTCATGACTATTGCGAGGAGTTGCCGAAGTCCAGGTTACGTTCCTTGAGAACATTGACATACTTCGGGTCTCTCGAGAATTTGGGTACCGAGTCAGTCGCCATAAGTTTGAATACAGTTGTCTGCGCCTGATCGAACAGGTTGGCAACCTCATCAAGACTTCTGATCATCGCATCATCGTCACCGACCGCGCGTGTCATCCTGGATGCCAATGCAATGCGCAATGAATGGTCAATGTTCAGCTCGCAGGGCGAGCCCGGTGCAAGGAAAGCGTTGTAAAGGCCTGGTGGTGGTTAGAACAATTGCGGGTATGAGCAGCAGTCACTTACTGTAAGCCGACGCGAGCGTCTCTCTGATGAACTCGAGTTTGGGTGTGTTTGTAGACTTCTTAGAGGTTCGGTAGTTTGTCAGAAATTCGCTGACATCTAGGTAGAAAGACAGATTTTCCTCGCAGTGAGTATGTCTCAAATATTCCCTGAACAGTAACCGGAGGGCGGGATCTTTGACGATGACTTGCATCCTGTTGGCATTTGAATCTCGCCCTACCATGTTGCCGGGAGTAGTAAGCTTGCTTGCGGAATCTCCATTGAGAGAACCTGTAGGACCTGAGAGCCAACCTGCAACAACTTGGCCACGCTCTGTGACGTAGTATATGGCGCCTTTTGATGCCTGGAACCGGGTCGTGTTACCGAACCCTTCAACAGCGCGGATCAATCCAAATTCAACAAAGAGACTAGCCACTTCGTATGTTTCACGCTTGTCTACCATAGTGCAACAATCCATGAGCCAATCTGTGGCAGCCTTGCCTGTGAAGGACAGTTTGTAGAAGCGGTCACCGACCTTGCGATCGTTCAACATCTTGACACCGACCAGGCCAGTGGCATACTCATGTATGGAGTCAGAGTCAGATACTGCTGCTTCTGTCTTGACATTCGGAGCTGGCCCAGCAAATCTGCGAAAGATGACTTCGACAGTAGCGGCGTCATGGCTGAGCCTATCGCTTTCGACATCTCTTTCTAAAATGACGAGCTTCATACAGTTTCTTGGCGATTCTATTATACTCTTAACGTGGTCTTGTGCAATGCCGTTGCGTAGGCAGAACCGGTGAAGGATATGCATGCCCTTGGGTGTCAACTGCCATACCGCACTTTTGGATGTAAAGTCGATCTTTCCATCAACAGACTCGATGAATCTCGCGTCCAGGAACTTCTGACAGACAGAACGAGCCATTTCTTTGGCCATGGAGAAGGTTGTGGTAGTGGTGGTGGTGACAATACGCGAAGGATCTTTCGGATCGGGCATTCGGTTAGATTGTGAGAATTTGAGCGAGCCTAAGTTGGTGATAGCTTCTTCAGAGGTGAATGTGTGATCAACTTTCTGAAAGCGGACACGATGCGCTGTAAGGGGAAGGCTAACGATGAGTGTGGCGAACAAGTCCTTGAAGTCCTACACGATTGGTTAGTATAGACTTCTTGTTTGACGGCCATATATGCAATGAGAGCGTCTTGGATACCCATTCGTGCTTAGCTCCGACAAATGAGGTGATTTCAGAAAGCGATGTGATAGGGGAGCACGACATGATTGATGTGGTCGAAGAAACTGCAAGTGCAGAATCTAACATTAAGGTTTGGTATATGGAATGGTGGGAGAGAAAAACGTGGGAAGTGGATAGGTACACGTGGCAAGGCTGCAGCAGGTGAACCAAACGAAGAATCGTGCATGAGAGGGGCAGGCACAACGATAGAAGCAACACTACGTACCCGAGTATATGGTCGCTCATCGTCCGTCATGCGGAGGAGTCTTGAAGATGTTTGATGCATTTTTTTGTCGTTCTCCTGCGACGATGAATCACCACGCAAGCTGCGAGTCTCGGCTTTATTCTGAGGCCTCGAAAGCTTCCTGCGTCGATCGTCCACCGACGGTGCCGCAGTTTGAGCTTGACTCGTTGTACGAGAGGGCGCCGGAGCGGTGGACGACGGTGGTGTGGAAGGCGACGTGTTCTGATACGGCACTGATAGAACTGGTTTGCTTTGCGTTTTCGAGGGTACAGTACCAGGACTTGGCCCGGGGTCGGCAGAACGCTGGGGTCCGGACAGTACTGCGGGAGCCAGCCTGGCGATTTCTGGGTTTGATTCTGGTAAAGTGTTCTGGGTAGATCTGGCAGCGGAGGTTGCTGTCAGAGGATCCGTCGTAGGCTGTGAGACAACGGAAGAATTGGGGTGAGCTACGAGGGGGAGCTGTTGTGAATGTCTGCGGAGGGATGTGACGGGATTCTGTTCGGTAGCAGTCTTTGTGGTTTCGGTAGTATGTTGTAAGGTATCGGTCTCTGCTAGGTGGAGGAGAGAGTCGCTGTCGGAGAGAAGGGAGGGCTTTGGGAGAGAAGGGTGGGTGAGGGAGGTAGTAGAAGAGGAAGTGGTGACTGAGGTCCGACGATTGAAGAACTTTGGAGGGTTTGTAGCGTAGTTGTGGAGGGGAGAGGTAAGAATCGAAGAGGTAGAAAAAGGCATCGGAGCAAGGCGGTTAGATGAAGGAAAAGAAGAGAATGAAAAGACTGGGGATGATGAGAGAGTAATGCTAATGCTCCTTAGGGAGGTTCAAAGCGTGGGCGTGTGAAGAGAAGAGTCGAAGAGTGTGAGTGGGTTCCAGCTAGCAGCGACGCAGGTGGTGGACTGGGGACTGGGAACTGGGTAAGAAGTGGGTAGTGGGTAATGGGTAGGAGGTAGTGCTCACACACTAGCAAGGATTCCTCGACCTTCTTCTTCTTCGCTGCGCACAGGGAGGGTTTCAAAAAGCACTGGACGGATCCACGACCACCACGACCACGATCACAACCACGGACGACTACGACTACGACCACCACCACCACCACCACCACCACCTAATTGTGACTCCTTCTCTCGCGTCCGGCCGCTCACTGACTATGAGCAGTGCGTCTCGTTCGAGCAATGAGCGATACAACACTGACCGTCTTCAGACGCGTTCGGTCGGCCATGCTTACCTCTCTTTCTTCTTCTCATGCAGCACCAAAAAACAGAGAGCTAAGAGGCACCAGCCCAACCGTCCTGGAAAGGAAGCGTGTGGACCATGGCTCATGGCTCATGGCTAGTGCAGGGATACAAGGGACAGGAATTCAGATGCCAGGGGAGGGGGGAGGGGGCATGATACCGGGGTAAGGGGGAGGGGGGGAGAGGGCGCCTTGGAACAGTTAATGATGACTGAGACCGCCAAGAGACACGGCCAAGACAGGCGCACATGGGACAATGGAAGAAGCACTGAGAGCTGCAGCTCAGACACTCTACGCTCACACGTAGTTTAGCCATCTGAGCCATCTGCAAGCTAGAAGCCGCGTGTCTACACGGTGAAGAGTAACGCAGGTGAGACTGCAGTGCAATCATTACACTCCTCCCTAGTCCCGACTGCACGCTCAGGCGAGAGACATACAGGTAATAGGCATATAGATGCCGGTCCGAACATGCAGGCATGAACGCCCTCCCTCATCAAGTCTCAATGATGATGATGATGATGATAATGATGATGGTGAGAGGCTGATCAAGACAGAGATCAGCGCCTGATGCTCAAGGTGCCTGATTGCCTGGACAGTCTGAGTCATGTTAGTGACGTTTCTGTTATCGACACTGTCGTCGTTCCTGGTCACGACGACTTTTACGCGAGCCTCGAAGAGCATTCAACTGTATTACTGTACTGAACAATTTTATATTAAGTTTGGGTAGTCGAAGACACTAACAGCCAAGTGCGTTCTTATATAGCACTATACTGCTATTACAGCTACTACTATGTGCTCCTATCTTCTCAGCACACGAATCATCGTCAGCCAGTCAAGCCTCACTCGGCGTTTTCTGTTCTTCTGGCGCGGATCTCTCCAGTCGGGTACACGACTCTCCGTGCTAACCCTCATTGGTCCATTACTCATCGATAATCCATCCCATTCACGCCCTTTTCCGCGATCGTCGTGTCCCGTCTGACGGCACCACTAGGACATTCACATCACGCTTGGTGAACGCCGACGCCCATCAAAAGAGCCTCCCTATCGCTGCATTTGTCCAAGAACATGGTGGGGGCGGCGGAAAGCGCCGCGAAGCCACAGCCTACCAAACCTACTAAGGTGACGCTTTGTGGTTCTTGGTGCCGTCCCAGAGAAGCCGACGCTGAAACACACGCCAAAGCCACTACGGCTCTGGGCAGAAGAGCTGGCGTACAACAGCAGCAGCATCGTCGCTCCTCATGCCACGAACAGTCCTCACAGCTCTCACAAGCCCGCAGATCATGTCTAGGGTGTCAGACATCGAGCCAAAGAGTCAAGGCGTGATTGTAGCAGCACCAAAAGCAGTGTAATTACTGTGCATCTTCAGCAAGTCCAGTGAACCTGTGGCACATGTCTTCGGCAGGCGGCCACGCTACATACGCTGCACTTCCACGCGACAACGGCAGGCACTGGGGGAAGAGACGTGCGATCAAGGGGGGGGGCCTTGAGAGGGGGTCTTATTGGGCCAAGGAGAATCGCCCGCTCCTGTGAGCTGGGGGAAGGGAGGGGAGGGGAGGAGAGGGCAGCCTAGCAGCGGTCGGTGGCCGGAGTGAGTGCGTGCTCACTTACCTACCCTACCCACTGCCCGTTCTCGTTCTCTGACACTCGACTCGACACTCCAAATCTCTGATTCTGACTGGCGCTCACAGTTCACCCTTTACTAGTGTAATCGACCATAATCTACCATAATCTATTCCAGCCGCTCGCCCCACCTCTCTCGGCCCTTCACGAATGCGAAGTCCGCCCTCACGAATCACAGTTCACGAATCATCGCTGCTATGGATGTTCTGCCTGCACCTGGCGCCATCTCATTCTCACCATGAGCCAGAGGCCCTTGAATCGCCTTTCACGCCGCCATGTGCGAAGACCCACTGTCCACGCTTGCCATATCTTGCCGCCAGATCGTCACTGAACGTGGCCGGCCGATCATCGACGAACCTACGAAACGATGAAAGATGCATATATACCTTAACATGAGCTTGGAAAACCCGAGAAGCCTCCTTTACAGCCTAGCTACACTGTTGTACGAAAAAGCCTCGGCAATTAATCGGGCCTCCTTTCGTACGACCATCTGGCAGCTTGTTTCGTGAAGGAACAACAGTCTCTTGCAGGCTTCATAACAATGATCAATCAGTTGAATTCGTCAGGGTTAGATGCCGGCTTTAGTTCCGCTGCAGCACACGCCCCACGAGTGGGTACATCGGCACTTGATATGAAGCTTGAAGCCTGCTTCTTCATCTTGGGTGGACCATCTTTTGCCTATATTCTCGTTCGGAACATGCTTTTCTTGCTTTCCAGATGATGCGTGATAGTAGGTCTTGTAAAACGACACTGAATATATGTGCAATTGATTTTGCCAGGGTGAAGCTGCTACGCACGTAACTAGAGCTTTGCTCTGGGCAAGCACACTGCAGGACCATTCACGAAATAAGTCAATCTGACTTGCATATAGCCAAAGTAGCCATGGCGTCCTCGCCACGTGGCCAACAATGCGAGGTTTCAGGAGAGGGAAAGAGAGAGACAGAGGAAGAGATGTCGATGCGGGAACAGGGGAGACAGCGGGCCAGAAGCGTCTTCGGCACGGCCACGTTTTGCGCGGTCGAAGCCATCGCCTGTAGCAAAAAGTATAAAGATCATGAGGTTTTGTACAACTTTCACGTACGTCGGATAACGGCACGATGTTCGCCGCCAAATTATTCGACAACTTCATGTCCTTTTTTTTTTTTTGAGAATGCCAATGATCCCGAAGCCTGACAGAAGTATTGACGACCGTGGCTTAAACTCTATATTGTGAACCACGTTCGATCCTGGAGAATGGCTTCGCGGCACGTGTTCTAGAGTATGGCATCTGCGTAGAATTCTGGCCAGAATCTATTTGTGTTCAAGGAGCCCCACCAGCCTTGCCGGCTACAGAGTTAATTGAACTTTATTTCCAAGCCATTTCTTAATCGCAATTCGACGTTGCTGGCGCACCGCGGCTGTTTCGGCCTGCAAACAGTTCCCAAGACTTTCTCAAACGTACATTTCAGTCCGGACAAGAGCATTAGGACTTGGTCGTTGCCGAGATGACCAGACATCTGCCACACTAGACTTTTCTAGCGTCGCTGTGCTTCCGCCTTCCATACTCGAGACTTTGCAGTGCTGCAGTCTTTCGACATTGGCTCACTGTCTCTTCAGCATCCCATCAGGTAGCAACACGATGCGTAAGAGTCGCCAATCGCACGAGATGGACCAGTGTCGGTACCGAATGTGCTCGCTACAGTACAAGCTGGTCCAATGAAACGATGACGGGACAAGGAGGCATCCATCACACCGCATGCCGTTGATGCGTTGGTCACTACTGTCGCTGCTATGCAGTGGATCGTCTTAGTGCAACTTGGCCCACAGCCATGGACCGTTCGCAATGGTCTCGTCCTCCCCCTCCCCCCCTCCTCGTAAGACCTACCATGCACCGGTAGCGATCTGCTGCGACAATTATCAGCCCACACACACATGGAGTTGACGTAAGCCGAAGAATACCCAACTTGGCAAGGTACGACCGTGGCGCCATGCTCTGCCAGATAGAAAGCCAAGGCCAGTTCATATACTGGTCCAGCTTTATATTTCGGTCATGGCAAGCTAGCAGCAAAAAGAAACAATTGAAATCCCAACCAAACGTTGAACATGGGCTTTGACCAGGACAAACGAGGACGGGGACCAGTCCTGGAGTATTAGTCTGAATTGTGACGCTGTGAGCAATGGGGCGCCAGCGTCGTGTGGCGATGGATGTAAGGGATTCACACGTGGCCTACGGCCACCCGCTGGTTAGTGGGCTGCGGATCGCGACTCGATTCGGCTGCCGCTACCCATTGCTCTTTGCTCTTCGCTCTTTGCTTTTCGCCCTCCGCCCATCGCTCGCCTACAGGATATAGTTATGTACAACATTGTTTTTTCTACGAAGACATGCCTTTCAAACGGCTGCCCCTGACCGAGCTGTACGTCGAAACGGAAGGGTATGATGATCGGAATGGATCCCTCACTCCACTTGACCACCCAGAATCATTCGCACCCATTCCTCATCGCTCATCCACCAGCACCCATCATCGCTCATCGCTACCAGGTTGCTCCTCTTGTTTGAATGCACTGCAGTCTTGGCTGCACGAAGACGGCCCGACGACCATCAGACGGCAACAAATATCCATGATTGTTTCACCGCAGACTGCAGGAGCAGATGCCTATGCGTCCGTTGAAGTCCGGTCACCAGAATCACACAATGCTGTCCGTAATGGATGTGCAAACTAGGGTCTCCCATGCGCCTTACTCGTACATAGGACTCGTCGAGCCGCCCACACGTGGCATCGCGCTCCAGGCCCGTGTTGGTCATGCCCAAGCGTCCAATTTCCACGTGTTGCCATGGTGCTACGTGAGCCAGGGAGGGAATTGGAGTGTCGCAAAACCCTTCTAATTTATGATGGTGAACTTATCATCAGTACCCGCGACTCAATCTCAGCCTCTGTATCGCCATCTCCATCTGCATCTCTATCTCCATCATCAACGGCGTGCAGCCTTCACGTCGGTTTCGCTCGCCTCGGGTCGCGCCCAGACAGTTGATGGGACAATGCACGACACCGCTCCCTATCCATATGCTCTGACTCAAATCTCAACTTAAGCTTTCAACAACATGACGGCAACATCCAAAGAAGTACATTGGCAAAGTGGGTCTCTTCTATCAAAGCGTCCAACACGCTTGTTCCTGCTTCTGTGCAAGGCTTGAATTCTCTGCATCTGTTGGTGCTTGGCACTCTAAAATTGGCTTGGCAATTTCTGAAATGGCGCCCCTGGGACCTCTTTCAGCGGTACCAACCGCTCTCCATACCGCATGTTTGCGCTAAATGTTTGTTCCGACGGGCATTCTGATGAATGGCGAGCGATCTGTTGCCGAAGCCTGACTGAGGACTCTGTCGCGTGGTCACATTTTGAGCCTTTCCCGAAACAAGACTACATTGGACCTGCGTTGCGGCTCAAGCTCAAACCCAAGCGCGAATCCTTCCAGCTGTATTCGTCTAGATGACCAAGACCCTCCACCGTTCCAGAAGCCATAGATTGACATGTTCCAGATCGATCAAGCCGCAAACACATAATGGTATTGCCTCTACTCAGATGCGCCATCTCCCAGAAGCACATGGTTAATACGATAATATCGTTACTTCATTTGATCCTGAATACGAGTCGAATATGGAAGATCGATGCGTCGCTCAGCGTTTCCGTTCTCGTCCTCTGTCGCGTGGCGTAGAGGTCCGTGTGTTATGACCGAGCAGCCTCCTTCCGGCCAGATATCCACGCCGATGGGAGCCACCAGCGTCCCTGTGCTCTATGAACAGCAACAATGACAATAACGACCTCGAGTCAATTACTAGCTTCTTGGCTGCGATTCAGGATCTACTGTAAGAAGAAGGCGTGCTAAGTATCACCGGCATTTCAGCTCAATTCTGCTAGAATACCGTACGTGGACGCGGCTTCATTGTGTAGTAACGCCTACAAACTGCAACAGTAGTGGTACTGTCTTTACGCCCTTACGCACGTACGAAGTCGCTGCGTTTCCGCAGATGTTTTCTCACCGTCTTCACTTTTACAGATTTGGAGGCCTCATTGGCATTGTCATTGGCATTGTCTTTGTCAGGGTAGTAGTATTATTATGGTCACTGTATATCTAGCTTCTACTCCTTATTGCCACGTGAGAAACTAAAAGACAAGGTATCCGGAGAACGGATGGTCCCGCCCGTGGCAGCACAGGGAAGATATGTGCCCATGCATTCCCTTGAGATCAAATCCCGCAGCTCTTATTGGCGCCAATACTGTAACCTTTAGGCCCATCACAATCACTGGAATAACTAGACGGCATTGCAAATTCCAAATAAGTGGGTTGCTCCCCCTTGGTCCCAACAATGGTCGTTATAGCGGTGGCACATAGGACATGCTGATGCTGGCCTGACCATCCGATAGTAAGAAATTGCACGTGTGCTGACTGCGTTTGCCACGTGCTGATGGGGATTCTAGCGGATGCGGATGCGGACGCAGCTATTTAGTTGCAAATGACCGTATTAGGCAGCTTGTTCCGACCCTACCAGCGTTCTATGTCTCAGACGTACGGCTCAGATTTCACAGTATGAGTAACTCGAGTATGACATGAGCTGACAATGCACAGTGACATCAAGAATGCACGCGATAGCATCATCAAATTCTGAAGGTGCACACTGGCCTCGAAGCGACCATTTGTTTACAATAGCGGCATGACATTCCCGGGCCGTGACATCGATTCATGACTCAATTTACCCCTAGCATAGAGAGTTCAATCTCGTGAAGCTAATTTTTTCACAGACAAGATGAGGTTCAATAGTTCTCTAGTATGTCTGCTCATGTTGACAATCCCTCACTTCATCAACCATCAATATCTTATTCTCTCCCTCTCGCCACTTCGCTAACCGCCTCATCTCGACGCTGACTGATATCTAACTCGGCTACGCCACGGTAACACCGCGTCCAAGCCATGTTGCGCACACGACAACCGGTTAGACCTGTTCGTGCGGAGTGCATGTCCGCTCCAGCATCGCAATGCAAGTTTCACTCCATGTAGTGCTTCCGTCATACGGCCTCACACGTCCTTGTTCCAACATGGATGCGTGATATGTATGACTGCTCCGGCCCGTGATCCTAGCGGGAATTGTCAGTCCGAGAATACAACGGCAATTCTGTACATTACTTTGTCAGACTGCGTAACGTCGCCTCAACCGTTGTCGGCATTTCATGCTCTGTTGGGTACCATTGCTCACGTACACACAAGTTGTACACGTCGCGTGCGTGTGAACGCAAGTGGAGTACGTGTGGGCCTCAGTCGCCATAACTCATTGAACCTTTGGCATTGTGGTCTGACTATGAGCAGAAACTTCAGACGTGTTACGCCATCCTAGCGAGCTGATAGGTTCGCTACGCATACAATCCCCAGACGACTGTCGCACACATAACCATGAGGGGGCGGGGGAGAATAAGGCGAGACCAAGGGGAGGGACTGGCTCTGATATAGCTTCTATGAGCAGGAAACCAGGTAATATGTCACTAGATGGCCTAATGCATCACAGGGTCGCCGCGCACCGCATTGCACCGACTTTCTGCACGCTTATCGCACACAAACGTCGCCCTGGTCCATATCTAGCTGCGCCGTGCTCAATATAGTCGAACACTCGTTGCCCAGACATATTTTGCAGCCACCGACCTGCGCCCCGCACTACTGGCCGTTGTTTGTGCTTGCCTGTAGTATGCGCCCCTGGCAACACTCGCGTGCTGTCCCGGCGAGACCAGCTCATGCGTGTCATCTAACTAACCATCGCGGTCTCGCAATGCACGACGTCCTGCTCGCCACCCATACTAGACTTACTCCAGGTTCCTGCAAGCTGCAAACCAGTTTCTACCAGTAAGGTCCTGGCCCAAGGCAGACTTTGCCCATTTCCTGCTTCTCTGTACCGAGCCGTACTGCCGCATCATTCTCGCCATGCTTACTCACACGCGTCATCGATTTTGTATTCTCAACGGCAAGCAAGCAAATCTTGCGCCTGAGAACGGCGCGAGTCCGAATTTTGTGCGGTGCAAGACGTCTGGAATACGTTCATGCGCTCGGACGGGAACGTGTGCTTAAGATGTTGAGTACAAGAATACAGGAGTACAAGAGTACAAAAACGGTCGAGAGTTACAAGTGGGGGCTCCGGCATATGGTGGTCTCGGTGGAGGCGTTAAGAGCGAGTGACCTGGCGCAGTTTCGCCGACTTTAGACTCCGAAGAGGTAGGTGTGTGTTCGTTACTACTGCCGGTGGAGATTACGAGACGCATGGACGTTAGTAGAGGTCAGTTTATTGTTAATAAAGGGAATATACCAAACTATTTCGGTGGTTATGGAGCTGATGGTGCGATGTGGCGTGATGAACGTCGGATACGGGTATCGCTCTGCAACAGATTGGGATTTCACGTTTCACGTGGCTGCAAAAGCAGAGAAATTTGCGTATGTCGGCTTGAGACCTCATTACGACTTTTGGTCGGATGGAAATATGGCGGTGTGGCGTCTTGCAAATAGGAGAGAAATTACCTCCTCCTGTAGCTAGCCAAGGCCTCCAATACTATGGACCGTAGACGCCTCGAGATGTATACGGATGAGCGATGGGTTTGTAAGGTAGGAAACAAGTATTGGAGAGGTAGGAGGTCCACTAGGCATCATGGCTAGGGGCCAGGGGACTGAAGCTCGCATTTGTTCCGAGTCGACATATCTCTCTTTCTCTACTGTCCGCATCATGACTTTTCCTAAAACGAAGAATGCGGAACATGTACGCATCTCTCTCGCTCCCTTTCTCTCTCTCACTCTAGGATCATTCTGATTTCGGACACTCTACAACATCGACCAGTTCGCATTCACCCACCCCCTTCCATTCCGCTCTATCTTCGTATGCTCCAGGAGAGCCGATGCATGCATGCACAAAAGCAAACGAGCCCGCGAAAACACTTGCCTTATTTTTCGACTCACATGCCGAACCATCCTTGTCACCCCGTGAGCAAGTTCTGTTTCACGGAACAAATCCGGCGGCGCCTTTGCGGCTTCGGAAGACCTAAGTGCCCCTTTGTCGTTATTCTGCTTTCTTTGCGCCGAGAGGATGCATCAGGATTTCGGTGTTTGCCTCATCTGACTTCTCCCAGATCCAGATGGCCTCTCATCTTTGTCCTCATCTAATCTGCAGTTGTGCTCCGGAGTCTCTCGTATTAGCCCCCCCTTCCCCCCCCCTCCCCGCTCCCCTCCTCCGGCACCACCCCCAGGCTGTCTCGTCCTTCTCTGCGATAGATCGCCTCTCAGGGATATTCTCTCTGCCACCCTCTCATCTCAGTGATCTTCTCCTCTTGCCACCTTCTTCTCCGCACTGAGATTGCCATCTCCCCTGTACGCATCCGCCCTCATGACCGCCGCTCTATAGCTCCGTCAACCATAGCACCGGCCTCAGGATACACACACGCTCACGTACACATACACTCGTTTTTCTATCTATGTATCTATGCGTTGACCTATCCATCCACTCATCCATCTATCTATCAAATCATATCACACATACATATCTCCCCTGCTTCAAATTCAAAACACGCCTCTTCCTGCTGGTATATCTCACACTTTTGCCTCTGCTGTTCTGCTCTGCTCTGCTCTGCTCTGCTCTGCTCTGGCGATAGCTTGGAGTCGCGCTGTTTTGGATGGCTGCTCTGAAGAGGGCTGGTGAGAAGGACCATATTTTCTGGGATTTTGTTGGTTTGGGTGGAGTGGGGTTGTGGATGTAGTGGGATGCTTGGGTGTAGTGATCGTGAGTGAGTATTGCGTGGCGGTGTGTAGGTTTATGGTCGTGACTGAGACTCTAGTCGTGACTGAGCGTCTCGATCTACATATGTGTGTGTATAACGAATATCTTAATTTTATGTTTATGTTTATGTGTTTGTGTGTCTGTTTGGATCTGGGGTCTGGCATCTCTTGTTTGTAGTTGACTGCGATGTTGTATGTTTCTCTGTATCCGTCTGTCAGGCGCGTCTGTCGTCTATCGTCTGCGGCTCTGGTCGTGACTACCCCTGTCTGTCTGCATTTCTGTCGGTGTCTGCCCACCTACCTGTACCTATCTCTCTAGTCGCATCTGCGACTTACACTCATGAATTGGCGCTGTATCAAGGGGGTCATGGTATGCAGGCGCGCTATTATGGATGTGGATGGGGTATAGGAAGAAGATGGTAGGGAGAAAATGAAGAAGCGCTCCAGTCATCCCTTCGATGACTCTTCAAATGACATGTACATATATGGCTGGACGGGGTCAGTATAGTCTGATCTGGATGGAAGGTATGGTGGAGTATAGTACAGCCAGGGAATAAGAACAATTAGTAACCAGAAGCACTCGTTATAGTTGCAAAGTGAGGGCGCTCGGTACACCCGTTCCATTTAGAAAGTGATGACACTCAGAAAGGAATCACAGTCAAGAAAGTAGAGATACCACCAAGCAACGTGTTCCTAGAGGTCGTTGAGCTGAGCTAGATATTCTTGCAAGGAGGGAAGTGTGTACGGAAGGTAGGAGAGATAAAAGGACGGATAGAAGGACGGATAGAAGGACGGAAGGCAGGATCGAAGGCAGAATTGAAGGTAGGGCAAGTATCGCAGTGCAGAGAAAACAGATTTGAATGTTGTATATAGCATTGGATAGAAAAAGGGACTATTGGATTTAGGCTATGCTATGACAATCTAGTGCAAGATTTCGGACCAGGCCATGACAAGCCAGTCCAATATCCCAACGCCTATTGTGTCCCAAGAGAAAGTAAGAAACCATGTGAAACCAAGCAGTGATGGAGCAAGAAGTGATAAACCAAGTAATGATAAACCAAGTAATGATAAACAAAGTCATGATAAACCAAGCAATGAAGCCCTGATAAACGACCAGAAAGAAATTATCTAGATATACAGATTCAAGGCAACGCAATGATGTGATTGGGGAGCGGTGCGGAAGGTATTAGTTGGCGGGGGTGGGTGTGTGCTGTGAGTGATGTACCTTGGGCTAGATTTACTGTGATTTAAGGGTATGATGTGATGGAATCGACGTCGCTTGAGTGGTTGGGGAATGCAATATACAAAATACAATATAAAGGTTACCGAATGTGAGTATAGGCTTTGTCGGCGAAGGAATCTTACGTCATTGTTGTAGTATCTTTGATGACGACTTTCAGGAGGTCTAGTGGGAGAGCTCCTCTGCTTCGGGTGGCCTGCCATGAAATACTCTGTCCTGAGCATAGGTTATTTGTTCGCCGCAATGTGGAGGGCACTCCACAGCATCTCGCGGTCAATTTCACAGATGTCGTGGTGTCCCATGAAATTCTTAAAGTCTCCAGTCGCTAACCAATCGCGGAAGAATTCGTATAGCTTGGTGTAGCTAGAGTTCATTCGTAATACGATTTCTAATGTGAGCATCGGCGGGCTCACATCATTTCCGCGGCCGAGATGTGTCTGTTTGAGTGCTCTGAATGCTTTGAGCATGTGGCCTTGGATGATCTCAAGGCGCCACTCTTGCGAGAATGACCAGAGTTCCAGCGTCTCTTCAGCAAATGCTCTCACATCCATACCTGCCGCGCCATTTCTGATTGTGTGACACCAATCGAAATACCAATCGGCTACGTCAATGCCTTGCTGTTGATATGAATGGCGCTTGACGGCATAGCTGATGAGGTGCTCAACCGCTCGTCCTCCGTGAAACCCGATGTTTATCTGCTTAATGGGCATGGCGTCTTGTGATTCAAGCAAAGCCTGGAATGTGGGCCCCACTCCTGCGAGGAGATCCTCATGTATATGGTACACCCAACCAAAAGCAGTTCGCAATTCAACTAGTGGACTTTCTGCCCAATGTCTGCATATCGCAATTAGCTTCATTGCCCTTTGCAGTTTAGTCATATTTACCTAGCGAGATTCGGCATCGTGACTTGACAGTTTTAGGGCCGGAGGTGAAAAGCTCTATGTATTGTATAGGACAGACTTGCGTAGTAAAGGTATAGATGACCTACGAGCATAGAAGGTCACGGTACGGAAGAAGAATGGAGGAGCTTGACGGACAGTGGGAAGAGTTGAGACTTAGACGGAGATGGCGAAGTAGATCTTTAGCATTCTATGAGCTTCGCCTAGGCAATTAAGTGAGGACTGAGTGCTGGGTCGCCGAACATGCCAAAGACTTCACTTCAATGGAACAGGAACCTGGCGGCCGTGTGCAGTGTAAGGTAAGTTGTCACGCTCCTAATTCGTCCTCTCCCGCAAACACAAGCAGTGTGCCAGGTAGAATTTACGAGATCCAAGCTTGCATCTTACCAGTCAAGTCCCGTTAATTGGACAGCCACGGTGCAGGGATACAGACTAAACGCGAGTGAGTCCGTTCATCTCAGATCTTCACTTGATCGCCCCATGCCATTGTCCTGGTCCTCGTCTTTTTCAATCTGGTACACAGCTCCTGCGGCGTTGGTGTCGAACTGGCACCCACTGGTAAGGTGAATACATGTCGGGATCCTTAGCAAGGGGCCGTCAGTCAAAAGCCGATTTTTCATTGACAAGGTATATACAGATACAAACGCCCTCATCATATTTTACCCAGTGTCAGTCAGGATGATCGATAGCTGCCAAGATTTTGTACATGGTTCAAGAACAGAACTTCACTGTTTGTGAAGTCAGCGGCTAATTTGTTGTATACCATGTGGCACTAGCTCTCGAGTAGAAATCTCATGGTTCATGATGACAAAGAGGTTATGGGATTGCCGATGTCTTATTAGTGTTCCTAAGTCTAATGTAGAGAGGAATCGACATCGAGGTATTGATAATCAAAAAATTACGCTCTGAGAAGTCTTAATCGACGTGCCTGTGGAATTTCGCCACGCATATATATGCTAGGCCAAAGGAGCAACCCAGTCGTCATAGTTGTAATCTCAAATTTCCCAAGTAATTTATGCTGGAGGTCGTCCGAAATTCTACTTTCCCCGCTCCATGCATTGGATGATAACTTAGAACCGGGTTATAGTCTATCAGAGATGATTAGTCGTAGACCACTAGAAGCTATGGCAAGTATTGAGATCATTGAGTTATCTAGCGAAGCGAAGAGATTCAGAGCTGGAAATTCAAAGTCAGTGAGCAAAGTAATGATAGCTTCCAGAATGTGAATCCTAGGGTAAGTAGTCTAGAAATTCAACACACATAAGAATTTACCTATGTATACACTGATGAAGTCTTATCTATGGCTCTTATACATGCAATCTACACCTTCTGCAGACAGAGATTCAATGATTTGTGATTTTACACTTCAGAAAAATTCAGGGGCGCGCTGTGTTATTATAATCACGCTACAGGTATGCTTGACATTAGACACTTGCATGAATTCAGGAAGATGAATGTGCCACATCGCACCCTTTCATTAAAGTCATGATCTTTTGTTCTTATCTCACTGCGAGAATTTCCCAATGTCCAATGTAGCTAATGCCTCGGTATTTCTATGATCTATCCCATAGTATGGTGATCGTCTCTCCACAGACCTTTCAGCCGCCTCACATACATGTTACCCAAGTGCTTAGCCTCAAAGCATGTAGCGGCGAAGGATCTCCAGCCCGATCAGACGGTTATTGAACTCTGACGACCCCCAAAGCCCCTGGTCTCCATCGAACTTGGTAAGCTCATAGAGCATTTTGAGCGTGTCCAGCTTGTATGCCCCGAGTACCTTCAAAGCGCAATCTTGTGAATGGTTGGGATGATTTCCGCAGGTGCAGAGGCTTGGGGCGTTCATATTTGACAGGGTCGAAGGAGTGGGAGCTCTCGCACTGCTAGACATGTGATTCATGGACGAGGAAGCCTTAATCGAAGGGGGTCTCGAGTTGGTATTGGAGTTCTGCTCATAGAAAGCCGCGAGGTGGGATGAGAAGCCTGGGGTGTAGGAAAATCTAGAATCAGAAGGTTTCATCGTGTGAGGTAGTCGAAGTCTTGGGAGCATGGTAGAAGTAGTCGTGTTGTGGGAAGTAAAAAAGCTTGCTGGTAAGGTCGTATAGAGATTTAGAGGACTTGGAGAGGCTTCTGATCGTGGGTAACAGGCTGCTTAATGTCTTGGTTCATCACCCTAGTAGGTGGTAGCAATGGGGAAGCAATCAGAAGGTAGTAGATAGAAGGTGTTGTTTATTGCAAATGGGTGGAACTGAGAGTAGGCCAGCTTATATGAAAGGTTTCTATACGCAATCAAAGTTGAACTTAGAGTGGTTTAGCTCCTGAGAGGTATCAGGTGTGTGTAGGTGAGTCAGGACGGTGAAATCACTATTCACTGGCCAGACTAATAATTTGTTCACAGATACCCGCGTTCTGTTTATACCTTGCTTAGGATTCTTGTTCACTTACTTTCAACTGAAGCACTTGTTACCAGGATCATTATTACTATTTCGCGAGATCTTCAAAATATCAATATCAATGAAAGTCTCAATATTGATTGAACCAACGTGCCTAGATAAGCTATAATCGACTACAGAGATCACTTAATGACGGTGAACTTGAATCCTCCCCAACAACTTTCTACTCGTCCTCTAGACCCGCTTCCTGCTTGCGCCTCTCCATCTCAAGTTTGACCATCAGTTGTGCCACTTTGACCTTCATCAATTCCTCCACTATGTGTAACATTGGAGTGTTGTACTTGCTTAGCACTTCGTCTGAGTATCTGTTGAACTGTTCCATGATGTGGTCGTGCAATTGAGCAGGGCCGGAAGAGATTAGCGAAGTGAGCAATGCTGTTGTATCGGGTTTATCTTGACTTATCAGGGTATTCAGACGCCCTGGACTCGACTCTGAACTTTCAGAGGCGCTAGCGGATTTGCCATCGAAGGATGATGTTCTTGATACATGTAATGGTGAGAGAGAAGACACCTCTTTACGGTTCGAATGAAATGGTGAGGACTCTCTTATTGACTTGACGAGTGGTCGTGGTCTTTTGGGAAAGATTATGGACCCTGATGCTGGACCCGGCAAATGGGCTGGTATCTCCACATGGGAAAATAACCTCCTGCCCTTCATGCGAAGCGGTAGGGATGGTTCATTTGCCTTTTGCTCAGAGATTCTTTGGCCTGTACCATGACGTGGTCTCTTTCGCAACGTTGGCCTAGCTGCTAACTTTGACGCAGACGATGGATCATATTCGAAGGTATGAGCAGCCGCACGCGCTTTAGGTTTGGTAACAGAGAGCTGGGAAGCTCCATGCTTGTCAGAGGTGATATCAGGAGTTGTAGAAAGAGCTGTGTCGGACAGCTTGCGCTTGCGTGTGCTGTCCTTTGTCATACCGCTTTTGTGAAGACTTTGGCGAGGCATGCTCACTCAAGTCAACGATCGGTAGAGAAGAGATGCTTTGTAAAGATAGAGGAGAGGGTGGCGGAAACTTTGGATGCGACTGTGGGAGCTCGTTGAGCTGGTGACCGTGTAGAAAGGTTCAGATGTTGCAACGTTGAGTCGTTGACCGATGTATAGGAGATATATATGTGTAACTAGACTGATTGTTCAGCTTAGCAAGCGATGACATGCAGTACGTAATGAGTTGTGCTTGATCAAACGACCCCTTTTCACGCATGACGGACAAATAATTAGACCTAAAAGCTGTGCTTCATAGTAATGAAGACTTTACTTCGAGCCTAGTGGTCGGTACATGTGTACTTCTAATCGCTTTATCTTGATAGGAGATAGTCTTATGCCTACACGTACAGCGAATATCGACTGCTTCTGTCTAAGTTTCACATCTCAAGCCAGACCCTCCATAAGTAACCCAAACACTCCAAATATCAGTTACAATTAGCAGTGCAGGGCGAAGTAGTCACCAACGCATCTCCAACGCAAAGTGCCCTAAGTTTGACTCCAGGTGACTGTATCCATGATCGCTTCTGTGATTTTGTCTTTGTTTGTGTAATTTATTGTCCAATTGGGTTTGCACACCGTTGTGTTACTTTTTGAAGCTGCAAGGACCGAATACTATAACGAGCGGAACCATAAACTGCCTACGGTTCATCTTTTAACAGATAGATATATATTCGTAGACGTATAAAAGATACCACGTTTCGAGAAAACAGTACTTATCCTATGGTTAATGGAAGGCTATAGAGAGAAGATCCACCAAATTTGGTCGAAGTTCATATGACTTCCATCATCTACAGAACAAGGCTATTGAAGTCACATATGATTATATCGATTTTTATTAATTCCGCGAGACCATGACCGGTGAATTGCGAGTTGTCTTAAGAAACTCGAGCAGTAGTCAATTTTACCAAGTGGACCAGAAGAGAGAAGAAGTCATCCAATCAAGAGGTCAAAGATCCAACAGCGAACTTCGATGCGAATGATATCCTGAATATTAGCGATCATACGCTCCGTTCTCCAAGGTCACTTCGTCCGTCATTTTCGTCGGAGCGAACCTCGACTGCTTTTGTCATATAACACTGTGTTAAGAATTCTAGTTGGTCCAGGTTATTCTTTCCTATCGAATCATCCTTTACATTGTATCGAACTGGGTACGATTTCAACGCGAGCATTAACGGAAACTACTAAGTGAAAATAGTTGTTTTGATGGCTAAAGCGAAAATCAGTACTACATATCGGTTCAGAGGGACAAAGTGTCCCTCCTCAATCTCGCCCATTCATGAATTGATCTACCACGTTCAGACTGTTGCGACAATACTCGCCCGGTGGCATAACAGCATAACCAAGGGGTCCCGATCTACTATTGGGTGCGGCAGGCACAAGGATAGAGGAAAGTGATATCTAAAAGTCTACCTATATGCTAGAACGCAGAGGTATAGAGCTCTGGAAACACTCTGGTGAGGTGAAAATCTGCAATGCTATGCCTATATACTGCCAACGTTCTACAGGCGTGCAATGGGCCCGTCACTTCTAACGATTCCTAGAGACGCTGTCGTAATATCCGCAATACTATTGCAGCCAGTTAATTGCATACACGCCTTGAACTCTGCGTACAGCAGGTCAAGCATTTTCTTAACGCCAGCTTCGCCATCATACTGCAAGATGTTAGCAATCAGGCCTACAACTTCCCACGAAACTCACCGCAAGTGCCCATATCACCGGTCTTCCAATCCAACAACACTCTGCGCCTAATGCCAACGCCTTAAAGACATCCGCCCCAGTCCTGATTCCTCCGTCAACATGTACTCTCAACCTCCCCCTCGCTGCCTTCACACACTCCGGTAACGCGTCGATCGTCGCCACAACCCCATCGAGCTGCCTGCCTCCATGGTTGCTTACTACCACTCCATCACACCCATACTCAGCCGCTAGCTCAACATCCTCTGCTGTCAACACGCCCTTGATCCAAACCTCCATTCCACATACACTCCTCAGCCACGGCACCTCCCGCACCCACGAATGCGCGTCCGACGTCATCCCAGTGGCCGCTCCCTCATGCGTGGTCCGGCGCATCTCCGAGCTCGTGATTTCAATATTCGGATACTCCAGCCCTGCAGGACTGCGGAAGTCGTATCGGTGCTCATGATACCGCATGCCTAGTACTGCGCTGTCTGCGGTCAGGAAGATGGCCTTGCAGCCCGCGGCCTCAGCGCGCTTTATCATGCGCAGCTGCAAATCTCTGTCGCGCAGCGTGTACAGCTGCATTGCGTGGTCAATCGGGCCGATGTCTGAGCTGGCGGCGCGGATGTCTTCTACACTGTAGTTTGCGAAGGAGGACACGGCCATGTTGATGCCGCGCGCAGCACAGGCGCGGGTGGTGGCCAGCTCACCATCTGGATGTGCCATGGCCTGGAGGCCGGCAGGTGAGATGCATAATGGAAAGGTGATCGAGCGGTTCCAAAGTATGGTGCTAGGATCCGCGTGGGAGACGTCGACGAGGACGCGTGGGCGCAGGCGGTATTTTCGATATGCAGAAGTATTCTCGTGGACAGTGACTTGCTCGCGGGAACCTGAATTATAAAACTCTGGGAAGAGGTGAGTCAAGTGAGTCAAGTGAATTGGTATTTGACTTATGGAGGAGGGTAATACGGACCTCTGACGATCTCTGAGAGTTTCTTGTCGGCAACTTTCTTGATGTCATCGATGCATAGTATGGGTTTCTTCTCTCTAAGAGGAGTAGGGACTGGCTGGCCAGTCATGATTCGTGATATGACGAACTGTATGATACAAACGAGTGCAGAAAAGAGTACGAAGAATACGGCGAAACTGGGGACGTACACATGTGGGTTCCATTGTCATTACATTTGCCTGAGGACGTGGCACATCCAACATACCGTCCCGTTATCTCGGCGTGCAGTCATACCCTGTACATGACAACGCTCTGCATCCATGCATGCCAGTTGTATTTTAACTAATGGCCCCTTGATGCGGGGTGAGGTAACGTAGCTCATAGATCCATGGATTAGATCTCTTCATTAATACCTAAGACCCATCACTCTTAGTATTCAAGATGTCAAACTATGATTTCTGCATTCAAACTAGCCATAATATAGATATTGCAAGATATATATTTTGTAATACTTTAAATAGAAGAGATATATTATAATATTTGGAGCAGTAGAATTACTTACGTCCTAGACAAGCAATAATGTAGACGGTTCCGAAAGCGGATAAGAGCAAAATCCTAGTCGGGTACAATCAACGCGTCGCGCGTAATGTTTTCTCCTTTCTGTTCTTCACCACCAGAGCACATGTTGTTTCCAATGACTTTTGGCATCATATTGCTTGGACTATACTCAGAGCTGTCAAATCTCACATGTCTATGCTCTCTTCACATAATAACCTCTACGTGGAAAGTGAACCCTAACAGTATTCTCCAGCTCGATCACGGTCTCCAAGTCGTTCAGTCCAACCAATCTACCGACTTGAAGATGCGCACCAGCCTTCGTATCCGAATTCTCGATTGTAACCTTCGTCCCAGGGGGAATCTGAATGTAGTCATTCTCGTTCACTCCACTGTCCTTGGCGCTGTACTCAGCCTTGGTAATCGTCTCAATCGCCTGCTCAGCAGAGATATCCGTATAGGTCCACTTTGGCCAACTGTCGAGCCACTGATGAATCAACGGAAACTCTGCAGCCCCGAATCCTACCTCTTTGCTGAGTTCAAGGTTGCCGAACAGCCATTTTACGACGAACCCGACGTGGACATCTGCGAGCGAGATTCTGTTCCCACCAATGAAAGCCCCCCCTGAAGCTGCAAGAAATTGAGATTCGATGATCTGAAATTGTTCTCGAATCTCTGCAAGACCACTTGGCCTGAGTTCGGCGTAGTCTGGACGTGCTAAATCTGGGAAGATGGTCTCACGGTCCTTGAGGAATTCGGGCGTCAGAGCCGCTGTTGGAATGACGTTCAATGCGCTTCCAAACAGACCAGCACTTCCAAAGGTTTCAAAGGCCTTGTCAGCTGGGTGACTGGGAAGCGCTTTGAAGGTCTTCTGGATCGTATCGATGATCAAGGATGAATCACAATATACGTCTTTGCCGATAGCAAGCACCGGGATTCTACGATAGGTGATGCCCAGTTTCTCCAAAGTTGGTCTCGGTAGAACAGGAGGGACATCGGCGCGCAAAAAGGCTACATTGGAGGCCGCAAGCGCACTGCGAATCTTCTGTCCATATGGAGAGAAATCTATCAGTCGAGATCAGCAACGCAAGTCTCCTTCACAACATACAAAGACTCATACCGTAGTCAAATGCGACTATGGGTTGCGAAGCCATCGTAATGCCTTATTGACAAAGCGCTTTCTAATGTTGCAGGGTCTTAAAGATAGCTAACCCATTGACTTGTATTCGATCCCGGCTACCAGGTTGATATAAATTCCTCAATATCACCCACAGCAAGCCTACTGGCGGGGTAATTCGAATACGTCAATCCTCTCGACCGAAAACGACCGAGATCCTTCAGTGGTTGATCGTGCCCCTCCGATTGCATCATAATTTAGCTTGTTAGATAGTGTGCCGGACAACTGACCGGCTCAGCCATCCACCACCTCTGACCGATCGGCTCAACACTCCTCCACGTTTATAACTGCTTAGATTATTTCTCTATCAGATCAGTCTTCTCGACGTTATCGTAGAACATCTCGGCCCTCGTACGACCATGATCGTCTCGCAGTCTGACTTACAATCGCAGTCTGGATCCGACGCATGGCCTACAATCGCAGATCCGCAGCTGTATTGCAATTTACATTCGCTGTACTCGCCACCATCAGCAGCGCGATAATCATGCCGTATAGACCTGTTCTCAAGTTCTTCAGCATATGGTCACACACCTCTCGTTGATCATACCTAGGACTTCGGCAAAAATCTGGATGAGCATCATGCCCACGAACATCCTTGGTTGCTGGCATGTACTTCGTACACCCGCATCACCAGTGATACCGATAGCAAAGCCTGCCCCAAGTCCACATAGTCCAACTGCGATACCAGCGCCAAGGTGTGCAAAGCCAGTGAAGATATGTGTCTCAGGCTTGAGGGCGTTACCGATGAGAACAGCTACAACTAGCCCGTAGATCGAGAGAATGCCTGCCATGATGACTGGAACAGAGTCTGCCGAGCTGTTAGTATTCCGATCAACCTGGAAACACGACATGGACGCAAGCTCTAGCGCCTTCATCTAGAAATGGACTGTCTCTTACTCCTTACTATCTGATCTGGATGCAGCACGCCAGACGCGCAAATGCCGACACCTGACTTCGCCGTACCGTACGCGGCTCCTAAAACACTGAAAACGATGGCAAAAGCGCATCCCATGTTACTGAAGAACGACTGAACGATATCTAATGAGCAACCGCAGAGTTCACGTGTGTCCAGGATGTGAGCTTACCGCATAGATAGGGCTGCGACATGATTATTAGCTGTGAGTATGGCGTATGAAATATCTGAGACTACTGACCAGACATCCGAGGGATACATGATTGAAAAGGCTCCTGTTACACAGCTTCACGTAGCTGTGTACCGTGACACAAGGTAAGCGACTGGAGAGGTTCACTAAAGTAACCAAACAGTTACCGAGCAGTAAATCGCGTCCTTTTAAGTAGCATTAATACGAACTGGTTGCTTCAACGATACATTTGAACGCTGGTCTCTTTTCCAAGTTTGGACGCGTCATCCTCATCCCATGTTGGACGTCAGCGTACACGTCAATTGGTCGTTAAGTGGCTGCCTGGAGGTTACGCGAAGGAATGTCGAACAGGTTCCCCAAATTTCCAACGACCCCCAATTATCGTCGGCTCGGTGCCCTCGCGCCTGAGAGAGCGCGGTCGACAAAAAAACGAGAATGATATGTAGAGCCCTGATGACAATCGCTAGCATGCGCAAATCCGTGCATTGTCCCGCACTGCCTTGTAAGCACTGCCCTAAAGGGGCTTGAGACGATTCTGAGGTTAGAACAAATTGAAGCATAGGTGGTTCCCGGCTTTTTTAGCCAATACTTTCCAAGTTCATGGTCACAGCTAAGCTATGCAACTCGTTACAGATCGTCATGAGATAACATTACTGAACAAGCCTTACAATGGTTGCTCGATTTTAAAAGGGCGAAATGTAATAGACTAAATAGCCTATGCTGTAGATCATGCCAGTCGAGTATGATACCCTTGCAAAGGTCGCGGAAAAGGGTGAACACTGGTCGGTCTCGCGCTAGACAAGAGTCCTTGAGAACAACTTGACATCCTCAGGTGATCCAGAGGACAAGCCTTCACGTCTTGATATACGAGGGGGTTCCGCATGCTGCGACCGACCGACTAGGTCTGTAACCTGAATTCAAATTTGTATCACCTACATCAGTCTGGAAACGAATCAGCATACAAGTATCATGTACTAAGTGTAGCATTCGTTCGTAGTCCAACACTACGAATAGCTCAATAGACTTAGCTCAAGTCGTAACAACTCTCTATGATAACTAGATGCTGGGTATCAAGAACAAAGCTCAAAGGTATGAGACCAATATTCACGTAGTTGGATTTCTACACTTTAGTGCTCCTCATTTCTCTTTCTAGTATTCTTCTACACTCTACTAACCTTCTAGATTAGGCTTCAATATCGTAGTGAACATCACAAGCCAGACGAAGGATTCTAAGACCGCACATTATCCTTGGGTGAACGGTCTCCAGGACAGCGGAACTCGTCGACTAAAGTCGTTGGTGGTGGCAGCCTTTTGAGCAATTATTGAAATTTTACTATCCTATACTCATATGTAGTCCCTCTTCATAGCGGGTGAGTTCGAGAACAATACTCGTCATCGATTATCAATCTGTGATTGCCGCGGCTCTATCCTAGACGTGCATGTCGTTATGCAATTTTACCTTTCTATCTCCATGGTCAATTGGCGTGAGGAAGCGAAGACGTTAGGACTACAGTTCCTGAGATTGACTGATGCTACAATTGACTTTATGCAAGATCATCAATGTCGAAGAATGTAAGGCGTAAACAGAAGACTAGCCGTCTTGGGACGCTGTGCACCGCCACATCCGAGGAAGAATTTATGATTAGTGCCACACTTCAGCCACAACTCTCCCGACAAGCTCGAAATTCCAAGATCCATGTTCAATCTCAAGCGCAAATCATACATCCCGTTCGACTCCGTTCCCGTAATCGACCTGTAGCGATCCTATCACCAATTCCTGTCAGATCTATCAAATCAGAAAGAGCAAGAACCCAACACTGGAGTTCATCTGCAAAAGTACCGCAAAAACTTTATTCGCACAGCTCACATCATGGATATCCGCGTGCTGAGACCATCTGATATCCCGCACGTACAACAAGCAAACATCACCAATCTGCCCGAAAACTACTTCTGCAAATACTACCTCTATCATGCAATGAGCTGGCCGCAATTAAGCTATGTCGCCGTCGACGTAAGTGCGCTTCACTTCGCGCTCACGTGCTCCCCCAAGTCAAACATCAAGCGTATCCCAGATACCAACATGGCACTTCTCATTAATCACAAATATTGAGTCTAGAGCTCCTGTATACGGAACTACCCACTAACATGATGTCCCAAGGTCTCGCACCCGCCCAAATCGCCGTACGACCCGCCCAAGATCGTCGGCTACGTGCTCGCCAAAATGGAGGAGGAGCCGAGCGACGGCGTGCAACACGGGCACATCACCTCGCTGTCCGTCATGCGCACGCACCGGCGTCTAGGACTGGCGGAGAAGCTGATGCGGCAGAGCCAGCGGGCCATGGCCGAGACGTTTTCCGCGCACTATGTGTCTCTGCACGTGCGCATGTCCAATACTGCCGCACTGCACTTGTACCGTGATACCCTGGGCTTCACGGTGGATAAGGTGGAGGCAAAGTACTATGCGGATGGTGAGGATGCGTATAGTATGCGGATGGAGCTGAGTGATTTGCGATTGAGGGACGGGGATGATGGCGAGGATGGGGAGAAGGAGGCGGGGGATGAGGGGGACGAGGTGGGCAGTGCGGGAAAGAAGGGTGATGAGGAAAAGGAGGAGAAGAAGGATCTTAGGAAGGTCAAGGTTGGGAGGGGCCTGGGGGTCGGGGCGCTGGTTGAAAGAGATGAGAGGGGGGTTGCTGCGTAAAGGAAGAGTTGCGCAAAGGCAAAGGGCCGGCTGAGCCCAGATACAGCGGCAAACAAAATAAGAATATTTTCTCTCAGAACGATCATCCCATTAGATACTGTATGACGACGACTCGTAGTAAGATCGATAGACTTATGCATTGTCGCATTCCTAATATCTCAGGGATCCATCCGTGTTTGTGCAACCATTGTGCCCCGGGCTATGCTCCGAGAAATAGATATAGTAATTAGCGCCAGTGCTCAAATTCTTAGAGGGCCTGATAAGGCATCACAGTAATTGAGTGTAGACTATCTCATGCTATATAGTCCGTCTCATCTCTGATCCTTCCTCGGATCGTACATCTGCTCTCCGTATTCCGCCTTCAGCAGTTGTACCGGCACCCTCGCCATATATACCGTCAAATATGGCACCGCTCTGACCTTCTTCCTCTCCGGTAGAACCATCGTCTCAAATGCTTCCTCTTCGATTTCCTCTACCATATTCACATCCTCCGTATCCGCAGTGTCACCACCAAATGCCCTCCCATTGCCCTTCTGCCCTTTGCCCTCTTCTTTCTTCAATTTCTCTTTCAACTCCTCGATCCTTGATCCCACCGCCGAGTACTGAAACCACTTCAGCTTCTCCTTCTCCAATTCCCTCTTCGCAATCTCCACCACGCTAATCATTTTATTCGCCGTGCCGGCTTTCGCCGTCAGCGCCACGACACCGGGCTTCTGGTCCGTCTTGCCAAAGTCAAATCCATTCTCGAGCAAGCCCAGAAGCGATTTGACTTTTGCATTGATCTTGGATCCAGAACTGATGTTCAGTGCGTGTACGTCGAAGCTTTTTTCGAGATTTGTGGCGAGGTGGGAGGGAAGGAGAGATGAATAGCTCGGCGGACCGCTGTGTTGGACGGCTTCTGGATGTTTGGATTGCTGTGAATGAAATTGGATAGGTTGATTGGGGGTTGCGAAGCGGGGCTCCTCGTCGCCATCTGCCCATGGTTTCGCAGCCGTGCGAGGACGGGTGCGGGCGTGGTCGTCTGAGGAGGAGGGATCGCGAGGGTGTGTGCGAGAGGTCGTAGACTCGACGGGAAGTATTGAGGGATTAGCTAATTTCTTGAGGATCGGAAAATCGATTGTTGGATCTTCTGGAGCTTTAGATTTCTTGAATTTGTTGCCTCTCGCCATGTTGGAGCCGCGTGGTGAGTGATCCTAAAAAATTACAAGATGGAGATCAGTGACATAGTATTGATGACTGGTCTTAGAAGCTGCAGGAATGCGGCCGGCACAGCATTGATGTTCAGTCGATTTTTCACCAGGTGAGAGACGAACTTGGTGGATGTAGTAACAGCTGTTGTGACTTTGCCTAAATAGCACTAGTTGTTTCCACCTTCGCGAGCGCGTCATGACGCGAGTCTTGGACCCTTGAAGTTTAAGTGGAATTTAAGTGGGTCAGCCGCCAAAAGAGCAGCAGTGCGTAAGGTTATGCAGCAATCAATCGCAGAAATTCATAACGCTATACTAGACGCTATACATCCTCTCGATCTCGCGGAACTTCCTCTGCCTCGCTGCGTCTTCCTCCATCTGCTCACGTCTTCGCATTGCTTCCTCTCCGAAACCCTTTTCTCCTTTCTTACGCTGCCTCTCTTCATACAGAGCTCTTCCTTTCATGATACGCTCTACTATCTGCCCAGCATTGACATTCTGAAACTCATGCGAGCCAATCTCTTTGAAGATGCCAAGTTCTTTGGAGGTTTTATAAGGATCGAATGTCAGCGGCATAAACGAGGTTGGCCCATGTGCGACTGTATCCGGTACACCGTACGGCAAACTTCTCAGGAAAGCTTTTGATGGGGTGAAAGGAGCTCCGAATACAACGGCGTCCACATGCTGTACCATAGGTCAGTTGTTGTTCACTATCAGCAGTGGAAGAAACATACCTTGCATTGTAAAACGCAGAGTCCTCTTTCGAACATGTTCATGATTGGAAAGTTCACGCCTTTCCAATAGTTTATGACTTCGTCGTCGTGTATGCCAGCAATTAGATATACCGGCGCATAGTCACATCCGGACTCTTGGACTCTCTTATCTCTCTGTTCATCGGCGGTCCATCCTTGCGCTAAAGCTTCCTCAGACTCCGTTCGAATAACGAGGGCTAAGAATTCGGTATGACCGGTAGAGAACAAGTCGAAACCGCCGTCGACGTATACTACTCGCTGTCCAGGCTTGGGCCTCTTGCCCTGCACGAGATGCTTGAAGATTCCTTTCTCCTCACGAACACGCTCGGTTTTGTGCATAGTAGGGGAAGTGGAGTCTTGCGAAGTTGAGGTATCGACACGAGATACACGTCGTTCCTTGGCTGGTCGTGATGCAATCCAGTCCCATACTTCCAATCCAGGATTGAGCCCCGACTCATCGGTGGCATAATCTTTGATTCTCTGGAGCATAGCTGCTGCCTTGACTTTTCGTTCTTCATCGCTTCCATCACCCTCCTCACCAGCAAGGGTTCGTTGGAATGACTTAATGAAGTGTGTCTTTGTGCATAATAACATACGGCCAACGAGGTCGGTCGTCGATATACCCGGGGTTCTCTTGACGACCTTGAATCTGCCAGCTGCCTTCACAAAGCGATAGCAATCTTCCCCGCTGCTATCAGATGTGATATCATCACCATGCACAACAAACTGGCAACCATAATGTGATATCCAGGGTAGCGAGGTAACGTAAGGAGCATGAGGAATGGATTTGGTAGCCCAGCGGCACGCATCCACGGCAGCAACACTGCCACGCTTGTTAGTCCGTTCAGTGGAAGCATGGATTCACCATACCGTTCTTTTAAGTCCATAACCGTTGGACCCTTGTTCTCTAAGATAGATTCATCGGAGTGCACGCCAACGAGCAGCTCCTTGCCCAGTTGCCGAGCTTGTAGCATCGCGCCGGCATGACCTAGACAGTGTCAGATCAAGTGTCTCATCGCGGTTAAGTCCTATATGCTCATACCATGATGCGCGAAGTCGAAGCACCCGTCAATCCATATGCGGTCGTCATCGATGGGAACAGCTTCTTGAGGATCGACCGGCCATTGGCCCGCCTTAGGAACAGACTCCTTCTACGCGTTGTCAGTAAGGTCATGTTGCAAGGGGCGGAGGCATGGAGATATACCGAGTAATTGTACTTACTTGGCTGATGCTGTTTGTTCGCGTCCTGCCTGCGCCGGGTCTTGCGGAAGTCATTTTGCTGGAGAATACGCAAAGCAATGATGGCGGGGCAAGATTGGCGGGGCACTTCGGCGGTGAAAAAGGGCATCCCGATCTACACCACTAGGCAGCTCAAGCTTGATAGCTCTACTAAGTGGGGATAAAATGGGTTGGGATATCAATGATCGATGTTCTGGCCGCGGCTTGTTGCATATGCTTCATATTTAGGAACGAATTTAAGAGTCCATGAACGGTATAAACCAGACAAGACGCGGTTGCTCAGATGATACAACCCGCTCTTGCTTCTTGCGACGCGATCAGGAGCATTGGCCAGGAGTGCAGGCTATTGTTACGGAATGAGTGTGCACCGACCAATTCACAATGTCATCAATTCACTCATAGTCATTACATCTTGACGACTTGAAGGATGATCTCACGAGCGATCGGTAGGGAGTCTGGAGAGCCGGACAATTTGGGGCGGTCCGGGGAAATCCTGAGGGTTTCTCAAGCGTCCAGCTGTATTATATGTACTATACGAGTCGGCTATTATACCATATATCTAAGCCGTCTTACTAAGTAATATAGAACAAACTTAAAGCACGTGTATATCCGTCGCCCGTGAGGTCAAAATCAGTCAAAATCAATCAAAAACACGTGTAATCAGTGTTGTTTTGAAGCCTACGAGGTCAAAATCAGTCAAAATCAGTCAAAAAACACGTGTAATCAGTGTTGTTTTGAAGCCTATAAGGTCAAAATCAGTCAAAAACACGTGTAATTAGTGTTATTTTAAAGCCTATAAGGTCAAAATCAGTCAAAAACACGTGTAATCAGTGTTGTTTTGAAGCCTATAAGGTCAAAATCAGTCAAAATCAGTCAAAAAACACGTGTAATCAGTGTTGTTTTGAAGCCTACGAGGTCAAAATCAGTCAAAATCAGTCAAAAAACACGTGTAATCAGTGTTGTTTTGAAGCCTATAAGGTCAAAATCAGTCAAAAACACGTGTAATTAGTGTTGTTTTAAAGCCTATAAGGTCAAAAAAACACGTATAATAGAGAGAGGGGGAGGGAGGAAGAGAGGGAGAGAGAGGGATAGAGAGAGAGAAGAAGAAGAGGCGGATAGAAGGGTAGCGGATATTACTTCGGCTAAACTATTGACTACATGATTACTCAGTAAGTCTTTGTTTTGAACGTTTAGAACACTAAAATACACTGGACGCTTGAGAAACCCTCGGAAATCCTTCCCTCTAGCACGCCCAAACGAATGCGAACGGCGCGCCCACGCGACAAACACCGGGCACCAAGACTACCTACCGAGCAGCATATTGCCTTTACTTGAGACTCCATCGCAATCGGGAGTTGTTCTGGTGGTGTTGGTGTTGTTGCGATATCAGAAGTCTCTAAGCATATAGGACTTGCTGCGTGAATGCGAAAGGCGCTCATCGGCCTACCCACAGCACAGCAGTTGGCGCGGCACAGACAACACGAACGCTAACGGACACCTAGAAGAATAGTAGCATCAATTAGTATCTAGCAGTAGTGACAGTGACAGACAGTACTGTAGTCATAATATAGATTGATAATAACAGTGGCAGGACCCTTGTGCAAAGAGGTACCATACCCACAGTAGTCGACTGATATTCCCCTGAACCCTCCCCACTGTAGAACGGCGACTGCCCAGTAGTCCCTTGGTAGCTTATCACCAAACCTTGGGCTAACATACCTCCCTCCCGAAGTCCTTAGGCAGGTACAGTCTCCATCGTTAGGTACACACCGCCAGCGCCAACTCACGAATCATAGCCTAGTGCCTTGGTGCCCCAATTTGGTTGCCTTCTTCCCAGGGGTCTGGTCTGACCTTTGCTGGTGGGCCGCAAAGCCCAATTCCTACAAAGGGCGGGCCATTATGCCTTTTTCCGATCAGCAGCAGCGCGTAGGCAGGACTAGGAAGAATTCGATATTTGGCTGGCCGTCGAAAGGCATCTCCTCCATCATCAACACCTCCGTCTCGAGTACCTTGTCGTCCATTCCCAGCGGTACACCAGAGCCTCCCTCTACGACCGACGATTCGGATTCCTATACCTACCCTTCACCACAACCCACCATTGCATCGTCGCGACACCGCCGGAGCATCTCTACTTCACAAGGCGCCGATTCTACCCTGAGTCGCTCTACGTCTCTGCGTTCTTCTTCCACAGTAGGAAGCGCGAGCTTCAGTTCAAACAATCGGGCCCCCTCAGCAGCCGCAACACTGGCACTCTCGTACTCCCCCGAGAAGGGGCTTCCTGGCTCCAATGTTACCCGCCCCGCTCTGTCGATAACTACGTTTGGGAGGAACAGACAGAAGTCGACTGACAACTTGCGAACCTTGAACTCAGATAGCAATGGTGGGCCCTCAAGCTTCTCCAAATCTCCCTTGAGTGCGGCAGAAGCCAATTCATCCGTCGGCATGCAACCAATACCTCTCAGACACAACGCTCCTCCTCCACGTCCACCGGGAACATCACACTCGAATTACAGCCAGAGCAATGGAGTGATTGGACAGGCTACACCGCTTGTACCACCTTCAAATGGCTATAACCCAAGTGTCGTCTTTCAGCATATACATGATTTAGCTACCAAGAGAATATCTACATTAGACTATCTAAGGAAGGCGTGAGTGGTATCGTGGAAGACATCGCAGGCCCCCAAAGCTGACATTGGACATAGCCATGAAGGACGCGTATATTGGTTCAACACTTTGCTCTTCGGCAAGAACGATCTCGCCCGCCTACAATTTTTCGATCCCAAGAAGCTTGGTCGTCGCGCAACGAACTATCTGATACTAGGCTACTCAATACCTACAATCTTAGACTTAAACTCTCAGTCTCCCACAGAATATCTCAGAGCATGGAATACTCTTCTTGTCGAATTCGAGACATATCAGACCAACCACCCACCTGACGGCTCCACACCTTCCTCCCTGACACGAGCCCGACTACCACAAATGTTCAAACGTGCAAACCCTCTCGGTGGTGGCAAGGGACGGCGATCGTCGAGTGCGGCAGACCTCATGGGACTGGGCAATCAAGATGGAACCCCCAGTATCGACATGTCGTTATCGGGAGAAAGTGACCTGCTCCCAGGGGAAGAATACGACTTACTTCTTACGCCAGCGCTGCCGTTTGACCCGGACTTTTTTGAGACGTTCGCGACACTGTGCGACGTCTTGATCGACTGTTATACCAAGGTGATGACCATGATAAATAGCCCGGAGCAGTGTGCGCCTGGCGTAAGCGATCTCTTTGCAAAGGCTGATGCAAGAGTGCGGAAAGTCATAGTGGCAGGCGTTGTCCGCGAGTTCGAAGAGGCGAGTCGTACGGGTGTCAAAGGTGAGATGGCTGGCGTAGGGAAAGTCGTCTTGGGTGGTCTGATGTGAGACATATCTTACCGATGTGTTAATATCCAGGTCGGTCTGATATGAGAAGCATGGAGCAGGCGTTTAATGAGCATTCTGAGGAGTATTTGCGGGACTTAGCGTTGCATTCAGGGGGCTATGGCTATGAAAGGCATGATGGGAGGTATTGGATTGAGCGTGCATTGATGAGTAGCACGAAAGCCATGAGTTGAATGTCCTGACAATTACGATTTATACGAACTCCATTTTGAGCGTGGATGTTTGCTTCGCCTCCAAGACCACATCAAATCAGCCCAAGAAGAGTACGCAACCGAGCTTCATGTGAGAGGTCAAACGTACGCAGATAAAGATGCAGCTGACCCGCCCATACACAAGTGCTCCTTGAGACTCATAGACCAAGCAGAAATGATCCGCCATTTGGCCTATCTGGTCGCTATTCAAGAATTGGCCAGCGTCTCTAGCCAATCTATGCACACAGCAGAGACAACATCAACGATCCAACCATCCGTAATATGCACTTGGTTCAAGCAATATTCCAGCCCCTCGTGGATCTCACGAACTCACACAGGAGAGGGGAGTAGGATGGCCGTGTACACACCGCAATTAGAATGTAGTTCATGTTGCACCCATGTGTGACATCGATGGGCATGTGTATGTATAAACGAACAGGTATATCAAGTGTTATGGCATGTAAGATTCTGTCACCGGGCTGGCATGATACTTGACGACCAGCTATATCTACCTTCAATAGCCACATTTGCTCGTCTATGAGATCCTCACTCTCCAGCAGCGAACACGGACAGACCAGCATGTGTCTTTACGATTTGCATGTAGTAGGTCGTGGCGCGTGTTGTAGATCAATCTGCTTGCGGGTGATCATGGTGTGGACGAAATGCTTTATAGTGCGTGTCTTTTATGGATTTATGATGCCTCTTGTTATAGCATTCATCGGACAGCTTTAATGAGGCACGGTACATTTATTCCCGCAATGGTATATCACCTAGTTATACCCATGTTCGGGAATCCATGTTTGTCTAAAGGGGGGCAATAGCATACACTTTCTAACCATATCTCAGTCACCTACAGCACCCCCTTTTTCACGATACATCACTTTGTCACGGACATACCCACCTTGACGCATACATAAGACTCCATTCGAAACTTAGACTTGATCCCCAGCACCATGACAGTCTCAACATGTTGTCTCCCTTCCTCTCATCATGACCAACAGCCCCAACGTCTCAAAATATCTCCAGCAGAGCGGACAAGGGCGCAGCGATAACTATGAGTATAATCATCGCATGTCGAACGTGGGTTCTGGGGCGAAGGTGTACCTAGAGGCTTGGACACAGGGATTCATCGATCCGTGTGCGAGTTGGGCAGTATGGATGGATGAGCCGTGGGCGCAGGAGTGTTACTCACAACGAGTGGGCTGATTGGAAGCTGAACGAATAGGCTTAGGAAGGAGTACTTGGGTGATGTTCCGGGGTTCTGGTGGAAATATCAAGAAACTAGCTCTAGTTATCTAGTAATCTTTAGATGAGTGTGGGATCTATCCTGGCTATGCTGAGGGGGCACAAGTGGCACATCCCGGGTCCTTCATGGATGCTGATGCTGAGCGCTTGGGGTCAGGACAATGTGGAGGATTTTGTGGTCAGACAGACGCATGAAACGGAGAATTATATGACGCTGATAAAGACAAGAATATGGAGTAGATGTTTCATGATACGCTAGATGAGCTATTAGATGGTGGACTTCGATGTTTCTCCGTAACCATGCTGTGGACGGCGGCATGCGGACGGCACAGTCCAGATAGATGATGTGCACGTCTACCTGCATTCCACTATTTCAACAACTTATCAATTACCAAAAGGTATGTTGAGCCACTCGAATAGCTCATCACTCTACAAATTCCTGCAAGACTGAGGCGTTGAAGACAATATGTCTTCAGCCGGTAAAGTCGTGGCTGCCGGCTGTGCACGCCGCGGGACACAAATTCAGCGACCGTGTTTCTGGGATTGCTGATAATTGTGAATTCTGAAACAGAAAGATAGCATGCCCTTGTCGTCCTATGGTCTGATCGTTGGTTCCGCGACATATGAGACAACAGTAACAGCATCAGCAGCAACATATGACGTCTTCATCCGCTGATCCTGCTTTGGATCCTCTCCATGCCCACGACTCGTTCAAGTGCGAATACGACGGCCTCGAATGGGGACACTGTAGTTGCATAACTTTTATGCTGAATCCAAGGGTCCCGTGAGCCATTCTATTTTCAAGTGTTGTTTCTGAAACATGCTATTCTGAGCTGTAGGCTATGCCGATGATCTGGCCAGTCGGACCCTTGCCATATCACTCCACACCAACAACCGTGCTCCGCATCAAACTCCCTCATATGAAATTGTATAGAATAGACTATTATATCGTTGTTTGTCGCAGGTTGAACATATATAGGTGCTTTGGTCCAAGATATGGCGGGGACTGCAAGTCATGGTCATCGCTAGATACGCTATAGAATCGCACTTATCAAGCCATTAGCTTCTCTCTGTATCATTGCTCCAATAATTGTCGCGACGGTCCGCAGTGTTGCGCAATCTGGATTACTTTACGAATACGATGTCAAATTCCAACCGGGACCACAAGAGAGCTTCATCACTACCAGGACATGACATCAAGCAGTCCCAGATATCAAATGAATATGTGGTACCAGGTCGACTCCTATGGCTTCCGAAAGTGAAGGAAGGCCCGAAAGTTACATTGAAACCTCTCCAGTCGTCGCCTTTCCTCGAGGATGAGGACTACGGCACGCCAGTTGTGGTATGCTCGCGTCCAGCCGAGAGACCGGATTCAGTGCATGTGCATCTCGTGAGTGATCAAATTTGCGTGAACGAGGATTCACTAATGGACCAGGTCGATCTGTTCCAGAACCACAATCTCGAAGACGTCTTTTCCCGTGGTCGATATGCGCTGCATCACCGCCTATCCTATCTCCCAATCTTTCCGTCATCACCACATCCAGATCATGACAAGACGGAGTACCTTCCTTCTCTTGAACTAGCACACGACCAAGAGATTCCGGGAAACGTTTACATCAACGTACGTACCGTGTACTCTGTTGATTGGCGGTACCTCGAGCCCTTCGCACAGACAGGATGTCGATTGGAGCACCACGCACTCACAACGCTACTGAATAGGAGCAGACAACTTAACGGCTACCTGCCTGGTCCTCAAGTTGAATTTACTCGTGCAAGAAGCGTGACTTTGCCAACTAGGGCAAGGGCCAGTACGTACAAAGTTTCCCCTGTCAAGGCCGCGAGCTATCCAGTTCCGGAAGCTTCTCAGGAGAAGCCAGTGAGGGGCCCTAGATTGAGTGTTTCCATTCCGGACCAGAATATGGGATACGGGACAATGCTAAGTGATCCGGGATCTCAGCCGGAGAGGAAGATTCCGCAGAATGAACCAGATCGATTGAACGAGTGCAAGTCTGTGCTTGACTCGTTCGTGGGAACGGCGACGAAGTGGACCGGAAGTCTTCTATCGACCGCATGCTGGAGGCGAACTAGAAAGTGGCATCCAAAGGATGACGTTGGGGATTATCAGAAACTGGAGAGTGCTTATTAGCGATAACGGCGTGCTTGCGTTTCATGGGGGCGTTTTTGTAAAAATGTGTGACAGAATTTTCTTCAGGGAAATTGATTTTCCCTTTTGTACATCGCTTTTATGATTACTTATTTGTTCTTTCCAGCCATTGCCATGGTCGTGGAGCAACATTGACGCGAAGATGAAGAACATCAGCTATGGCATAATAGAGAGGTAACTTAGTTCATGGTCAATCTGTGATGTTAAAAATGACCTTAGTTTCGCGAAATACAGGACTCGCATGTCAAGACGATGGGCCTCGACGGATGAAGACTGAATGTGTTCACAGGAGGAAGAGTCCACAACCTAAATGGGCTAGCGGCTTTTATGGTGACCCCTCGTCATAACGCCCTAAGATACAGCTGGGTAATTATTAGTCCACATCTCAAAAACCTCCCGACTAAAACCGAGGGCTAGTTGTTTCGAAAAGCTCACGGAGCTTAAACATTTGTTGATAGTATGATATCTCTACTTCTCGTAGTTTTCATACTACAAGTCGTAATCTACCTCATCAACACAATCGGCGCAAATACTGTGAATGAGCTTGTAAGACCTACTGCACATCCCGAAGGAAGGTTGGACGAACATCTGACGATAGATAGGCATGGCTGATATACAGCAAGCTCCCTACCAGCACGGCGCACGCGGCACAACAGAATGCGAAACTCAAGGGTGAGGTAGTGCGACTGAAGAAAGAGATGAACGGAGTGAGCGCACAAGACAACTTCTCCAAGTGGGCGAAGCTGCGAAGACAGCATGATAAAGCACTGTCTGACTTTGAGAAGAGTGGTCAGTTACTCTCTGCACTCTACTCCATTATGCGCACACAAGGCCTGACTGTTCAATGATTTCTACAGACAGCTCTATTCGCGCTTTCAAGACAAAGTTTGATACTGCAGTCAAGACCTTTAGATGGGTCAGCACATCTGGTCTCCGCTTCTTTCTACAATTTTGGTATTCGAAGCAACCGCTCTTCTGGATTCCACAAGGATGGCTTCCATACTATGTGGAGTGGCTTTTGTCTTTCCCACGAGCTCCACTCGGCAGCATAAGCATACAGATTTGGGGAATGGCGTGCGTCAGCATCGTCACAATGTCAGGAGAAGCATTGAAAGCTATTTACGTGCTAGCCACAGAGCAGGCAGCCGATCAGAAGAATACCTCTAAAGGTAGGCCACAGGCGGTGCCAATGCAGACATCTCGCCCAGGACCAAAAGGCGAGAAGGAGTTATAGAGAGATGCATGGTTGAGATATGTTGCGATATAGCAATACTTGATCCTGCAAGTCTCCGATCATCAAGCTGTATGACAGCCTTGCTTTGTAGACGTGATGGTATGTCTCCCACACTTTGACACGAAAACTTCCTGGCAATCGCTCAGAGTTCGCAACACGCGTGAGATAGCCGTAGCTTTGGATTTGCTCTGGGCAACAAATTGAACTCGTGACCGTAAGATTAAGATCACCGAGTCTTCGAAAGTGCCCGATAATTTGTAGGAAAAGAAAAAGTTTAGAGCTGGCGAGATTTAAGGAAAATCAATCTGCGCCGGCTGAAACTCGGATCTAACATGATCTTATCGATTATTCTAATTGATCAATTTTGGCGAGAAATTCATAGCGGAGTGCGTGCCAAGATTCCTGCGATTTCGACTCTCCCATTCCCCACCACGACGCAAAGGAGTAGCGCTTCACTCCACGGCAGATTCGAGCGGCGCCAGCGCATACTCCAGACAAGACAATCACCAAATCGAGCTCGACTGCAATCATGGCCGACACAGACTCCTTCCTCCATCTCGCGAGACCGCTTGGTCCCGCCCCAGTCGGCGCACAACCTTCAACCGCCCCTCTTAGTGTAGTCATACAACCACAGGTATGAAACAGGATGGGAGAGACAAGGAGAAGAAAGAAGATCTAACATCGAATTCAAGGCCGTCTTCTCGATCCTCGACCACTCTCTCCGCCGCAACCAAGACCAGGAACGCGTAATCGGAACCCTTCTCGGAGTCCGCAGCGAGGATGGCACCGAAGTCGAGATCCGCAACTGCTACGCCGTCCCGCACACCGAAACCGCCGAGCAGGTCGAGGTCGACATGGACTACCAGAAACAGATGCTCGCGCTTCACCTGCGGGCGAATCCGCGCGAGGTGCTGGTTGGCTGGTATGCCACCAGTGCTGAGCTGAACACCTTTTCCGCCCTCATTCAGAACTTCTACGGTCAGCAAGGCGATGGTACATGGCCGCACCCGGCGGTGCACTTGACTGTCAGCACGGTACCTGGGAAAGAGATTGAGGCCAGGACGTATATCAGTGCGCCGATCGGTGTGACAGCCGAGCGCGCGGCGGATAGCTGTTTGTTCATCCCGGTGCCGTATGAGATCAAATATGGCGAGGCCGACAAGTCGGGTCTTGAGTTGATCGCCGGTGCGAAGGACCGTGAGGACCGGACACAGGGCATGTTGACTGATATCGAGGCTCTTGAGCGTGCTATCGAGCAAGTGCTAGAAATGCTTGAGCGAGTATCAAACTACGTCAGCAATGTTCTGGATGAGGAGACAGAGCCAAGTAGCGCACTGGGTCAGTTCTTATTAAACGCCCTGAGCTTAGCACCCAAGGTCAACCCAGAGGACATCGAGAGGGATTTGTACGTTCACACTTTTAAAATTGTCTTTGCAAATGCTAATAACACCCAGCAACAACCACATCCAAGACGTCCTCGTCGTTGCCTACCTCTCCAACACCATCCGCACACAAATCGATCTTTCGAACCGTCTTGCAACCGCCGCTCTTACTCTAGGCACCGGCGACGCTCTTGGGGGAGACGACAAACAAAAAGGTGGCGACCGAAGACAGAACAAGGGCAACCGAGGACAAAACAACAGAAACCAACAGCAGGAAGCATGAGCTGTAGATGTGTTTTACATATGATACTGGGGGCACTCTGGAGCATAATAATGCATGTACGGATTCACAAGTCCGTGGGCAGGGCGTTCTTAGATTCGAATGGGACAATCCTAAGCTCTCCTGTATTGGTCGTACTTGGATTCGGCCAGCCCAAGAGCGAATTGGCGCCGACTCGGCAGTCCATAGTGCTACATATGAATATTCGAAAGCGCCGTTCCCATAGTGCACGTCTTCTTCCGCGCATCTCGTGTCATGAAATATGTGACGCCATGAAATGCTTAGTCCCCAAAAAACGCCCTATATGCCTTCTCATCTTCGGGAAACCTGCCACTTCCAGGCTCCTAATCACCATCAACTCCCCACACAGAATCTCATCTCTTCCAGGCTCCTAATCACCATCAACTCCCCACACAGTATCTCATCTCTTCTTCGCATCCTTCGCATCCTCCCCGTCTTCCTCGCCGGCACTCTCATCATCCTCATCCCTCTTCCGCTTCTTCCGCTTCCCTTTCTCGCGCTCCGTCTTCTCCTCCTTCTTGCTGACGACCTCCTCGCTGAAGATCTTCTTCTGCTCCTTGATCTGCCGGTCCAGCGCCTGCAGCTCCTCCACCCGGCCCAGCTTCTCCTCGTCCTTGCGCAGCATGAACTTGAAGTCGTCGAGCTTGATCTTCTGCCGGCCCGCGAGCGAGGCCCGCAGCGCCGCCTCGTGGCATGTCTCGATGATGAAGTCTGTGATTATGGCGTCGAGGGTGGCGAGCGTGGGCTGTGGGGCTGGGAGCGGCGAGCCGTTGGAGAAGAGGAATGCTTCGACTGTGTGGGTCTTAGTAAGGGGAGAGGTTTGGGGGGAGGAACATGGAGGGACGGACGGTCTGAGTTTGGGAATTGTTGGCCTTTGTGCCGTTGGCGCATGCGTGGTTCGGTCATGGTGGTGGGTTGGTGGGAGGTGTGCTGATGGATGGATGGGAGTGAGACTGCGATGAGGGTTTGAGTCGTGTATTGGTGTCTCTCCTTCGATGCGTTGTGATCAGTACGAGTGGCGTGGAGGAGGTGAGAATAGAGAAAGCGCTGCTTGCTACGGAAGCGCAGGTCCGCTAAGCGCAAGCTGTGAAGTTGAAAGTGAATAGCCATGACGAAGTCGCAGGTCCAAAGACCTTCTGCGCACGGACACGTCCACCCTTACACTTACTTGACTTGCCAGATCCACATCCAGCAGGTGTCCATCTCACGAACATCACCATACCCTCACACCTTTACCATCAAGCCAGACACATCTGCAAACCACCCCTCAAGCCAATTCAACAATGGTACATACACAGACCCAAGAATCCACCTCGCACACCCTCACACATATCTCAAACTGACACTCAACTAGACGGCCTTCTTCAACTTCCAATCCCTCCTCCTAGTCATCCTGCTCACAATCTGCACCTCGACATACGCGCACTACGTCTCGCCCGGTATCATGGACCGGAACAAGGACGGGTGAGTTTGTCTCCCGTCGTCCCCTCTGCGCGAAACATCACCACCACCACGCATCTCCCATACACAATCAACAGCCAAAAAGAAGAAAAAAGAAAACAACAAGATAGTACAAAATGCTAACCCCAAACCCCCGCAACCACCAGCGCCCTAGGCATATTCTGGAAATGCGCACGCATAGGCGAGCGCCTGAGTCCGTACGTCAGTATATGCTGTGTTGTCATGGCGGTATGCAGTCCTCCACAAGTCCAACCCAGACGTGACATTATCTCTAATGACAAAGCCACCCATCAGGCATCCATCTTCCTCGGCCAATAAACTCATACATACCTAATGTTTACTTTTCAATACATTCCTATCTGAAGCTGAAGCTGAAGCCACCCACACGATACACGAAACACCGACTTCAGCGCCCGACACGCAGGACGACAGCAATAGCACGCGGAATATAGATATACATGTATGATCCAGTAGAAAACCTAGGAGAACGAACGATGACCACGACAACGACAACGACGACCAAGGCACCAACCACCACGAAACCCAGCACCAGCACCGCAAGAACTAGCGCATATATATATATACCTAGCCTTTCCACAATCACGGCATATAACCTACAATGTCCCTCTAGAACGCGGGCGGACGGGTAGGCAGATCTTAAACGACGGCATGGTCCAGTAGCCTGTTTCATCTACTCACTAAGTACTACTATATGGATGGATGAGAACAACATGGCAGTCGCAGGAAGGGTTTGTGTTGTTGGCTTGTGGTGTGCGCTGTGTTGGTGTATGTGGTGTGTGTATACGTATATGTGTATGTGTATGTATACACGCGCGAGGCCTGAATAGGTTGTTGCATTCTGCAAATGAATGAATGAGATGCGAGAACAAAGACGACTAAAACTCAGTGCAGTGACATGAAGGTGAATAGCGTATTATGTCAGAATGGTATGTCGCAACCAGACAGACATCTTTTAAGAAAATCCAACACAAAGCACGCCTCAATCTTACGTTTGAGCCGTGAACTGGCACTCTTCATCAACAACAAGTAGGATGGACATTCACAACTCCGCAAGAAGGAATCACTGCACATAGCTTCGACCTTGCTTTTATGTAGAAAATGCTCCAGATTATCGTATATGCACACCCGTCCTGGCTTCTAATATGTACAAGCGTCCCCAAGATAGGCCGCCCAGGAACTCCACCTAGGCCCAACCTTCTAACCGCATCCTCGATGCATCGTACCTTCGTACTCGCGCAAAACGCGCAATACCAAATTTTTTGGCTATTCCTATCGAAACACGACCAACGTCTGTTGAAAAAAAAAACAAGAGTGAAGAGTAAGGTTTTGGCGCATCCGTCCGACCTGGGCCAGCAGATGCAAGGGTAAGGCGTGCGCAATAGAGTTAAAAGCAACTAAGGACGAGGATGATAGACCGTGTGTTCCGACATGCCGCAAGTGATTCCGACCCAAACGCTAGATGTGATGATGACAATGACAATGCAACAGATGGGAATGTATGAGAGTAGTGGAAACAACAGTCGCCCGGAAGGTCTATCAGGTGAGAGAGTACAAGAGAGAGAGAAGCGCACAGACGTGAGCGCCGAGGGGTAGGTAAACAAGCAGACGAAACGTGAAAACAGGTTAAAACAGTCTTTTGGAGAAGTGAAACAATACATTGAATATCCAACACAGCAAACCCTGAAAGTTCAAGGTGCTTATTGTTTTTGAGAGGGACCAGCTTTCTTGAATCCTTGAATACCCTTTCTGCGCTCGCATTCTGCGTCACTGCCGTCGTCCACAACGACGGGATGATGAGCTTGCATCATGTCGACGTCGCGATCAATCTGAGAGACGGAACAATTGTCATCTTCATCGTCCTCATCATCGTCATCGCTGACTAGACCGGGATTAGATTCAAGAGTATGTGGACTTAGCCCGACTGGCGACTGTGAAACCGGACGACTATTGCTATTTTCAAGCGAGGGAGTCGCGTTCAAGTTCAGAGCCGTTGGAGCGCGATGAGCTGGTCGGGTCGACTCGGATGAATGCGCCTTCTTGCTCGTTTGACGTTGCGAAAGTGGGCCCATACCGCCACGAGAGGGCAGACGTGCCATTGGTTGACTCTCGGATGTTTTGTGGTTTGGGCTGTGGGGAGCTGAACCGAGTTCGTCATCACTTGGCATCTCGATGGCAGAAAGATCCACTTTTGTCTTTGCAGCCGCTACGGCGTCCCTCAGATTTCCAGAAACACCACGCTTCTCGAACAGAGTGTTGAGGAATGGCGTTTGGGGTGATGGGATAAATGAGGAGCCATCGCTTAGCTTGTTCACAGGACTCGCCAAAACAGGCGTCGAAAAGTAGTCATTCCTTTTGACACCAGGAGTAAGGGTGGGAGTCATGAGAGCATTGACCTTCCCTGCAGTATCGGCGCGTGGTAATTCGACTGGCGACGCTTCAGTCAGTCGCCGTGGTGGCAGAGACTTAGTGATGATTTGCGCAGGAGTCTTGGTTATAAGCGAATGAACGAAAGGCCTTGGAGCAGACGAGTATGCTGTGATCGGAGTAGCAGTAGTGGCATTGGTTGGAGTGGGCAGAGGCGTTGATTGAACTGCTGTGGGGGTTGGTTGTGCTGCGCCGGCTTCTTGGTCGTCGACAGGTCGACCTAACTGACAAGCGGCGGCATCGTGACTTTTGAACACTAGCTGATGTTTGATACGGCAATGATTGAGAAATCCCTGTGTGTTGGAAAAGTTGCTGTGACCGCAGTCATTGCAGAAAAGTCGTACCCATTTCCCGTCACTGGACCGCTTGTGTAGCAGCGGATCGACCTTGGGCACATCTTTAGCCGGTTCGCCGCCGATTGAAGGGAGGTTCAAGCCAAAGGTACTGTTGCGCGACGTGCGAGACTTTGATCCGTTTAGAGGATCGAAGTGTGCGCGCGTCGCTTTTCGGCCTTCCCAACCATTAGATAGAGAGGAAAGAGGGACAGAGTCGAACTTTGGATCTGGTATGAGCCACTTTGCATAATGCCTTGTGTAGGGGCCGTCAGTGACACCCCATGCTGCCGGGTGAGCAGGCTGTGAGTGACCAGGTGCCGGTCGTAGAGCCTGACCGGCGCCGATGGTGACATTTTCAGACATGCCATCGGAGCCGGGAAAGGGTATGATGTGACATCTACGCAGCTGCTCTAGTGCGATTTGGGCCTTGGCCAACTCCTGATCGATCAAGCGTAGTTCTTGATGCTTGAATAAGATTTCAAGGTTAAATTGAGTTTCGATAGATACTTGCAGCGGAGTGAGACAAGCTTCCATGTCTGCTGTGTCGGATGGTTGAACAACATGAGTGTTTTCAGCAACGGGCGGAAGTGAAGATGGCGCGCGCGCAACCGAGTCAACGGCAGTTTCCTTGCCGGCATCTGGAGAAGGTGTAGGGCGCGGGTTCACGTTTCCGTGTTGAAGAGGAAGATCCTTCTTCTGCTCGGCAACAGGACCAGGCAGCACCTGCGATGCTGGAACAGGATCTGTCACAGAGGTAGTAGGGGTGGCAGTGGTAGGCAGCACCTCACGTGGTGTGACTTTGGCTCTCTTCTGTACGGCTACCGAGTCGAGCAGGTCTACACTATCAGTCCGTTTGCGCTTGAAGTTTGCAGTCGGGATAGGAAACTGGCGCGGCTTTGAAAGCTGTATCTTTTCGCAAAGTTCATGTGGCTGAGGCTCAGTCGCCCATGGAAGCCTAAACATGCCACTCATTGACTGCATGATGGGCAACGACGAGGCAGAGCGACGAGAAGATGCGAAAAAGTAGAGGCTTCAAAGCTCATCTGAAGCAGCGCGTGAAAGACGCGACAGCGATAGAAAGTGAAGATGTTATGACGCGAGGCAAGTGGTGACGTCGCAGACTGACTGGAGCTTCAAGAGGGCGAACTTCGGCTCACGAGCTTCAGATCAGGGCGCGAAGCGCGAAGACAGGGAGAATAGTGAGTCAAGTAGTCTGCAGCAAGTGCAGGGAGAAAAGTAAAAAGGAAGAAAAAAGGGTCTACTCGAGAAGTAGAGTAAACAAAGAGTCGGTTGTTGAAGCTGTAAGAGGGCGATCTACGGTCGAGAGCTGACGTGGTGTCGCGAAGAGAGAGGCGAAGCTGCGGTGTTTGGGAGAGCCAGAAGGCGAGGCAAACAATGGAAGACGGCAGAAACGGAGATTATTAAAAAAGAGGTAGGGTCGTGAGTCATGAGAAAGAAGGAAGCCTGGTGAGTAGGCGGCGAAGAAAACACAAACTGAGTGAATAGCTGTGTGTGTATAGGGTGGACGAGGTGAAGCTGTGATAGCTGGTGAAGGGTGTTGTTGTGGTGGTTGTGAGAGAGAGAGGGAGAGCTTGGGCGGGTGGAGGTGGAGGAGGTGGTAGTGGTAATAGTGGTAGTGGTAATAGTGGTAGTGGTAGAGAGTGATGGGGAAAGAAGATGGAAGGGGGAGAATGGATGGGAATGGAAGGGGAAAACCAAGGGAAGGGGAGGGGGGGGGGGGTAAGGTGGATGATGATGCGAGGGAAGATGCGAAGAGAGGGCAGAAGAGAGAAAGTGGACACGGAAGACGGAGCCAGCATCCAGCAATAATTGACGTTTGGCCGCACACCTCGACCCCCTGTTGCGTCCGAATGCGGGTGTAGCGCGATGCACAGGCCCCACGCAGCGAATGAGAGTCGACGTCCGCAGCAAATGAGGATGCGCAGACCGAGACAGGGCAGGATAGTGAGTAGTGTGTATTAGTACTTATTAGTAGTATTAGTATTATTAGTAGTAATTAGTAGGGACAGGAGCGGACAGGACAGCTAGAGGGCATAGAGCAGAGGACGGGCAGAGGGCAAAGGGCACATAACTAACACTAATACAGGGCGCAGAGTGCGTGCATACTCATAGCAGACGGGGGTGACGGGATAGAGAGGAGTAAGGGGCTTTGCTTGCCTTCGACTTCTTACGCCTCAGGCCCAAACTCAATACTTCTTCCAGCTTTCATTCTCCACAACCACCTGCACATACACCTGCACGATAAAACAAGGCTTCAGCCACAAAAAGTAAGCATGTCTGTCTGCATTCATATTCTCGTACAACCTGGATTCCATTCTTGCTGCTGCTGGCTGGTAGTGCTTGTGCTTGTCTTTTCCTCCGGCTGTACCCTTGCATTCCTGGCTCAATCATAACAGAGCACGAAAATGTCCTGACATCAACCTCTCCGTGATGATACGTAGCTAGTTCGTTTGCCGAGCCTTGGGACGTGGACTGTGTATACGTAGTTGCTCCACTGTCCACTGTCCACTGTCCGCCTGGAGGGTGGATGTCAGGTAGACTGCCCAGCTTGCCTGCGTGGCTTCTTCTTGTTTCAGCCTGGGCCTTTGCCACCTTGGGTCTTCGTCTGATATTAATGCGCTCATGGTCCGCCCTACTTTTGATACCTAGGTAACTACTAATATCTACCACTATATCACAACTAATATTAGCTGTCTATACTCAAGCGAATTTTCCAAGACAGATCCTTTATCGCATCTATCTCTGTCCGGCCTTGATGCCACATTCTTTCGCAGATGGGCTGGGCCCGTCGCTGATCGCAGTCGCAGTGTATATATATGTGTGTGTGTGTGTGTGCTATGGCTCCAAACCAAATCCAAATAAGAAAAATTCCCGTCGTACCGTCCGTCGTCGTACCTTTTTTTACTCTGCTGCGCTGCGCAGACGCCATATGATGAACATGATCTTCGCACCCATCCGCGGTCCCGAGGTCTTTCTTTGGTCTGGCCACTCCCGGCTCTGCGGCTCGCCTTGCTTGCTCCCACGCTTCCGTAAGCCACACCACACGCCCGTTGGAATGCACTTCCTACAGTACTGCGATCGCAACACCACTGCAGCTGTACTGTATACATATTCACTAAAACTGTTATCCCGAGTACACTTCCATGTCTCTGCGCATCGTCGTTGCTACGAGAAGATGATGGATCTGCGCACTACGCGTGTCTGATTACGACACTACAACCGATTACTTGCGATATTATTTAATTAAATGACTGACTGGACTGACTGACCACGTCGTCCCAAGTAATAGCCAAGCATCCCATAGCGCTCTCACGGATTGCGTCATATTAACCTCTCATCTCCCGATCAAATCAATAGAACGCGCTCGTCTCGTGCATCCTCGGCCTAGGGCCAACACCACCGTCTCTATCACGACTCTTGACCAGGGGGCTTCGACAGCTCGACACCAGCTACGTCCTAGGGCACTTTTGCATTCTTGCGTGTGGCGCATGGGATGTGGAATTCGCTCCTTTCGTTGTACTCGTTATTAATTATTACCATCAGCATGTGCTGGACATCAATCCAGAGTGCCAGACGCGCTGGTCTATTTCGAGCTTGAAAAGCCTAGCATCCTTGCATGATGCAAACAGCCAACCACGTGGGGCCGGTCTGCACTCTTCTGTTCGATGGATTGAATGTCCGCCGCCTCTCGTAATAGTCTTGATAAATCATGAATCTCTTGAATACAGTATGAGATGAGCTACTGTCGCATCTACCGGTATTGACCTTCAGGCTCCAGCAACTGCAACATAGATGAGTCCTCCCGTCACCTAAATCCGTAACCAAACTACTTGCGCCTCATAACAACCAACCAACCAACCAACCATCCATCCATCCATCCCATCCAACTCCCACTCCTCAATCCTCCGCAGCGCAAAACCGCAGCGCAAAACTCCCACCTCCCATCTCAACGACCAAAACAACCAGCCTACCCACTCCTTCTAGCCGCAGCCCACATAGACTAATTATTTATCTCGGGCTAGCCCTAAACTCTGATACCCGCGTCTTTCTCAGCCTTCTAGTAATTAGGGCCAGACTGCTTACCACACAGGCACTAAACCTACCTAAACCCCCCTCCCCCCGATACGGGCTGCACACACACACCACACACCTCCCCCCGGCCTAGTACCACCACCATCTCTCGACACCTTAGCGCAGCGCGCGCGGGAGACTGCTTGCTTTGCAATTTTGCCTTTCACGGAGAAATTGACGCGAAACGTTATTTTTTTGGTAGGAAGTAGGAAGGATTTGTGGATTTTTTTTTTCTTTCTCTCTCTCTCGTCTTGGTGTTTTGGCGGCTTTGACGAGGGAATGAGTTGTGGTAAGTTGGCGTCACGTGGGACGTCACGTGGGACGTCACGTGTCGCTATAGTTGGATCGGGTCATGTGATATGGCTTTGAATAATGATATGTTGTTTGTAACGTACTAGAACTCGTATGAGCTTTTTGACGATGGTGGGACGGATTTGATTGACTGGTCTGTCAGGATGTGTGTATGCTGCATCTGCGATAATCTAGATATTCACTATGTGTACTCACTGTCACGCAAACAGCTCGATGTCGTTCAAACACATGTCGTACTTTGCACAGACTCATCCAACAACCAACCTCACAATCCCACACCAACAACCAAACACCCCTACACAAACTCAAAAACATCCCCCATCGCCTCCCCAACCATCCCCCTCACCCGCTCACTCCCCACAACCCTCTCCAGCCCCAGCCCATCCCACCTCGTAAACAGCATCCGCACCCGCGCCTCCCCGACCCCCACAACCCCCTTCTCCACACTCGCCAGCACCATCTCCAGCCCCTCGCCATAAAACACCGCATTATCCGGCACCCCATACCACACCACCGACCGGACGCCCCGGATGCGATACCGCTGAAAGTGGTGCGCGCGCCCAGAGTACAGCAGCACGGAGAACCGGCCTGTGCCGAAATGCGAGCGCGCCTGTCGCACCTGTGTCGGGGACGAGTACTCCGAGATGGCGCCAAAGGAGATGTTTTGCGCGGCGGTGGAGGTGGCGAAGAAGTTGCGCAGGCGCACAAAGTCGTAGTAGCTGGGTACGCAGACGAGGGTGCCGGCGGCGGTGGTGCTGCTGTTGGCGGAGGCGCGCTTGCTGCGTGCTGCTAGGGCGGGCACGATGGCGGTGCAGAAGTGTGCGAAGCGGGTGTCGGGGGCGGCGAGGGGAGAGGGCGCGGCGATGCGGTTGAAGGTTTGCTTGATGGGCATGGGCACGGCGAGGTGGCCTGGGTAGTTGGCCGGGCAGATTTTGACGCGGCCGGCGATGTTGCGCATGTGGGCGGTGAAGAGGGCGTTGAGGTCGGGGGTGAGGTAGGCGGCGAGGAGGATGGTCTGGCGGAGGAAGGGGGAGTGGGCGTTGAGGCACCAGTTGCGGACGCGGCTGAAGTCCGTGCCGGCCGGGTTGCGCGGAAGGGCGTTGAGGTGGGTGAAGATGTGGGTGAGGTGGTCCCAGTTCTGCATGAGGAGGGCGTCGGCCTGGTCGACGATGCAGATCTCGATGGAGCTGAGGAAGTCGGTGTTTGGCGGGCTGCCCTTTTTGTCTGTCGTGGTGAGCGAGCGGCGGAGTCCGAGTGGGGAGGCGAGGATGATGTCTGAGTTTGCGAATTTGGAGAAGAATTTGACCGTTTTGCGCGTGAATTTCATGCCGACGCGGAACTCGTCGTCATTGTTGCCGGCGAAGAGGTCGATGTAGTCCGCTGGGCGGTCGGACGGGATGGGGTTGTCGAGGATGAAGGCGTCTTCGAAGCGTTTCTTGTTTTCTTGTTGCTCTGGAGAGGCAATGGCGAGCATGGCTTGCACAATCTTGTAGCAAGCAGACCGTGTGGCGGTCAAGATGAGAACTTTAGGACGAGTAAAACCTTGATCGCGGAGTTCGAGGCTGCCTGTTTTATCGCGGGCGAGTTTGGTGTTGTTTTTAATGATGCGGTCACGGGTTTTGTACAGGTGATTGAGGGCATGAAGAGAGACCAAATTTCGCAGTCGATCTGCGTTTGAGGGTGTGCGAGCTCCGAAAAGGAGGTCTTGGTTATCGAAGATGATGGGAAAAAGTGCTTGTTCCAGAGCCGTAGCCTTCTTGAGAAGCTTTCGACTCGCTTCTGAAAGCCGCGGTTTTATATTGAATCCCTTGTCAACGAGCCCTTCCACTCCTGGGACATGCCTTGGAGTGAAGTTTCCTGGGTACTGGCCGGTCATTTTGTAGTCTGCGCTTGGTGACAGCTTCTGAGGCGTCCAACTGTTCTCCTGGGCAGCTTTGATTTTGTTGCTCAGCTCGTCCTCATCCGGATTCGCAAAGTGCAGTTCGAACGGGTCGGTCTCGTCCTCGTCGGCAGAAGATTGCATGTCATCATCCTCATCGTTCTCCGGGCCTTCCTCATCGCCGTCGTCCTCTGCATCAGGCTCCATGTCTAGCATTTGCTCTTCTTCATGCTCTACTGAGTCCTCAGCCATGTCACCTGACTCCCTCACTCCATGCTCTTGAGGTGCGCGGTCAAGCTTTCGACGCTTCCTTTGCGGCTCTGTATCTCTCGTAGTCGACTTAAAAGATTGCAGTAGGGCATTATATGGCACTAGGCCTGAAGGTCCTTCATCCTCACTTTCACTTGACGCTGATATTTCATCATGATCATCCGATGGTATACTTTCCACATCGTCAGGAATGTCACCATCTGCATCGTCTGAGTCCTCATCGTGTGTTTCTCCTAGGCGCGCGCTCGCGAACTTCGAAGTATTTCCGCCTCGTCCACGTCCACGTCCACGGCCACCTCGACCGCCACGTCCTCGACCTCCCCGGTCTCCAAACCCTGCGCGACCACGCCCTCCACGCCCACCTCGAGACATTCCATTGCCCCGAGGCATCCCGTTACCTGGCGGCTTATTCACGCGGAAACTTGGCATGATTGCAATCGCATTAGCAATCCTCGTGTGGAAGTGTTGCTGTGCGATCTTCTCGCGTGGTCGACAAAATGATAAAATTTCCATCCAGGCTAGGCGTACATGCCAGAACGGCTTAAGCGTCACCGCCGAAACAAACTAGCTCAGCCCTACGGGCGCTAATTAACTAAAGGCAACGTTGGTCGTAAAAGTGACATTCGAGAACGTCGTTTCATTGCTTCGCTGTCTTTTTCTGTTCTTCTGTTTTCTTTGGCTCCATGCTTGCATTACTACCACGAACGTCGTTATGAGTGATACCTGGAAAACGTATGCTCAGACTCTAAAACTCATCATCATGGACGCAACTAACACCAGCTTCGTGTAGGGTCAAGCCGATCGCATATGCATTAGGTCCGACCATACTGCTCTCGTATGGACCAACGGTATACCGGGCCCTCTTCTCGAAACGCCCTGGCGTTACAATACGGCCGGTCCCTCCTCATGTCGCTCGCGCCCAGAATATCCTCTTCGTAGCTGCCGTCGTCTTTCTCATCGCATGTTTTCCGTACTTCGCGCCAGAAAATATATATCACAAAACGTCCACAACTTTCACATATTTTCCTACGGCAGATATCTTCGAGAGGCTCGCAGACTTTCGCTCTCCTCTCACGGACTTTGATCAAGCCCTGAAGGCAAATTTTATATCGAGACAATGCCGAATGGTATACGCTGCGTACGGGCCAGAGGCGCTGGCCAACTGTTCATTTTGCAATTGCGACCACGAGCATAGCTACTTCTACTATAGTGTGGCAAGTCTCGCCATGCCGCATCTGCTCAATACAGCCATACTAGGCTTGGTTACATATAAGGCTGGTAAAGAAGGAATGCGCTGGAGAACATGGGCCACCATCCTCAGCTTACTCGTTGCGGCGGGGGATATCGGAACTATCTGGAACTTTGACGTGAAGCGAAACGATACGAAGCTTGTTGAAGATGTCGATTTTCTGCACTGGAACATGCGAACAGGCAGATTCGCTGCGCTCTTCCTACTCGATATAGGATTCTATGCCCTTATTCACTATACCTCTACCAATCGCTGGCTAGCCCAACCACCTTCGATATCAGAGCGCCTGGAAGAGGTCACCAAAGCAAACGAAATACTGCGTCAAAACATGAACAACCTCGTTGCGTTGAGGAATACTGTAATGCGAGATCCAGCATTCAGAGATAAGACTCTGAACTACTGGACCCAAGAGGAACGACTCATGGGTGAGATAATGGAGGAACCAGAGGTGGTGGAAGGTGTCAACGAAGCCCTGACTAGAGTGCCCGTTGACGATGTGAAACGATTTGCTGCAGCGACTAGCGGGTTGATGTTCCAACAATTGGACGGCCTCAAGCAGCGGAAAGGCGTTTGAAATGTGTGCCAGGCAGATGCATATTGGGTATTATACAACTGGATAAACATGTTGTTAGCATTTACGCGGCGTTTCCATGAGATATCCACTACAATACATCACCGGTCGATCCAGCATCCTACGCATTACTCACATATGAGCTGGCGACATATAAACATGCGCGCACTTCCGGTAATATCCGCTCTGCGAGAGTCCGACTTGAAGGTTAGTCAATAACGCCAATTGATTGAAAGAATTCCAGGCCATGCGGTCATGCGTATTGAGCAATGGCGCTCCGGTATCGCAAGGTCTGACTGATAGAGCACATGCAAGGCGTTCTGGTACATAACACTGATATTTGGCCCCTACATCAATCTGTATGAGTCACTAGTAATCGCAACATGCGGAGAGATTTACTGTCCCGGAGGCCATCTATACGCACCGGTCCGCACGAATCCTTGGCACGATGTTTACTTTGGGAATGTCTCCAGCATCGATGCAGACTCCGACAGATTTCCAACAGATTCAATTATATCCATAAGATCTAACTGTTCAAGTCCACCTTCGTATTTCTGGCATGCATGTAGCTGACGACAGCTCAACAGAGACATCGGTAGCATCAAAAGAGCAATTGCATGTTCAATAGGGCTATCCCTTCTACCCATGTACTTATGCATCTAGCAAGCAAACATGTTCATGCAGCCCATTCATTTTATCCCTGCCAATTCTGTCGGCTTGCATAGATCTCGGATCAACGCTGGCTCCACCATACCACGGTTGTCCAGGTCAGGCTGCTAATCATCACGTTGATACAGGTCGAAGTTCTCGCTCGACTTTCGAGGCAGATATCTACTGTGTCAGAACATCAGGCGTATATTGTAACGCTAAAGGCGTTTCATCAGCTGAAGGAAAGGCGGTCAAGTATAGAGCGCTGGGTATGTTCCTTTCTTGCAAGCGCGCACAACAGATCGACTGCCTATTGGAATAGGCATGTATCACGAGGCCAGGGTCCAGTACTGACTGACCTGGCGACACAGGCGACATTGTGAATGTAAGGTATGAAAAATCAAATGACCACGCGGCTGGAGGCGACGCTGAATCCTGATATAATTACGGGAACCGACGTTGGAGTAATGCAAGGTATGTCGGTCGGCTTACCAGTCGTACTCATAGCCGCTAGCGTCAGTCAGTCAACATTTACGCGGAAATCGTCGGCAATTGGCGGGGCCGCCTGTGAAATCTTCGAACCTTCCTTGCAGCCCTGAATCGCAAAAGGCGTAGCCAATACCAGTACGAGTAGTCGGATTGCATGATGCTTCTCTACAACACCAAGCTTACATCATGTCCGCGATACCGGCTGACTAGAATAGCCCATCGGCTCAAGTTGGGCGCATAGACTGCGATGGCGAATGAGGACCCACTCGCCGAAAGTCTTTGCTTCCCACTTGCTAGATAGGGTCTTGTTGCGAAGAGTCACAGGGGTGGTATAAAGTACTACTTTCCCGTCCCTCTCTAACAAATACTGTTTCATAGCAATACTTCACACTTCAATTCACTTTTCTAAGTGACGAGTCGTTTTCATACTTCCACCTACAATTTCAAAGCCATTGATTTTTCTAACTTGCTTCTTACGTCTCATCCGCTACATACTCTTGACCATATCCTCCTTGTGTCCATGGCGCCCTCAGCAATGCCAATGGAAGGTTCCTCAACCTCTAAGCTCACCAGCAATGGTGTAGCTAAGAACATTGCCAACACCGCTCAGTCCATCTCAACTGCACAGCCAACGACGCCTCTCCCAGAACTAGATGCCTCTCTACTACAGAAAACTCTCACAAACAACCCACGTCCAGTCCCCGAACTCAACTCACCAGAAATCGCACAATCGAAAACATGCACCGATCATATGATCACCGCATCCTGGTCCGTCACAAATGGCTGGGAAGCCCCCGAACTCAAGCCGTACGGCCCGCTCTCCCTTATGCCAACCGCCTCTGTCCTGCACTACGCCACCGAATGCTTCGAAGGCATGAAGCTATACCGCGGCTACGACGGCAAACTACGCCTTTTCCGCCCTAACTTGAACTGCAACCGCATGCTCATGTCCAGCTCCCGCATCGCGCTCCCCGGCTTCGATCCACTCCAGCTCGAAAAGCTCGTAATGGCGCTCTGCGAGCAAGACGGCTCAAAATGGCTGCCCAAAGACCGGCCGGGAAACTTTCTATACATCCGCCCCACGATGATTGCAAGCGACTCCACGCTCGGAGTGCAGCGGCCGAAGGAGGCGCTGCTATACATCATCCTGTGCTGCTTCCCCGTCATGGACGCGTCAACAGCAGGCATGAAGCTCCTTGCGTCGCAGGACGACATGGTGCGCGCGTGGCCGGGCGGCTTCGGATATGCCAAGGTGGGCGCGAACTACGGACCCTCATTAGTGGCACAGGGCGAGGCGCGCAGGATGGGCTATGATCAGATTCTCTGGCTCTTTGGTGATGAGTGCAATGTCACGGAGGCAGGTGCGAGTAACTTCTTTGTGGTGTGGAAGACGAAGGAGGGCGTGACGCAGCTTGTTACTGCGCCGCTGGGAGAGAAGATTATCTTGGATGGCATCACGAGGCGTTCGACGCTGGAGCTTGCGCGCACGAGATTGGTAAATGGCTGGACGCCTACGGATGGGAGTTTGCCGGGCAAGCTGGATGCTATTGAGGTTGTGGAGCGCAAGTTTACGATGAAGGATATTGAGGAGGCGTATGATGAGGGTCGCTTCATCGAGGCGTTTGTTGCTGGTACGGCGTTTTTCGTGGGTCAAGTCAGTTTGATTCACTTTCGTGGCAAGGATCTGAACATCGAGATGCGTGAGCACGGATATGCTACTACGCTGAAGGGCTGGCTGAGCGGGATCATGTACGGAAAGGAGAAGCATGAGTGGGCAGTCATTGTGAACGAGACTGAGTCTTAAGGCGTTAAAATGGAGACACGATTGTCGAAATATTGTTGTACATATGGCTGGCGTTCATCGACTTATCATGCCGGCGTCCATTGGCTGGAGGGCGGATGTTTGCATAGAGTACGGAGTGTGACCGCAACCTGGCCTAGTTAAAAATATTCAAGCAGATACCCTCAAAACTTGTCTGACCTAAAGTTCATATTCGTAGTACCAAGCAATGTGCGCAACGTAATCTACAAAGTGATCAAAACTCCAGGACTCCTCAACAAGATTTTTATGAACATTCATAAGTTTCAAAGTCTCAATACTCGAATGTTTATGCTACATTTCCAGCCACACTTGTAATGCTTCCATATCTCCTTCACCATACCATTAATTGACTAGTTCAACGTTCCACACCCTGATAAAGCTGATATAACAATAGCTATGAATGAGACCAGAGAGGGCAAACGTAGTTTCATACTCCATCACGCGAGGAAGACTGCCCTCCTCCATTCCACATTCTTTAGAAACTTATACATACATAAACGGGTAGTATTTTTGACCAAAACAGCGTTATATACAGCCAACTATCTACACATCAATATCTTTTTCTCATCGCACACGTCGACTTCGCCTTCGCCATGACTGCACTCGGGACAGCATAATTGTATACGCTATGGCTTTGGGCACCAGTAGCTGACCACTCTCTAGGCCAAATCAGACTCTGTGAATATAACCAATGGCGGCGCTACCAGCACTGATCTAGGAGCCATTCACGCAAGCCCCGATGCCGTCTAGTCCTTTTTAGTATTCTGGGATTACGAAGGCAGAATCCTTCCCATTCGAAATGGTGGTTAACATATTTCGAGACCTTCCTCGAGGCATTACTAACAACCTGTACGCGCAGAACCTATGCAACATCGAGGCTCTTGCAGCATTCTGCATACCTAGCTCACCAAGCATTCCATTCCTTGGACGTATGCTACAACAAAACATGATGGTATCTGGAAAGAATTGTATCACTTGCGGGAGGTAAGCAAACTTCTGTGTTACTAATCACATTCTGGAGAGATGATAAGTGATGTAGACCCTAACGAGTTGTGCCAGGGATTCAATAGTAGATGGGCTGATGATAACTTTGAAGAGTTGTACTATCGTCGCAAAGTGCCGCCGGAGATAGGTGAGCATGAGCTTCTGATAATAAGAAAATGGTGGCACTCCAGATAGTAGGCACGTTTTGGGTCACGTCCAGTGAGCGTGAGAGCATAATGAAGGTGACAGAGTGATATGATGAAAGAATCATCCTGATAATTACAGTCGCATCCTCCTAAAAATAAACCGGGCTTATGTCGGATGTCTTGAGATAAGACGAACTCAGAGAAGCTAGATTAAGTCCAATTCGGGTTATGGTTGATTGTGGTAGTGTCATCACTTACTTCAAACGGTTGGCGTAGCCAGTCTGTTTAGCCAGATGAGGAATTTGAGCAACAGCTGGATTTGGAGAAGCTGCCATGTCATCTTGACTTCATACAACCATTGCATATTTATAGCTACCTTGGGCCTGAATTGCTGGAGACTGCTCGTCATACATGAATCGAAATGCTCATACGAGTTTCAAGAAGATCCTGGTGGGGTAATTTCGCGCAGGGAGATGCGTGAGCGTGTCAGGATGCGGGATTTAAGGCTGCGAAGAGCGGCCACTAACCTCTCGAGAGTAATCATAACATCGTCTCGTGAACCTTCGCGGACTAATGATTTCCGCAAGAGTGAGTTCTGCGCTTATTGTTTATATTGATCCCCACTTCCCCGGAACCTGTCGGAGACTGCTGTGCCAAGACGAACGACATTGACCATGGGCAAGCCTAATCACGGAATCGCATCATACATAGGTATATATCGATCATCTCAAGATCCACGACTTGTATCGATAATCGGCAACATGAGCTGCACCGAGGAAGTGCAATGTACTGCAGAAGTTGGAGGCCGACAGGTATGTCTGACTGCATGATTCACCGACCCTGGCATATAACTGTTGCCGCCTTCAAAGGCATGCGTATTCTAAAGTTTCTACCAGGACATTGTTCATTATATCAAGTCGACGCGAACTTCCGAAATGAGCGACACTCCACCATTCCTGAGACTACCTGGAGAAATACGAAACATCATCTACATATACTCGTTCAACATTGAGTTCCATTCGCGCACATCCGTCCACGAGCAGCTCAAATTTACGCGCAGACCGAAGGGACTCAGCAATCTGTTCAGAGTGAACAAACAAATACATCAAGAAGCTACTACCCTCTTCTACAAAGATTTCTTTCCCAAATTTCAGCTCGAAAATCTGGTTACATACATGGACATTTATCGCTTCGTGCACAAGGTCCCCGTGCCATATCGTGGGCTCTTCATGGGCCACATAACCAGGGTTTCGATCGATGGGCAACGCATCCTTGATCAGGTGGGATTGCACAGTAAATTACCGTGGGTCTGTACCAACGATGTTGCGAACGGGGACTCCCGCACAACGGTAAAGCAACTACGCGGTGACTGCTTTCTTTGCACACGGTTCACTTCGTTCAGCAGTACATATGGGTCGAATTACGATTACGACCGCATCACTCTTACTGGACACCTTGGCCGCATTCAATGGACGAAGACTTCCCCACCCAAGATACATTTCAAGGCGCCTCAGCGAATCGATTGGAAAATTGATCAGCAGAAATGATTTGCTGTTATACAGCTTGGGTGGGCCTGAAATCTCTGAACATCATGGCGTTTGCATATCAGGGTATGATCCCAAGGGTTTACAACGATGCATCACAATACTTAGTGGCAATGTCAATCTACTTCTTTGGCGTCAAGCATGTTTCCACCCACTAGCTCGTCATTTTCCGGTAACGATAGCTTGACGTTCAGCCTTCAGGCTATGTGACTCCGTCGTCTATGCGAAAACATCCTTCCCCAGTCATCAGCACTTTGGCCGATAAACTGATGAAAGAAACAACTCAAGTAATAGCGTCAGCCCGCGACAGTGCAGTGGTACGAGCGACACAATACCCCGACAGTGGCGAGCAAGCCCACCACCGTCGAAGCTCAAGAAAAAAAATTAGGAGTAATGTTTGACCGACTCTATGGACGGAATAACAAGATATTACTCTTGTCAAGAACAGATACTACACTTGATCTAAGCCTGAATGGCAAGAGAGCGATGGGAAAACAACATCTGGACTGAGGGAGTGTTGGTTTATATATGCTATGGATTCTAGGCAGTAGGTGGTGTGAGTCAGAAGAGTGGACATTTTAGTGTGCAGGCAACAGCGCGCCATGGAATCCTTCATATCCAGGATGATTTTGATTGGCCCAGCACCAGTGGAAGGCTCCACCATCAGGTATATGATGTTAAAAAGACCGAATTCAGCCTAGGAAACGCAGAGTGTTTCCATTCGCTGCGAAGGTGGCGGGTTGCTGCTTCCATAATGGAGTATACAAGCTAGTCTTATACATATTATGCTGACATGGTGGGAACGTTATGGCTGCGTATGTTTTCATACACTTACACGGGCATATCTCCATACAGTACTAGGACATTAGTCTAGGCACATTTCAGGCACATGTCAGGCTGCGAAGTGTCCCCAGACGAATGTCCAGTCACTTGTCGTAAACGGAGTTGTCTTTTTTCTTCGTCAAATACTGCTTTTCTACTCGAGGTTATAGTTTATGGTATATTTAGGCTCTCTTTCAGCGTAAGATCAGGCGTGAACTTCTACTTTCCGCCTTTTTTCGTCTCTCAAGTATCATATCAAGCAAGCTACATATTCTCGTCTACGAAGACAACTGACCAAGTTCCCCCGTACCACAAATAAAGGGGTTTCTTAGGTCTGGTGATCTTTGTTCTTTGTCTGTCTCCTTGAAAAGGTTTCATTAGTAGCTGAAGGCAATTATGTTCTGGTAGGCCTGTGCAATATAGGCATATAAGCTCTATTCAGTCATCAAAACACACCGCACCCAATCTCGACCTTTATTGAAGTATAGATCTATGAGTATGCCTACCGAACAGGACTATAATCTACGATGAGCAGAGATTCCACTGATAATGTTTGTCTCGAAAGCTTGGAACGACGCGTCACCTGCTCTGCACTGTTGTTGTAAGGACAACGCGGTATGGCAGTCTTGTTCACTTGACCGTGCAGATCTCAATCCAGCAAATTGCGACTGCTAGCGTGTTTCTACAGCTTTAAAAGCTGTGCTACCTTCACCGCAGTTTCTTTCGTCTACATCCTTCATCCTACCTCGCAGAAGGACAATTCTAAAGCGGTGTATACTTTCATTCAAAGGGCTCCTCGTGTAAGCTAAGATGGATCCTGAGTTTCAGCGAGGGACGAGGTTCAGGTAAGTCTTTCTCTTTAGTGTTCGTCGTGGCAGGATTTACATCATATAGATACCTCACACGTGGTGGTACTGTTGGTTTGATTCACGGTCGCGAGAAAACTGAATGTTCTGTGCATCTCTACCTGCTTGCCCAGGTCTCGACTACTTTCGACCAGCAGTTCAATGGCTCGTACCGTGAAGTTGCATTGAATAAATTGGTTTTCGACACCAATGAATGGCAGTCAGCAACCGTCGAGAACTTTGTTGACTGGCTATACGACCGCCCGGGAACACTCCAACAGATCGATACTGACTCTCTTGAGGCTAAACTGGAGCTCTACATCTTTGCGACCCATTTCGAGATCCCAAAGCTGCGCTTTGATGCCTTGTACTTTCTTTACAGGACCATTAACCAACGCTACATTATCCCAGAATATAGCACAATCAAGGTTGCCTACGACAGACTGCCCAAGGACTCCCCTGTGCGCAAGTTGTTTGCAGACAGCTTCCACCTGTTCTTCAGACCTGCCCACGATAACACGGAGCGCCTAGCAGCCGAACTCTCCCGCGCACCACCAGAGTTCTTCATGGATGCTGCCCTTAGCGACGCGAATAGAGCTGGTGGGAGCATCTTTGGTCTTCCTGGCCTTTGCCGATACCACGATCACAAGCCTGATGCCGAAAAGGCGGTTTTGACGGCTTGTATGGCCAGCCAACGGGCGATCACCAAGTTGGTGACACAGCAGTTCATCGACAACGGTAGCGAAGAAAACGATGATCACGGTAACGTCTCTGGTGAGGGACAGAATGGAAACCGAGCCCCAGTCTGGGGATTTCCATCCGCTTCCACCGAACCAAGGTCAGATGTTGGAGGAGACGACAACGATGGAAGCTGGTTGGAGCCAACGGCCCCAGGACTTCGTGTCCGAAACACACCTCATGACCCTATGTATGGCACTAGCGGGGAACCAGTCCTTTGAAACACCAAAGTATCGTGCGCTTTGCAGCAAGTATCGAAGATGTGTTCAGGTCTTTTACGGTATGGCTTGATTTGCCAAGTGTTGCAAAAGGGACCATGGTGCCACTTTCATCTGGACTCACACAGATGCTATATTCCTGCCCATTCATGTTTCTAGCGACCAGTACGGAAAGACAGACAAGTTCGTCATATTGGGATTTGTGATTTGCACTACTATACCGCTCCAGTGTGGTGTTGCATAATGTAGCCAACCTACGTAACAAAGGATTGCCACTGCCCAACATCTGTGTATCAAGAGCCTTGATTGTGACCGTGATGTAGCAGTTATAGTTGTCCTCTTCGTGAACTATACATGATTACCTTATACCGTTAACTCAGGAAAATGTCATCTACTGGTCCTCCACAGTCCAGCATGGTAAATTGACTCGTCAATGCTGAAGACTGGGAATGAAACACCATAATTAGCTAAAAGGGAGCTATGAAGTATATAGCAGAGATTGGACATCTGTATGGCACCATCGACGGCTTTCACGGGCATGGCTAAGTCACTGTAGAACACTTCAAGCGCACGCTCTACATTGAGCTTCTTTCCATTGAAATTCGACTGGAACAACAAGCTAGTGTCTTTTGCGCAAGAACACCAAACTCTGGCAACTTCGTCTAGATTCTTCCAGTCCCAACTGAGAAGTGCGAGCCGTACATATTAGTGGAATAAGCTTTATAAGAATGACAACGCAAAGCGGAAACTTGATGAGAGAAACTAGAGCCCCGGTGAAACAACTTGCAAGCTTCCCTTCGATGCTTTGATCAACGAACTGAACAACAGTAGAGTATTTTGAGAGACTACGCAAAGATTTGAGAGAACTTGATATTCGAGGCGGCAGTGAAAAGGCTCAGACGTCTAGATTCAAAAACGGAGGAAAGATGAACAGGTATAAATTAAAAGTGTCGAGTTGGAGTCGGCTGGAAATTGATTTCCGGACGTCAGTTCAATCTCGAGATCCAAGATCTGGAGCTGTTTCGGATTCCGGAAACTCGTACTATGCTATATTAGGAAGTTCGTTTGCACTTGGATGTGACAGCCAGACACAGTAGAGATTTTGAGACTTCGAGCCAGACAAATAGAGATCTTTAGATGCATGGCATCTCGTTCAAAGTCAAAGTAAACTAGCAATCTTTTTACTCTCATTGTCATCATCGGAAGCCGGCATCGGGAGGGGCAAACTTCACCCACCGCACCACTCACAACCTTCCTTTACCGGCCTACCAACACCAACAAGACTGTTGGAAAACTCCACTAAACGCCGCCACCGTGGACTGCTTACCTTCGAGTCATGATCAGCCGTCTTTGTGCTGGCACTGACTGGGGTCACACGCTGCCATCATGTCGCCCGCTTCTGCTTCTTCCTCTCTCGGCCTGCTTCGAAAGCCGTACGATGTATCAGGATGAGCATTGAAGCAGACAGCGTGGGCAGAAAGGCACCCGTCAATAAAGAGCATATTAACAGTGGCCATGGAAGCTTGAATGGCAGAGAGAATCCCGGTCTCGATGAAGCTGTGCCGGGTCATAAGATGTCTGTAAAGACCGAACTTGGGGATGCTGCACTACATGTACCCACGATAGAGCGAGGCCGTACACTGTCGTTCGACTCTGTCAACTTTCTCGGCGGCATCCGAAGTCCCAGTCGTTCGCGGAGTCCACTATACCCACCACAGCAGACGACCGTGCAGAAGAATGGCACGAAGCAGAGCATCAAAGAACGAGCACAAGCCTCGCTGCTCTCGTTCTGGCAACGTAACAAGGGCCTCGTCATGGTATTGATCGCACAGTTCTTCAATGTCCTGATGAACGTCTCAGCGCACGTACTCCAGAGGGAAGGAAACCACGGTAAAGGCTTACATCCATTCCAAGTACTTTTCGCACGCATGGGCATGACCTGGATCCTGTCAATGCTGTACATGTGGTGGAACAAGACAGAGCACTTCCCGCTCGGTCTGAAGGAAGTCCGGGGCCTGCTGTGTCTGCGAAGTTTCGGTGGCTTCTTTGGCGTGTTCGGCATGTACTGTACGTTGACCGTCTCTCCAAAAGTATTACTGACCAGCACACTCACTCTTCTAGATTCTCTCCAATACCTCCCTCTGTCCGACGCCACAGTCATAACCTTCCTCGCCCCGTCTCTCGCCTGCTGGGCCTGTTCGTTTTTGATCAATGAACCCTTCACCCGCATGGAGCAAATCGGCGCATACATTTCCATCCTCGGCGTCGTACTCATTGCGCGTCCTACATTCCTTTTCTCCAGCACTCCACCTACCGTATCTCCGCCAGCCAGCGGCGTCGCCGACAGCGCACCAGTAACGAGCAACACGACTAATGTCCCCATTATCGACTCCTACAACTACGCCGCCGTGACACCCTCACAACGTGCCGGAGCCGTCGGCGTCGCCCTTCTCGGCGTGCTCGGCGCAGCCAGCGCATACACCACCATCCGCTGGATCGGCAAACGGGCACACCCACTCATCAGCGTGAACTACTACGCAGCGTGGGTTACTTTGGTGTGCTTCGTTGCCATGACCGCATTCCCGTCCATCGGCTTCGTACTCCCCGCAACACTGCGCGAGTGGGCCTTGCTGACGTTTCTTGGGGTCTGTGGGTTCACGATGCAGTTTCTACTGGCGGCGGGCTTGCAGGCGGAGAAGAGTAGTCGGGCGACGAACATGGTATATACGCAGATGCTGTTCGCGCTGGGATTTGATAAGTTGATATTTGGGACGAGCCCTACGGGCATGAGCATTGTTGGGAGTAGTCTGATTCTGGGGAGCGCGATTTATGTTGCGGTGCATAAGGAGAAGACTAAAGTGAAGGAAGAAGTAGTGAGGGATGAGGAGAGGGGACTGGTGGACGGGTCGGACGATGGAATTGAAGAGAATGAGAACGAGAGAGGTGTACAGCTCCGGTCGATAGGAAGATAGAATAATAGAAATGAATATGCATAAGCTCTATGGCGTCTGATACGTGCGATGTTGATGATATCCTGGATTAACATAAATGTACGGATTTTCATGGCTCTTGTTACTTTCTCACATAAGTCGTGCTGTCTTACAACCTCTGATATTCGTTTACTCGTAGACATAATGGAGACGATGTCCGAGGCGAAATCCATTCGCTCCAGATAGTCCGGCTACGTCTCTCGCATACCCGTCTCTGAACGCTCTGTCTTTAAAGGTCTTTCAATATAAAGATAGTAAGTAGGATGCAGATACTTCACCCTTAAGTCAATTTCTGCTTGATGAAAAATGCGCGTAGATGCGTAAGCTGCCACGCGCAGGTAATTCCCAGGATGAAGAGTTGCACCAGCGTCCACTTAACGACGCGCGAGTTGGTGGATTCAGATTGATCACGGAACTCGGCTTCGCGTTCCTGTCGTAAAATGTCAGCCCTCGAGCTCCTCAGTCACCATGCGTCTTTGTAACTCTGTACACAGCACGACCAACCAGTACATACCCTTTGGAAAACCTGCTCCCTGCGAATATCTTGCAACCGCGTATTCAGATCCCGAATCTTGGTCTGAATATCCTTCATCTTGTCCTTGTCATTGGCCTCGATCTTACTCGTCTCGCCAATGATCATATCCAAGTTGAACTTGACGTTGCCCGTCATCGCACCGCCGGTCAGCCAGCCCGCAGCCGCAACACCCGACGGGATGAAGCAGATGCGATGCTCCCCACTGTCTGCCGCACTGAAGGTGTATTTGCCCTTGGATGCGCCAGACTGGTTGACAATGCGGTGGTCGTTGTCAAAGGTCTCCTCGACGGTGATTTGGATTTTCAGGTCTGGAGAGACGTTGTATGTGCGAGTTGCTTCGTCCCATTGGAGGGCGTCGTAGTGGCCTGGATATGTCCCAGTCAGTATAGCCTCGACTTCGAGAGGAGTAGTCGCGGGAGACACGAACCGACTACGAGGGTATCTTTGGCAAGCTCCTCAAAGAAGCATTTTGGCGAGTTGCCGTCGAAGTAGAAGTAGATTGCGTGCGAGGGAAGGACAAGGATTGCGATGGAGAGGAGAGTCAGAGCAGTGTGTATACTGCTTGGTATTGTTGACCGCGCCATGGTGATATGTGTTTGTGGTGTCGTGGAAGATTCAAAGTTGTGGTGCTCATGCTGCTAAGGGACACTTTCCACGATTCAGTATTTACTAATGCAGACTAGCGTGTGATAATCACGCTAAACTCTATGTGGCAAAATTGTAGCTTCACACGCCATAAATTGCTCCTTTTCAGATGTTTATCTCCCCATAGCATAAACATGCAACTTGATACAATGCCGTAGACGTGGGATCTCATATGCCATATGGTATTAGCATATTTCATTTCTGTAGCAATGCTTCTACAGCTACATCTAATACTCTTTTCTACGTCAATGAACAATTGCGACCATCTATCGTTTACAAGTATACATAAACGAGCCCAGATAGCTGTGAGTTGCTCAATACACGATACGAACGGCATGAACAGGTGTAGATACCTATCCAACCTCCCTGACTGAAAGATCTCCGAGGGCTTTTCACTACTCAATCCCAGATATATCCCACAACAAACGCCACACGTGTAAAGGCGCTACCAAATCACAAACATACTGCAGAGCTTGATCCACTTCACCGTCACTACGGCCGAACCCCAGCGCCGATGCCCCTACCAACAAACCACAACCCGCCCCTCGGCTCCCACTCTCCAATCCTCACGCCTACAGTAGCTGTAGCATTCAACCTTAACCTGCCACCAAGCGCCTTCCGAATAGCCTCAAAGCCCACACTGCCCAGTTCCCAATTCACGGGCAATCTTGGCGTTGTGCTCAGCCCTGGCGGCACCTCAATCTCGTCATCATACAGGATCTTGCCGGCGGGCTCTTCGTGGTAGAACGCGGTAGCATTTAACCATGTGAGGTACAGTGTGGTGGATGAGAAGGGTGAGAGGAGGTCGAATGTCGCAGAGGAACTGAAAATATGCATGATGGTGCGGCGGATGAATTTTGGTGGGTCGTTGGGAGAGTCTTCATCAGGGTCATCGGATGGGTCGTCACCGGGAGGAGGTTGGTGAAGGTGCGGGGCGGGGATAGTGATGGGGAAGAAGGAGAGAAGACGGCCGAGGAAGGGTTGGGCAGGGATTGTGGAGGCGTGAGTTTGGAGCGTGAGGGTCACATTGTAGCCTAGGGAGTTTAGTATGTGAGCGTCTGGGCCAGAAGATGATTTGTGCGCCTACCAGATAGATATTGGGAGATCAACTCTCTGCCGATTTTGTGACCCTTTGCACCCTCGGCGACGCCAGGCTGCCATATGGCTTTTACAGGTAAATTAGTGTTATTGCCAGGATGTACCGTTATATTCTCCGCGATAGCGTGGCCAAGTATGGTATCATTGTTAAGAATGTTGATGTTAACGTATGGGACGATGGCGGAATAGTTGGTAGGATTTGTGAGATTAACTCTGGCTTGGACCGTCACAGAACGATCATCAGTATCAATGATTTCGAGATTCCCAACTTGTGGGCGAATAGATCCCATGCCACCATCACCCGAGGATACCGCTAACGCCAATTAGCGTAGCTCTAAACAAAGATGAGTTTATTGGACTTAGGCTACGAACGTTTCACAGGGACAACACCCTTTGCGGGCAACTGCTGGACAGTGATGTTGCCAAGAGGGGTATCAACTTGCACATCGACACTGGCCTTGACCTCAAGGTAGAGAGTCCTTCCCCCGAAAAGTAGTGTCTGAACGATCTCTGTGAAAGCATCCTCGTCTAGAATCTCCAGAGGTGCTTTGTCGACATGAGAGGTGATTTCTAGCTCCGGCCCTTCTGTCGAGTTGTCGACTCTCTTGGAATGGGCCTGTTGCCATTTATTGAGGTCAAGTCTGCCCATCTTCTTATGTTTGTAGTAGATGTCGGCATCGGCACGTACGTGACCAACATCCAAACGAAAGTTCATCTCCTTCGGTAGCCCGACTAGGGCGATGATGTTGGCCGATATCTTGGGCTGTGCAGCTGGCGTACCAGGCTCAGCCCACATTTCAGGCAGATGGAATTGTACATCTGCCAACGAGAAATTCTTTAGGAGATGATCGAATGTTCGGCCAGGGAAGGGCAGAGGAACGACGATGTCCTTCAGTATATCGTTTGCCCATGATGGAGTATCCGGATCTGGGAAAGTACAGCAGTTGATATAGATCTGGCTATCTTCGCCATGAATATAGTTCGTGAGAAAGAGATCAAGAGGTGATTTATCGGAATTTGGACAGTCTTTAGTAAGAGCGTGTGGCAGTTCCCGGACATCTCCAGATGCAAAAACGTGGACATCTGCATTCGGCTTTATATCCAAGTGGGATGTAGACGCATTTCCAACGGTGATGTACGAATCTAGCGGGGTACATCCATCAACCATAACGTCAAATCCTACAGCAGGCACATTAAGGGCGACCGGGAAGTCGTTTTCAATGATTATCGTTGCATCCGCGCTCATGCCCCCTCGGTTACTGGTATTATTCATCTCGTGAATGTCCAGTCTGGCAATATCGTAATTCGGGACAGCCGGTATCTTTGACCCTTCGATCTTCAGTGGCTGTTCTAGTGTTTGTTTACCGAGGCTGAAGATTCCAGATTTCAGAGGTACTTCAGCTTTTCCAAGAAGTATAATATCCCCACGGCGACCTTCGAGCCAATCATTAGCGACGTCTCGCAGGCCATCGACAACGCCAGGCTGTACGATGGTATGGAAGTCGATGTGATTTACGTGTCCATTACGGATGTTGACCTTGATGGAGGGTATAATAGCCTTCCCAGCAGGGATATTGTCGTACTCCGGAAGGTAGACCGTGACCTCTGACTCTCCAGTCTCCACCTCCCTCGCGATCCAGGTTCCAAATCTCCCAAAATCTCTTGTTGACTTTTTTGAAACCCTGGAAGCGTCCACGACGAAGTCACCTTCCACGTGTACTCGCACGCCAGTCTCAGTGAGGGAGACTAGTGAGAGCCTTGTTGGTTGGAAATCAACGGCTTGGGTCGCATACTCTTTGACAGCCGCGGGCATTATGAATCCGAATACCAGGACTAGTACTAGGACTATAAAGAGCACCAAAAGTGCAATAAGACTTGGCCATCTTCTCTTCTTGCTCGACGAGAGCTTTCTATCCCTGAGATTCCGGAGTGACTGGAGGAACGCCGAGGCGCGCGATGCAGACGGCAGTTCTTGATTCGCATCGTCATCCTCTACATCACTGTCTTCGCGATCACTTCGGGCGAGAAGAGGTGTCTCTTCATGATTTTTACTTCGTTGTGATCGTCTAGATCTGCTGGACGTGATGGAGGTAGGTCGACCAGCGAGCCGGGTTGCGTCATCGTTGGACTCGACCATTGCGGAGTCTCTAGATGTCTGGTGGGTAAGGTGGGTACCAAATGATGTACGTTGTATAAATCGTGGATCGCTAATACATGTCGTAAATGGGTAGGTAAATGGTGACGGCGGTGTAGAGGAATAGAGTGGAGTGGAGGAGAGATGAGGCGGAAGTGGTTGAGGCTGTGGAAGGACGCGCAGTGAGATGCGGGATGCCAGGCACGATGCGCACCCAGTCAGCCTTGATCCCTGCCCCGATGCAGCCGTCACGGGCATTTGGGGTGGGTTTGGCAGCCGAGATAAGATTGATTAGCTGCTTGGCCATGTACAAGTGGTATGCTTGGGAGCTATGGCTACCTGACGATCCGAGCCCAGCTGCCCCAGCTTTTTACGTTTTCACGCCTTGTCGAGTCACGACTGATCTCAGGTGCTCGTCAAGATCCCCGCCGTAGAGTGAATTTGTCCTCGTAAAAGTTCTGGTTGCGCCTTTATCTAACCTCTAACAACAAGGCAGTCGCAATGGCTCCTCTGAGACCATCTCCTTTCGTTCGACAGCTTCGAGCATCTCAAATCCGCCATTACTCTTCTCCTACGACCCCACCGACTTCACCATTTGCTCCACGCCATTTGCTCTCAATTGCAGACCTCACGCCTACTGAATTCACAGCATTGGTTCGCAATGCAGCTTCACATAAGCAGGCCATTAAATCTGGCGCAGTCCCCCAACATCTCATTGGAGCGCTGTCCGGCAAGACTGTAGCTATGCTCTTTAGCAAGCTGAGCACACGAACCAGAGTGTCAACAGAGGGAGCAATTGCACAACTTGGTGGATCGCCTATGTTCCTGGGAAAGAACGACATTCAATTAGGAGTATGCTGCCATATCTTAATGTGATTGTAATTTGCCCGGATGCACCCAGGACTGACGTGACTGATTCCAGGTGAACGAATCCTTATATGACACGACCGTCATCATATCTAGCATGACTTCCGCCATCGTAGCCCGCGTCGGCCCTCATAGCGACATCGCTGAAATAGCGAAGCATTCCTCTGTTCCTGTCATCAACGCCCTGTGTGACACTTTCCACCCTATGCAAACTATCGCCGATTTCCTCACAATTCACGAAGCCTTTCCTTCCAGCTCCTCTGCTCTCCGATCACACCGTGGCGCAAGTCTAGGCTTAGAAGGCATGAAGATCGCGTGGGTCGGCGATGCCAACAATGTCCTATACGACCTTGCCATAGGGGCCACGAAATTAGGCGTCAACCTCTCGGTCGCTTCACCCGAGGGTTACGGCATCCCAGAGCACGTCAAAACCATAATTGCCAAGGCATCGGAGACTTCGCCGCATCATGGCAAGCTTGAAGAGACAACCTCGCCTCTCGAAGCTGTTAAAAATGCGGATGTCATTGTCACAGACACTTGGATATCCATGGGCCAAGAGGAGGAAGCTAAGAAGAGGATCAAAGCCTTCCAGGGCTTTCAGGTTACTAGTGAGATGGCGAAAAAGGGCGGAGCGAAGGAGGGATGGAAGTTTATGCACTGTCTGCCTCGCCACCCAGAAGAAGTTAGCGACGAAGTGTTTTACGGACCGAGGAGTCTGGTCTTCCAGGAGGGTGAGAACAGGCTGTGGGCAGCTGTTAGCGCTCTGGAATCATTTGTCGTTAATAAAGGAAAGATTATTTAGGCTGTTTCGGCTGTCTGACTGGCAAGCATGAACAATGTGAAAGTCTGTAGCAATGAGACCAATTATATTTATGCAGGTTCTACGGGTTCTACATCCACCCAATCTATACTGAGTCTGATCTCACACTCCTTAGCGTCTATATCCACCAACGTACACAGTACATCCCCCTATTCTAATCTCACACCCCCCTTACCCTTCCATAGTACATAAACCCCCGCCATACCCACCTTCATCGCGCCCGAGATCCACAACGCATTCGTAATGTCTCCATTCTTCGTCACGAACCCTCCCAGCATCGCACCTAGCACCAACATGACTGCCGCACACACTCTCCGATTCCTCTTCACATTCGCCGTCATCGGCGCAGTGAACACCTTCTCGTCGAACACTAAATCACAATACGCGCTCGTCAGTACCACCGTCGTGATCTCGCCATATCCCAGAAATCTGCTCAGTACGATCTGGCCCGAGCTCTGGATAGAGAGAAGACAGAGCGGAAGGAGCACGATGAAATTATTTGGCAGTAGAGTGCCAGCGTCGGCGGGCACGACTGAGAAGAGGCAAAGGAGGGCAGATGCGAAGCAGAGAAGTGCCTGAAGGAGAAGGGCGAGGATAACGGTAAGACGGCGCAAGGGCCCTAGGTATCGCATGCAACGTGAGAATAAGTAGGTGCCGAGCATGAAGGAGAGAATTGCAGTGCCGGATTTGGCCCAGCGGTACGGTTGGGATGCGGGTTGGCCGGTGACGCCGAGACCGACATAGACAGTGTTTCCTGTTCTCAACTCTCAATACGGAGATGCTTGATTGGGGCGGAAGAAGGTTATACCGGTCATCATGCTCACGAAGCAGCTCCAGACGTTGAACACGGCGCCATCGAGAAGGCCAGTTACGAAGCATGTTACGATGAGCAGGGCGTCGCCCCATGCTTCTGTGACATCTTCATCGAAGTGTCGCCGGATGTTTGCCCAAGAGAAACGGCTGTCTTTGCGGCCCAGGAGACCTTCTTCGGAATCGCGTGGATGGCTGGTGCCGTTCATCTTGAAGCTTGACTTGCGCAGTATGCTCCAGTGTGCGTACACACCAATTGTTCTATCGCAAGATATTCCCTGGCTCTTTGAAAGGTGAAAACTTGATACTGATGCTACTGATGCTCAGAAGCTTGGGGAAAGAAGATAGAGGTAAAGATTGATACTCGCGCTGCTGAAAGCTACCTATAGCGCTCGTCGGATAATGCGGCCTAGGACCCTGGCCCACAGGCTGTATGAGGCCTAGCTAATGCCCCGCGATAGCATCCATCATAACAGAGAGGCGCACAGGGTCTACGCATGCAGCAACGCGAGAACAGCGACATTGCGCTTGGAGAATGGCTAAAAATCTACCTTTATTGATGTTCTGTTTCCGTCTCCTGTGGTCTTATAGAAGCTCAAGACTAGCGCTTGAAGCTTGAAGTACCGCAATTATGTGGATCTCGGGATGAAATGCTGACATGTCTGGGGAGCCTATCGGAGGTGGGCGATATGCACCGAAAAACCGCGCCCACCTCGGCCAATGAGGGGTCCATTTCAAGTGTTTTGAGTTCTGATATTCTCCGGAGAATCGGAGGCACTTGAACCCAGTGTGTACATTGAGCTCGAGACTGTCGAGATGACTATTCTGTGGATAGGTAATTCAAGCATTCTCGTTCAGTGGTTCGCCATGAGATACGACGAGCCAAGACTATGTTGCAGCTAGAGCGGTGTGCTAAACAGAAGCCATGAAGCTGTTATGTCGTGACGGGGGCGGTGCATGAAGTAGTGACCATGCCCGGTAGCGAGCCAACATGATAATGTGGCACGGACAACTTCGTTCCATAGCGGATTGTAGGAGATCAGAAGTAAGACGCTGCCCCCGTGGTGAGACGTCAAGTAGCCCTGGCAAGACGTTTGTGCGATCGCCATGAATGGCAATACCCGGTCGAGGTAGTGATAATTTCTCCGGTCGGAATGATAGAGCTCAAGATAGGGAGTTCTGCGCCCTGGTTGCGTCCGAATCTGAAATGTACCCGTTGAATTCTTGTAGAGTAACTAATTGATATGTTGCCGTGGTCCAAGCAGTATTATATCGACACGTCCGTTGTCCGGGGAATCTTGGGCGCAAACGCAGCATTTTCCAGCTCCTGAAGCGCGTCCAGCCAGTCAAAGGCCGAAACTCAAAACACTACGGCGACCGAATCGGATGGTCCGTGCCTCCAAATCTCTATCCCTTGGTGAACCGAACAACCCCACCCCCGCTGTGCGATCAGCTACAAAAATCTCTGCCCATCACCTCATCCACCGCTTTTCTTGCATTCTCTTCCCACTCTGCTCCTTTCCCTCCTCTCTTCACTTTTCAAAATACCCCTCTCACTACTGAAATACACAATCTCCCTATCCCGTTTCTTCAGTACCTCAATCCGTTCCACAACCATGGTGTCGTCATCAGTCCTTGGTTTCCCCCGCATGGGTGCAAACCGTGACTTGAAGAAGGCCAATGAAGCATACTGGGCCGACAAGCTCTCCCGTGATGAGCTTCTCGCCGAAGCCAAGAGGCTTCGTCTTGCTCACTGGAAATTGCAGAAGGATGCTGGTGTTGACCAGATCCCCAGCAACGACTTTGCATTCTACGACCACGTCCTCGACCACATTCAGATGTTCAACGTATGCATAATCGTCAGACACAGGGAATCACTAGCTGACTATAACATACAGGCTATCCCAGAGCGCTACTCGAAACACGGTTTGGCGCCAATTGACGAGTACTTTGCCATGGGTCGTGGCCACCAGAAGGATGGTGTCGATGTTCCCAGTCTGGTACGCCGTACTTCACTGCTCACAGTAGTTCAGCACTGACAAACGTTCCAGGAAATGGTAAAATGGTTCGACTCAAACTACCACTACGTCAAGCCTACACTTCAGAAAGACCAGAGCTTCAAACTCGCATCTGACCCGAAGCCTGTCCGCGAATACTTGGAGGCCAAGGAAGCAGGCATCAACACCCGGCCTGTTCTTCTCGGCCCGGTCTCTTTCCTTGCTCTTGGAAAGGCCGACCGTGACCAAGATGTCGAACCTATCTCCCTCCTCCCCAAGCTCCTCCCAGTATATGTCGAGCTTCTGACCGCTCTGAAGAAGGCCGGCGCCGAGACCGTCCAGATTGATGAGCCTGTGTTGGTCTTTGACCTGCAACCAGCCGTCAAGGCTGCCTTCAAGCCTGCCTACGAGGCTCTGGCCAAGAGCGACCTCCCCAAGATCGTTCTTGCCACATACTTTGGCGACATCGTCCACAACTTCGATGTTCTCCCAGCGCTTGCAAACGTACACGCTCTTCACGTTGACCTTGTCCGTCACCCAGAGCAACTTGAGCCCGTAATCAGCCAGCTCGGACCTAATCAGGTTTTGTCTGCCGGCGTTGTTGACGGCCGTAACATCTGGAAGACCAACTTCAAGAAGGCTATTGAGATCGTTGAGACTGCTATTCAGAAGCTTGGTGCAGAGCGCGTCATCGTTGCTACCTCGAGTTCTCTCCTCCACACCCCTCACTCTCTTGATAGTGAGAAGAAGCTCGATGCTGACGTCAGAGAGTGGTTCTCATTCGCTGCGCAAAAGATCCGTGAGGTCGCTGTGATTGCTAAGGCTGTCACTGATGGTCCTGCATCAGTCAAGGCCGAGCTCGAGTCAAATGAGAAGGCTATGCAGGCCCGCGCTACCTCCAAGCGCACCAACAACCCCGCTGTCAAGGAGGCTCAATCTAAGATTACCAAAGCTATGCACGACCGCAAGTCTGAGTTCCCCGCACGTTATGAGCAACAGAAGAAGCACCTTAGCCTTCCCCTCTTCCCTACCACTACCATCGGTTCCTTCCCCCAGACCAAGGACATCCGCATTCAACGTAACAAATTTACCAAGGGTGAAATCACACCCGAGGAGTACGAGAAGTTCATCGAGAAGGAGATCGATGAGGTCATCAGAGTCCAGGACGAGCTTGGCCTTGACGTTTACGTTCATGGTGAGCCGGAGCGTAACGACATGGTTCAATACTTTGGCGAGCGTCTCGATGGGTACGCCTTCACCACCAACGGGTGGGTACAGAGTTACGGCTCACGCTGTGTACGCCCCCCAATCATCGTTGGAGACGTCTCACGTCCAGCTCCTATGACCGTTAAGGAATCCAAGTATGCCGCAAAGATGTCCAAGAAGCCCATGAAGGGTATGCTTACTGGTCCTATCACCTGTCTGCGATGGTCTTTCCCTCGTGATGATGTCCACCAATCGGTCCAAGCTCAGCAGCTTGCTCTCGCTCTGCGTGAGGAGGTTGTTGACCTTGAGGCCGCTGGCATCTATGTCATCCAGGTCGATGAGCCGGCTCTGCGTGAGGGACTTCCTCTCCGCTCTGGCGTTGAGCGCGAGAAGTACCTCGACTGGGCTGTCGACTCTTTCAAGCTTTCCACTGCCGGTGTTGAGGACTCTACTCAGATCCACTCACACTTCTGCTACTCCGAGTTTCAGGACTTCTTCCATGCCATCGCCGCCCTCGACGCTGACGTTCTCTCCATCGAGAACAGCAAGAGTGACGCTAAGCTCCTCAAGGTCTTTGTCGACAAGGCTTACCCCCGCCACATTGGCCCTGGTGTTTACGATATTCACTCCCCTCGTGTGCCTGCTGAGAAGGAGTTTGAGGATCGCATTGCTGAGATGCTGCAGTAAGTAACTTCCACAAAACGGTCACCGTCATAATCCTAATCGTCATTCAGATACTTGAAGCCTGAACAGCTCTGGATCAACCCTGACTGTGGTCTTAAGACCCGTCAGTGGAAGGAGACTAAGGCTGCGTTGATCAACTTGGTCAACGCTGCCAAGATCTTCCGCGAGAAGTACTCTTCTTAAACTAAGCAGCGCCCAACCGCTGCGATGTATTATGCGCTATGAATTTTCAACATGCATGGACTAGAAAAAGCATCTTAGTTTATAGATGGTGCGATTTCAACATCGGCGTTTCAACAATAGGACGTCACATGGGTTGCATGGGGAGTTGACTGGGGAGATGACCGGGGAGATGACTAGGGCGATGATACCATGAAAAGTGTTTGCAGCTTTCAACATGCTGGGGATCTCGACGATACATACGAAAATCGAGGGAGCCTCCGTTTCTTACTTCTTTGTATATCAAATTAAGTAGAGGATGTTTGATTCAAACCTCTCTATGCAGTCTATCTTACGCTATCGATGACAGTATCTAGATGCTCGAGTCGCGGTGGAAACAAATTTAACCAAGTTCACATATATAATGATCTCAACCATCTCTACCGACATTCCGTAAAGTACGAGTTCGAGGATGCAAACGCCTAATTAGTGTGTTACAATCGTGAGGTTGGGCTTATCTAATGGTCATAGCTCTGACGGAGAACCTCGAAGGGTGCACTGCAGGGTTCTCTTAATCTATCCCTCCACCTTCCGAGTCTTATTATCTTATGCAGTTTAGGACATGTCCCGTGTCGCCGCCATCAAGAAGACTCTGTCTTCGCTAGAAAACAGTGTTAAACAGTTCGTATCGTCGTCAGCAGACTTTCGCATCGTACAGACTGTCGGACAGTCTCGAGGAGAATTCAGAACGCTTTTCATTTTGGACTCATCTTTCAATCCTCCATCGATAGCACATCTATCACTCGCAACGAATGCAATTTTTCAACAGAGCTTGACATTCGCAAGGCCCTACCGGCTCTTACTTCTTTTCAGTACTCACAATGCGGACAAGGGCTCGTTCGACCATTCCGTCTTTGCCCAGAGACTAGCCTACATGTCATTGTTTGCTAAGGATATTTCCGATCATTTCACTAAAAGACTATCATCTTGTCCGCCTGGAGCATCTCTCCCTGAATCGTCCATACCAATTGATATTGGCCTCACGAAGTTTCCATACTACCACGATAAGTCGGCTGCAATCTCTAAGGCTGAGCCTCAAGCATACCCAAGCAAGCCAGTTCACGTGCATCTTATCGGTTATGACACCATCATCCGTGTATGTGCACCGCGATACTACCAGGATCACAGTCCTCCATTGTCTGCGCTGGCGCCGTTTTTCGAGGCCGGCCACAGGTTTTTAGTCACCATGAGACCAAGCATTGCCTCAGATAAGTCATCAGCAAACTTTGGAACTTTGGATGAGCAGCGCGGCTATCTTAGACAACTCAGAGACGGTGATCTAGAAGATCAAGGCCTTAAGAAGGAATGGGCGAACCAGATTGATATGATCGAGAGTCCAAACGGAGAAGCAGAAGGCGTGAGCTCCACGAGGATACGGGAAGCGATTGCTGAACAAAATTGGCAAGAAGTACAGACTCTCTGTACACCGAGCGTAGCAGCCTGGTTCGTCGAGACAACCGACAATGGCGGCCATTCTTCTTGAACATCATTTTATTGTCTAAAGACTACTACGGCGTAAGCTGGTCCTTGCAACATTGTCGCGATGCGAAATGTACTTTGCCGTCATCCACGCATGACGACAGATTCGCCAGCTCCTGCGCCACGCCATATTGACAAGAGCACCGACAGTGCCTCTGCTACTCAAAGCAAGCGAAGACGCCTTAAGGCTTTCCCGTTTCCGTCTTTCGATTCGCCCTGGTCTTCTGAGTCTTCGACTCACAGCGAGGTCATCGATCCATTAACACCTTTACAAGATCCAAAAGTGTTGTCACCGCACAGTCAGCGGCGACGCGATCGATATGGGCGGTCAGCTCGAAAGGAGTTTTGGAAAAGCTTCTTTGAGCGAGACATATCATTTTCACTCCGGAACCGACGGTCGCAGAAAGTAAAGAGGCAGAGGAGCCATATACTGAGACGATCCAAAAGTTTTCACGATTTCATAAGGCAGCCTTTCTCACAGAACCCGGAAAAACCAGAGAATGACCCTTTACGGCGTTCAAAGAGCTTCCAGGACTTTATGAAAAGTCCTTTCGGACAGACTCCTCGCAGATCTGCAACTATACCCTTACACCTTCGTAAGAGAAGTAGTGTGCCCAGCTTCAAAGTATATTCGAGTAGGCAATTAATCCTCAGTCTATTTTGATATGTCGCTGACGCTCGTCAGGGGCTAAGAGGATGTCGCGAGCCGGATCGCGTACATTTGTCAAACACGTCGAAGAGATTGAGCCAACAACCTTAGTCGAGCCAATAAATGCGATTGGACCAGCTAGGCTCCTTGATTCGGCAACGTATGATCAAGATGCTCCAGAAATCAAGTCGTTTCGCGCTGTCCATACCCCAAGCTCCGCTTTTGGGAGTGACGACATTCCCACATGCTGGGGTAATGTCCTTCGCCCTTCATCGACCTACTCTCGGCCAGCTTCAGCCCTGCCGCCTGGAGCAGCGGCACGGGTCTCATTTGACGCAGGCAACAAGCCAAGTGGCGCATGGGCACGCTATCCATCCCACACGCGCGAAGCACGAACAGGACCCGCTGGACCTCACCACAATGTTCTCCAACGAGACTTTGTACATGAGCCACGACTCAGTAGCCAGCCCTTGAACATCGGACAGTCCATCACCGAGATGATGCGACCACCACGCAAGAAGAAACGAAATGTATTGAAGAGAAGTCAAAGCGTCCAGTTTGTACGCACTTTTGTACGCGAATACACAATGATCTTCACCCGTCAATCTGCCGAGTTCATACGCCATGGTCACGGCCACAGATCGTCCATCTCAGCTGGTGGCATCTTGGCCGAGCCAGAGCTAGAGCTGGTCCCGCCCGCATTTCCAGCTTTTCCATTGCCACGTGAGACGAGTTCCAGTGTTAGCACAAGGAGCGATCCGGGACGCCGCATGTCGTCTGTGAGGCTCAAGAGCTCAAGCAATTACTCTGAAGGAACGAAGCAGCAGCACCTGCATGGCGGCGACATGAGTGCCGACTGGCCGGCACCGAAGGCACCAATCAGTGCGAGCGAATTGTATGCACAGTGGTACTTTTCGGAGTGTGTGAAGAGTACGTGATGTGATTGATGGATGGGGCTGAGGAATGTGAAAGTGAGAGGTCGAGAGAGAGACAGAGAGAGAGAGCGTTTGGGTAAACGGAGAACGTTGGCTTGGAAACAGGAGTTATCCCCATGTTTTGGTTACGAGTATCGTTAATATGATGATATTCTTTTTGCCAGGCGGGCTTTCCATACGAATCGAGTAAACGAGTGCTTCTTCTGCATTGCAAAATAAGTCTCCGCTGGACGTGATGTAGTATATACGTACGTATGCAAGCCGGGTCAGCCGGAAGTCTTGTAGATCTCCTGTATTGCCGTGCCCTTTTACCAGAAACTTCTTCATGCGTGAAAGACAGATATGCTCTGCTCGTGCTCTCTTCGTTTGCTTATGTACCGTGTCGCACCATAGTGGATTATTGTCGGACTGCTGAGGAATACCAACTGCCAACCGTGAATGAGATGGTGAGATGTATTCGTCGAGTCATCTAGTATCATATGCCACTGCTCTCTGCGTGACTTAGGATGTAGATGATGCACCACGCAGTAGAAGATAGTAAGCGAGCAGTAGTACGTGCCCAAGGTTCAGGGTGGAGTAGGTTTATTCTTTTCTCCCAGAAGCCATGAGAAAAAGTCAGGCCAATATCTATATATTGGGCTTTTCTACGACCTTGCTGCCTTTCATTTTCCTTTGAGTAATTGATTGACACGTAAATGTAGCTTTACACTTTGATTCATTCTCGAGGTTAGAGGTAGATCTGAGGTTCAAGCTGCTGGCGAAAAAACGCGTCCCAGGGAAGCCCCCACGACTGCTGAGTTTGTGGGAGTAGGCGCGTTGTGAGAGGATTTGGACTTGGGTAGCTGTCTGGAAGGGGGTTTGAAGGGGGCTTTTGGTTGTTTATGTTCTCATTGTGTGTATGGATGGATGAACGAACATGTAGACGAAGAGTGAAAAGACAATCTTGATTGATTATTGTTATGATTACTATTGCCCCATTACTATCATCCACTTCCCAAAATATCCAAACATAGAACTAATGTAATATAGTAGAAACATCATCTAACCATCCAACCATCTCCTATCTGATATACTTTCCATATCCACATCTATTATATCTCTATTAACTCCGACCTTAATATTCTGAATCATACTAAATGAATTCATCGTACTTTCCATCATGCAAAATAGCATACCCTACCCTTACCTAGCTTGTACGTCCTTCTTACTCTAGACCTTACTCTAGACTTACTCTAAGCTCTCTCTCCCGTCTAACACCTCTATCTCTCTTTTCTATTCTATGCTCTTCTTCTAGGTAGAAATAATAAGAAAGGTCTATATATAATCTATTTCAAGGGTTAGGGAGGGAGGGAATAGTATATACCTATTGCTTCTATGTTTATCTATAGAAGACGAGGGGTTAGTATGTATATCTCTCTCTTTTATTAATACTTATATTATAGAAGAAGAAGAAGAAGAAGAAGAAGAAGCAGCAGCAGCAGCAGCAGCACACCTTAAAACCCCTCCATTCATCCACCCCTAAAAGATATAAGCCCCCTTCTATCTAGATACTAACGCGCCTCAAACCCCTAAACCATCACTAGATAATAACAGACCAAAGTCACCAAACTAGTAGTATATATATATAGCATATACCATTGCGGAGACCTCAGTACAACTTGGTATACACACCATGCTTCTAGGAATTTACAGCCTTATTTTCGAGAGACTAGTAGACATGTATATCCATCCTATCACCCCTTCCCTCTCTCGTCGTCGTCGACTTAGCTGCTAAGTTACTACAATAATAAGAGGCCTTGAGAGTCGAATTATAATGCCGCGTAGTGTAGAGCAGTGTAATACGATATCATGCCTTAGTAGGTTTATTAGCTGGCTGACAAAGCTACATAACAAACACCACAGTTTGATCATGGTTCGACACGCATGCATGGGCTCTCTAGAACCCGTGTGCTGTTCCTGTGAGCAAGGAGACTTCCGGATATAGAAAAAATAGTGGGTATAGGCAGTCACCGATCGCTCTTGCTAGGTGACGACATTACTTGGAACATTCCTGGAGATTTTTGGAGGGTTCGAGGTTCGAGGGTTGTGTTGTATGGTTGGGTGGGTGGGAGCTTGGAAGGCTGGTAGGTTGGTGGTCCTGGTAGGCTACGGGTAGCGCACATGGAGGAATATGCGCTAACTTACGGCGGACTTTAGTGCCCGCTTCTCCTTCCGCGACAACGGCATATGGATGAATATTGTCTGACCCCTTGGAGACATGTAAGCAGCCTACTGCTTCTCCGCCTTCTCCGTCCTCCTACATACCATCTGTACGGCGGCTTTGGAAGCGTGGCTGCTGATATTTTTGATGGAGTCAGGTTACCAGGGTCACGGTACCGCTGTTATTTCATTGACGTTCCACTCAAAAGCTGACGGGATGCTGTTGCAGAAGGATGCACAAAGAAATGCAATCGATAGGGGCTTGACGCCATCTACCTGTGACGTTGTGTTGCGCCAGTGATTTCACCTGGCCCCGTACCAGCCGTCGATGCTTGAGACATATTGGATTCATCGCCAATCATGACATGCGAGACATGTCTGTTTGTGTGCCTCAGGTGCTTTTGCATCAGATAATGTATGACGCCAGCGATGCAGCAAAGCTTCTGCGGCTTTGATGTTGCCGCTCGCCTTAGGCTTCCTTTTCCCCCAAAGTTATGTGTCTATCGGGACTGGTCTCGCTTCGTCGTTCGTCCGTCCACACACCATTGAGACAGCCAGTTGTGATTGTCATTCTTAGTGCTTGATATGGAAGGTAATTACCTCCAGCATCCAGGCATGTCTTGCAGGGGCCTGATTCTAGGTATCAATTGGGCTCGAAATCGTCGCTCATTGCCCAGTCCATCTGCTGCAGTAAGAGCGATTGTTTATAATGCAACTGCTGCTCACACTATTGTGACTTGTCAACCTGTCCGCTTGACAGACGCCATGAAGGATAGGTGTTGCCCAGGGCAAATATTTGCAAGGTGTCGGGCAGCCCGGACGATCTGCAGCCAACTCGGAGGATTGGGGAGAGCTGATCCTACCCACATCCTAGATAAAGTAAGCTCCGGTTAGCCGATTCAACACAGGCCATGAATCGTTCTATACTACCATGTCGCCGTGAAATCTCACACTTGTCCTTTGAACAGGGCTGGCGGTCGAACTCCGAAAGCGTCATGTCGTCGGAGACGCTACGAGGACAACATGTTCCACGTCCCAATGGTTTGGAGCGGGGTATGAGTTTGAGATTGAGGTTTTGAGTGGGGAGACCGGGGGAAGATCCTGCGGACAGATGCGAAGATATTGTGCGACTTTGGAAGCATTGACGCGAGGGCATAATAGCTCATGGAACGATTCACAAACAAGCTTGGGTAGGAATAATTAGAGTGGTGGTAGAGGTAGCGGCCAGTATCACCAACAGAGGAGCGAGCGACAGCTTCTAATTAGCGCGCGCCTGTCCGCCGACTTGTTCCTTTGTGCACCTATGAGGAAGGTGTAGGGTTGTTGCCAACCTTTTGCCAATGTAACCTTCGCAAGCACTCAGAAGCTCGCCTTACTACCCCAAACATCCCCTTTGTACTATCTAGCAAGCCAAAAGGGGCCGTGCTGTGCAGATAACGAGACCTGAATAATCAGGATAATATTGTATCCCCTGAATGCTCGTCAAATCTAGCTTCACTTGGCCCACTCTCTAGTAGAGCGTCCTTGATGTATGCAGATTCTAGGCCGTCGTGCTAACTGTAGCGGATATTGTAAGGATATGTGCTCCCCCCACCCGAACCATACACTATTCATGTACATGTACATCTTCAAACTTGTCACATGAAATTTGCTAGCTGTGGCCAAGATGGTGAGCCAACCATCATTGCCAACTAATCATCCAGGACAAAGACAAATCATAAACAAAAACAATCTAGACAAAGACTGAGCAAAAGACTTCATTTCCCCCCACGGACTTTATTACTCCAATGCGCCAAACAAAAAAACTCCGTCGTCAGGTCGTGATATTAGATGTGCTAACAGAGGCCGGCGTACCGATTTCATCGCCCACCTGGCCTAGCCGCATGAGTGTTTTCCGTTTTCCGTCCGAATGATGTGCTATTTAAAAGTTTTGGGGATATCCTAGGCAGATGTAACGCCAACTTGACCTATGTGATAAAATGCTGCGCAGACGGAGACTGACGTATATATGCCTTGGTGCAGTCGAAACGAGGGTACGAAGTATTGACAAGAATTGCTTAAATTGCCCCCTTGGGAATTCCTGAAATAGCGGAGGCATGCGGCTCATGATTCGTTTTGATGTTCGTCTATGATTGAATTCATCAATGAAGCAACCCCTCGAGCGGTAGTGACGGGGGAGTTTGGGGCGGTAAAGGCTGACAGTCGCTCCTTTGGTGGGGGCTCGTCCTTTTGACATGCATTTTCCAGTTGATTAGTCCATTTCCCACTGGTCCCAGCATGGCTGTGCTTGAGATGCTGGCGAAAGTGGTCCGCGCGAAAGAACTTTTTTGCTTGATTACACTCGCCGTACTTGTGCACGTGATTCAAATGCTCGGATCGTACATCCCAATTAGCGGGATTTGGGAATTCCTCACCGCAATAACCACACACGTCTGCACCTGGATGCACAGTCGAGGGGTGGTATGCGGCGTGCACACCAGCCAAGGCGGCGCAGGACCAAGAATGCTTTCGTAGATGGAGTGAATTCTGATGACGCTCTGCTTCGTTTTTGTTCTTGAAGCGGTTAGGGCAATATGCACAGGTATATTGCTTTTCGAGCTCGTGGATTCTGTAGCAACAAGTCAGTAAAGTGGGAGGGCGAGATAAATGGTTGGATGTGGTGGGAGGAGGAATTACCGAAGCTCCTCTTCGCTCTCAAACTTCTTTGGCTTCTTGGGGCAGCATTCACAGATGAAGTGACCCTGTGCTTTGGAGGCACTACTGTTGTGGCGCGAATGAGCGTGCATGCTGTCTTGAGAGAGTTTTTGCGAGTGCTGCTGAGCCTGGTGGTGGTGGTGTTGTTGTTGCTGTTGTTGTTGATGGCGGTGGTGTTGTTGGAGGGCGGCGGCGGCGGCATCGATGGCGATTGGGTTATCAGAGAAGCCTCCCGACAACCGCTGGAGCGCCTGGACGTGGGCGGCGGGTGCGGGCGCGGGCGCTGGTGCTGGTGCTGGTGTTGCTAGGCCTGAGGCCCCTTTCGATGATAACGATCCACGTGGGCTTAGGTGCGGTGCTGCGGGTCCAAGCTCCCTATCAGCACTACCACCACCACCACCACCACCACCACCACCACCACTCCCGCAGTTACCCCGTCCTCCGCCAGGCGACAGAGCCCCTGGTGACAACCGCTCACTGCTATAGCTTGTTGCACTACTGGCCAACGACACCCCGTAAGACGATGCATACGAATTCGTTCGCGGCCCAAATGACGATGCCGATGATATCGAGCCATGCTGCCCAGTCTGGAATCGTGACACTGGTGAGTTGCGATGGCTACCCAGCATCTGCTGTGACCGGCGGTGGTACAGGTCAATGCCGCTTCCCGTTGGCCTATCCTCTCTGGCTGCCTCTACGGGCGGTGATAGTGCTGCACGCTTCACTCCAGCCTTCGGTCCAGTTTGATATTCGTCTGATCCGGGGCTTCGATCGTTCATGCTCAAATCCCTCACGCCGCTCTCGTCCATGCCAAAGTCCGTGAACACTGTACTCTGGTCATAACTGCCCGTGCCCTGTTGTCTTGACACAGGAAGACCTCCGTCTGTAGACACGCTGCCAAAGCGCCGCATTTGTGTGCCTTCTCTTTCTAAGGGTGCAGGATCGAACGTCGGGCTTTTGAAGCCTCCTGGCGAGATCGTACCAGATGGCGGCCAGCGAGACACCGGGCTTGTGAGACTGTTGCTGCTGTTGGGTCTACGGTCGGGCGTAGCGAGGGGTGGTAGACCATTCAGCTTGGCCACACCGGAAGGTGCATTTGGCCCACCAATCTTGGATAACAGCTGCTTGTCGTATGCCTGTGAAGAGTTCTGTAGGGACTTCTGCCCAAGCTGCCTTTCGCTTTGTAGACTACCAGTAGTCAGTAGCTAATTCCTCAAATGAGCATTATGCTCCCCAAAAATGCATCAAGTGCACAAAGCGTGAGTACGGCTTTTGCAGACTTGTTGGGTGACACGTTCTGAGTAGTGCATACCTGTAGTTGGTCGTCGACGGCCTGGCCTTGTCATCGTCGTCGGGCATTTCTGTATCGCTCGACCTCGACAGGAGGCTTAGTCGACGCGAAGATGTACAGTCGACGGCACTGTCCGGCTTTTCTCGCGAAGGTAGACTTGCGAAGCCACCGAGTAAAGAGGAGCCTGGCTTGACGGATCCATGATGCTGTCCTCCAAAAGAAGCCCGAGTTGGGTCGTTGGCAAACTGCCAACCGATGTCACGGTGCTGGTCAAGATCACTGATGTAGCGGGGTGGAGGAAGAGGCGGCGGCACCGCTTCTCTTGCATTGGGTATGGCCATCGGGGCAGAGGGCCCGGAAGGATACGAGGAGTTTCGAGAGATCCCGGCGTACCGATTTTGTTGATTGTGGTGGTGCGCCGAGTCATATATTCGAATTGATGGCGTGGTTGACGTCGCGTGCGACATGGCCAGCTTGGCGAGCGCCTTGCCACGAGCTGAAGGGGAGATTAAGTACAAACGTAATTGGTAACGCCGTACCAGACTTTAGTGGCGATCCAGACGGAAACTATCGCAAGGCGCTGGAACGAGTTTGCACTGGGATGACAAGTATCCGCCAACGGGAGAGCCGAATGAACTAGAGCCAGGGAGTAGATGAGGAGCGGCGCTCGCGGCTCAGGTCAAAGCGAACCACAACACAATCCGCGGCAGAAGGAAGGGAAGGAGGAAGCACACCGGTCAAGGGCTTGAGGGGGAACCATGAACCGCAAGGCGGAAGTCGGGAGAAGAGAATTGTGAATGTTTATCTCCAATGCGTCGCCAGGAGAAGCAGAGAAGAGAAAGGGTTGGAGGTGGAGAGGAGGAATAAGGAATAAATCAGCGAAAGAGGGTGTTGCAGATGCTGGTGGGGGATGCTAAGGTTAGCAAATGGCTCGTAGTAGCAGCTTCATAGGGCTGATCCATGGGGGAGGGGTGCGCCCGTTAACCGCACAGTGGGCTGCCTATGGAGCACCCTCCCTGCAATTCCAACCATGGTCGAGACACACACACACACCACACACACCCACACACACACACTACTAGCTAATTACCTACCTACCCACCACGCACGCAACAACCAACACGCAATTCGCAACACGCACCGCACACACACATACACACGCACCACACACCAGCGGCGCCAGGCATCAAGGGCGCCATGACACTACGGCGGGTGGAGTGGATGGGTGCGTGCGTCGTGGTGGTGGTGGTGTGCCGTCGTTGGCGCTGGAGGCAGTAATACCTAGGACCCTACGTCTGGGCTACTGTCTGGCGGCGACCGGGGGGGCTCAAAGCACAAATCGGCAGGAGTTTGTGTGCACAAGCGTGGGGAGGACCACCAGGCTTTCAACTCACCTCTTTCGAGTCAGCCACTTGGATATATCCTCCGCCGGCCAAGCAGCAATCAATGGCGAGTGGTGACCGTGCGTGTCCGGACGCAGATGCGGTGAGTGGCAATGATAACTACTAGCAACTCGAGAGATGTCGTCTTTCGCTTACAGACCTTGCTTGGCAGAATTTGTTTGGTAGAAGGTATACAATGTCTGTCACATCACGTCTGTCAGGCGAGTGAGATGCAGACAACGCAATGATATCTGTACAGACCTCGAGCTGACGCGCGGGCTGGCAATTGGACCGCGCAGTCCTACTACGGTATCCTCAACCTGGTCTGCCAAGTGAGAGCTGCAGCGTAACCGGGCCAGATCGAGCGAGAAAGGTCCTGTATGCAAGCGAGCGACAAGGCACAAAGTAGATGGCTGGTGGGAAGTGGAGCCAGTCGACTTGAAGAAACCATGCGAGATGTTGAAGCAGGATAATAGCAAAGAAGATGTCGCAAGAAGAACGAGCAGCCAGAGCGAGGGCCATGGATGACTGGCGGCTGGGACGTCGATTGATGGGAACAGAACAAAGACGTGCTGCTGCATTGCTTTAGGGCCAATAGTTTGGCAGCAAAATTTCTATTTGGGGACAAAGTCTGGAGCACTCAGCAGATGGAAGGCAAGACGTCAAGCCTTGATGCAGGGCTAGGCATGCATGGCGCCTATCAACCCTGACATCAATCAACAAGTTACAATATGCAGCGTGAGAAGCTACTGTCTGAAACGACATTCGATTGGCCTCAATATCAAAGAACGACATAGTTATGCAGCAGAAAGGGAGGGAATGACGGTCGACAGGGCATGATGAGAAAGGTGGAAACAGGTCCGTTGGCTTGAAGCGTGAGCAAGCTGCAGTCTTCACCATTGCACCGGAACACGCTTTGCCATAAAGGTGATTTGTTGGCATTGTCGTCCAGGGCAAAGATACATGATGTCAAGCCCGCATTTGCTGACACAGCGCAGGCCTTGGTAGGATTGGTACCAGAGAGAAGCCATATTGCCAGGCCAAGTGCAGCCAATACTATGGCCCTCAGAAGCTGCTGCGCTCTTGATTGTTGGCTTTCTGTTCTTTGGTGGTGCAGGTCACCCCTAGCCTGGATAGTCCGCGTGCACTTCTGCAGTGAGGAATGAGATGCCCTAGGGAAAGCAGAAGCGAGATGCACTGCACATAAGCTTAACCGTCGGGACACGTCTGGAAAGTGCTATATGACTCGTGAGAGGGCCACAGAAAGAGGGTCCCACCCCATAATGAAGCGATACTGTCCTTCTCCGGTGCGCCTGGCGTAGCGGAAGACGGTGCAAGTTTCATAAACATTCCTCTGTTCGAGTTGCGTCTGGCTCAATCATTTTCCAATGTCAACACTTAGCTAGTCACAATGAGAGCGCATGCTTGGCTCGGAGACAATGCTCGGAACTAATTAGACTTAAAGACGCAGGTAAACCAAAGCTCACACCTCCCTCACGCCGATGAAAATAGAAACAAGAGACAAAAGACAAGACAACCATGATGAAGGATGAACGGCTTGGAAGACCGGGGCCAACCACGCACGCAAAGCAAAATCGGAGCCGTAACAGGCACAATGCTATGTCTAAACTCGTAAAGTGTAGCCACAGCCTCGAACCTCGAACCCCTTTAGCTGCGCTCTTTGTGCTCCATAATTGTAGCCGTCAGCCTTACCAACCACAAGTGAGAAGGTGGGGACAGCGAAACGCCTGATCCCGGCGGCCGTGTTGTGCCCCTATCACATACCGTTCTGCTCCTATTCACTGTTTATACAGTATCGTCGTACATGTTCTCGCATCTCGGCACGCATTTGCTCCAGACCAATGATGTATCTTCCGTCAGGGCTTATGCTTGCGCTCAGCTGGCTTTTGACGACGCACAACAACGTGGCCATCCTCAGCCTTGAGTGTTTGTGGAGGCAATGCACGTCACAATACAGATCTAACGGCTCTTCGCACGAGATCGAGCCTCGAGCTCCTCTGTTCGCTAGCACTTATCAGAAGAGGCGAGGGATTTCAAGGCTGTGTGGCGGTGCATGGCCACCCCTGTTTACTCAATCTCCCTGCCGTGCTGGGCTGGCAGGGCTTGCCAGTAGAGTTGAGAGGGCCAAGCTACTGTCCATCGCCTCGCGCTATACGGCGTGTCGCTGATTTTCCGGCCCATACTCGATTGCGATCTAATTCTCCAGAAGTCTAGCAGCAGCGCCACTGAAGACCAATGTGCAGCTGCTCGGATCGGCTGCCAAGCGTGGAGAATTTGATAAAAAAGTAATGAACCGGGAGTACGACAGTCTTGGTTGATGAATTAACCTGCTCCTGCGTTGCGTTGCCCAACGCTTGCGCATCTTTTTATCCCCCCAGCATGTCGGCAGACTGTGTTTTGTGTGCTACTTGCAGTATGTGCTTTTCACCATGCCGAATGCGTCAGAACGTGCAGATGCTGCGGATCAGTCCATTGTTCGTACATAGTACAGGGATACTCTCTCAGACTCCAGTCTTGCGGAGGCATCGGATGCCTGTTTCCGACAACGCAGGGTGTTCTCCTGGACAAGAATTGAGGTTTGTCTTTGCCATTGCGGAGCTGGATTGTAGTTCTTTCGGGGCGGGCCGTTGAGCATTACATATAAGGCTACAAGGCAGAAACAGTCCTGACGGCCTGAGGCAGCCGGGCTAGATCTACAACCGACCGCACGCACTCTCTTAGTCTGACTACAGTGCAAACCTCTTCGAAACGATTCCCGAAGGTCCCATCTCCAATCGTGCTCTTGCGCTTCAACGTTCATCTGAATTCCAACAGCGATACTACACAATCAAACTCTACTCTGTTGCCGTGCCTTTACGCACATCTTTCGCCCTGAGTGATGCGCAGCTGACCCGGGCCCTTCTCAATTCAGCTTCAGCAACCTACAGATCTACGGATCTACAGTTGAGAATTCTGGTTTCGCACCTACATATACGTTGGAGATTGAGACTATCAACTCCTCTCATTCTATAAGCTCTTGTGCGCGTCGTCTGTATCTCCTTACGCCTCTGGGGACACAAATCGGATCACTGGTTGCTCTTGAAGCCTCTCCAGCACAGAGCCATAATTAGTCATTTTCGCGACCGCCACCATTTCCACTCCGTCTTCTGCCATGTCGTCGCTAGACCGTGTCCCGGGTGACCATAACATCTATATTGGAGGGTATGTCACCGCATTTTCAGCCTCAAGCTAGCAAGCCCTCACAATGGCGTGCTCCTAACACTCAGCGGCTGATCCATTACCCACAGGATGTTCAGCCTTCGAAGAAAGGACGCTTTTCAGAAGGCCAATATTACACACGTTCTATCAGTGCTGCGCATGGGCCTGGATCGAGAGCTTTTCGATCCCTTTCACCACATGCAAATCGAGGTGGATGATGTTGAAGACGAAAACCTTCTGGTTCATTGGCCGTCAACCAACAAATTCATTCAGGAAGGTCTTGATGGCGGAGGTGGCGTCTTCGTGCATTGGTAAGTGATCTTGCCTTCAGCTGATAATGTCCTCTCATTCGTGCACATTTTCCTATTGCCACTTGTCAGCTACACAGACGGTATGCGATTCTTTCAAATCCTTTTGCGAACCGCTGCACAAGCCTCATCGGTGCATAGCACGAGCTTTCGCCTTGATTTCTCCCCAAGCCATTGATGCCCCTGCCACTTTTGTACAACTTTGCTACGCTTTCAGGGCAATGCAGATCTGATTCACGTATTGACACTCAATTTCCAGCGCGATGGGTAAATCGCGATCAGCAGCTACCGTTATAGCCTTCTTACTGCAGAAACATCGCATTATGCCACAGGAAGCTTTGGATCTTCTTCGTCAGGCTAGACCCATCTGCGAACCCAATGAAGGCTTCATGCACCAGTTACAGCTCTTCCACGAAATGAATACCCCTGATGATGTCGAAAGCTCTCCAGTCTATCAACGGTGGATGTACATGCGCGAGGTGGAGATGAGCCGTGCATGTGGACAGGCCCCTGATGCCGATAAGATCAGGTTCGAAGACGAGCATACACAGAGTATCGACAAAGCACGCTTTGAAATGAAGTGTCGCAAGTGCAGGTAATCACGATTGCACCCTGAATGCCTCATCCAGCCTCGATAGGCTTAGCTAACATACGTTTAGGCGTCCATTGGCTACGTCGCAATTTTTAGAGCAACACAGCAAATCCACTCTAGAGGACAAAAAGATAGAAAAAACCGGGAATCCTTCACTCGCAGATTGTGCTCATTATTTTGTCGACCCGCTATCCTGGATGCGCCATGAGCTCGAGCAAGGTAAAGTCGAAGGCCGCCTGGAATGCCCAAAGTGTCGGACCAACGTTGGGAAATACGCGTGGCAGGGCATGCAGTGTAGCTGTGGCACCTGGGTCGTGCCTGGTATTAGTCTGTCCAGAAGTCGCATTGACGAAGTGAAGGCTCGTGCGACTGCTCCTGGGCTGGGCATTCGTCGCCCTCCTGGTTTGCAAGATAGTCAAACAGAGCGGAATGCGACAATTGCTGTCAAGTTGAACCTTTGAGAGGTCCAATGCATGACTGCCAGGGACGTCCACAGCACCTTATTATCACTATGGTTCCTATCAAAACATTGAATCGAAAATGAGTCTCGTACCAGCTCCAAGGATGAGGAATCAGAACCTGCAACTCAGTACCATGAGAGATGCCCGTGTCCAAATCACGCTGCGGTTGTCTTGTCATCCGAACACATATTGCGACCAGCGGCGATGCTGCTGGGATTTCATCGAGTCGCTGCTCGGCTGGGGTATACGTGAACATTCTCCGGAGCCAAATCGAGGCGACGCGCATAGATCAGGGAGCGAAATGAGTATGTTGGTAGCAACTGCGAACGAAACGCCGACAGCGGCTGCAAAGACCCTCCGTCCAGTGTATGAAATACACCAAGTCCGATGAGATTCGATTCAATGTGCGACACGAGATCAGGGGCCTGTCGGCAGAATCTACCGAATACCCACTGTAACGTGCACCACTGTATCGGCTCCCGTGATGCCCAACTCGTAAAAACATCATGTAAACATCTCCCCACTTCGATCGATCTAAATTAGCGCTACACAGGGCATACAGCGGTTATATGAGTGTAAAGGCTTGGTGAGCTTCACTCAAACCGAGTATTTCTACTGGTATCGACTCTCTGAGCACTATCATCGACTCTCACGCGTGGTTACAAATGAAGCTCAAGCCATTTCAGAATCCATGTTATCGCGTTGCTCGACTTCCTCGCAGGTCCGTGACACCATAAATGTCTCATATCAAGAAACTTAAGATGTAGAGGCGTTGTCATATATGTCAAGGAAAGGCATGCTTTAGTATTCTGTCACCACCACACTATCGATTTTCGTATAATGCAGATAGCGCTCTGCACAGTCCAGCATGTTGTCTGAAGAAATCTGGCACGTCTTTCGCTGAATCCCTATAACTTTGCAAACTCTGTATAGCACTCCCATACGAGATAGCGGAACTATGAGGCATATCACTAATCTCTCCTATCCGTATCCAGACACGTAGTCACTACATGCGCTGCCCCAAAGGGTGGATTCGCCTCCGAGCGCTTGCGTGTGTGAAAGCATGTCATGATTCACTACATAAGCGAAGGATTAGCACCGATGCTGTTCCACGGAAGTCTTCGGTAGGACAGCTCACAGCTGTCTATAGCCAATGTACTTGACTAACAGCACGCATGAGCACAGGCGTTATGTTGATCCTTACTACTACGCTCTTCGACTATCGACGTGTATGCTCTGTAGTACTGTAGCGCAGTGCGGCATACGTACGACTCAGGGGTAAATGACGGTGACGTACATTATCAAGATGTGCGCGGCCTTACTACCGCCGAAATACTCGTTATTAGCCACCACTGATCACATCGGAGGCTTCGTCGTTCGTATCTACACAAGCGAAGGTGTACACGAATGTCTTACACTCGCAATCTTCATATCAGAACAAGTAGTGCTCGAGCTCAATCAATATTAGCACCCACACAGTATCGCCACAAACACATGGCACCTGAACCCAACGCCTGACCCTATTAGGTCTAAATTTCCATATGTCGCCGTATATCTCGCAGGCCTCCACTTCCCCACACTCGCTCGCAACAAACCCATCGGCGTTCCGCGCTCGAGGGATTCGGTAACGGTATCCTGACCCACAGTAAGCACGAGCACAGTGAGTCAGCCCTTAAATGTGGCATTCTCCCATTAGTGACGTTGATGTCGCACATGGCACAATCTGGTGGTGTTACCTAAGGGCATGTTTAATGTTATGGAGCCCGAGATCAGACGATTGATAGTTCTGTCCTGGGACTAAAAAGTCCAATATGGGCGATCTGGAAAACATGTCACCGGGCCGTCATCGATCGCAAGATCTGGAACTCTAAGCCCTGCAATATCGTTGGGATGATAAGAGATAGTTGTTTACTTCGTCAAATATTCCGCACACATGAGTAGAGTCGATATTTCATCACATCAACATTTAAGATAGAGGACTATCAAGAACGAAAAAATTTGGCTCCGCGGGTTCAATATTGATGGTTGAGGCAGCTGCCAACCTGTGCCGCAACGTCTTGACCAGACTAGTTATAGAGCGCGTGCGATCATGCAACCCGGCAAGGTCGCAGACTGTCACCAGTGCCAATGCTTCGGCCTCGCAGCGACCACCACGTCTCCACCTCATGTCATGTATTTCTTCTAGCCATAGAGCGGCACTTGACCACCACCAAATGAGATAATGGTTTGAGAACATTGCTCCTTGCTAGTCGGAAAGTCAGACCAGCAAGAGGCAATGTCCGGGCGTCAGAACTCAATCTTAAAACGTCTTGGCCTGTACACTAGACGACCTGATCTTAACAGCTATCTATGTGAAGAAAAAAAATTACCAAGAAAGGACTGTTGCGCTGTGATTTACATGAGCTGTCGTCCGGTATCGCAGCCATCTACCCCCCTGATCCAAGACACCCGAGACCGCAGAATGCATACCAAGATGCGGGGGTCACGGACCGGAACGACTCTCGGTGTCAGCGAAGCGGGATGATTGCTGCAAGCCGGCATCCACGGACCTGTTAGTGTTGTAAACTAATTGCTGACTGCAGATTTCAACGCATGCCAAAGGCGACTAATTCGAGTGTTAGGGCTTAGCGTCGGTCGCTACACATTCGGCGCTTGGCAAATGCGTGGATTGTAGAGTATCCAGGGACGGTGTCTGTAAGCAGTTCATGGATGCTGTCCAGTAAGAGAGCAAGGTTCGCCTGAAAAAAGGCGGGTGGAATGGGTGGTGTCGTACAGAGTGCATTTGCCGTTGAGAGAGGCAGTGCCGTTAGGTTGTTACGTGAGACTGTGGCTCGACGGCCAGTCCAGCTTCATCAGGGAAGGTTCGAAGGCACGGCTGGGAAGGTTGATGGATCCTTCAGTCGCTCCCGGTTTCTCTTTGCTAGCTCAGCGTTGCGGATTCGATCGAGTCTCTGTTGATAGAAATTTCTACGACGGTGTCAGTTTACAAGTCAAACAATAAAGAGTGTGCGTACTTATGTAGTGAATAGATTCGTGGCCCGTCGTCTCCCGCTGTCTCCTTCTTGGATAGGGCATCGATCTAGGCGTAGTGGTCAGTTACACTTCTCTTGACGAAGCATGAAGCCTACCTTGTCATTCTTCTCTTTCTCCAAGGCGCTCTCTTCCTCCTCACCCTTCTGTTCTTCTTCCTTCTTCTTTTCGTCACTTTTGTCCTTCTCCTTCTTCTTGGCTTCCTTCTTTTCCATCCTCTTCTTCATTTTCTCGGCATACTCCTTTTTCACGGCATCGATCTCCTTCTGCATATCATCATCTTTCTTACGTTTCTCAGCTGCTGCAGCTTCATCTGGATCTGGAACAGCAAAATTCCTATCCTTCAGATGCCCAGCACAGGTATAGAAAAAGTCCTGAGATGACATTTCATGTCAGCTCTACAGGACTAATTATGTTTTAGCCCTTTCTTCTCCCCAAGTCACTCCTTACCTTATTGTCTGGGGTGATGAGGACACTCGTCGAAGGCTTATAGCAGATCCAGCACGCTTTTGCAGCACTATCTGCAACGCGCCGGTGATACCACGTATTTTTCAGTGCCATGATGAATTCATGCAGTGCGACTGAGAATGAAAGAAAGGAACGTCGTGCTTGAAATCGAGACCGCACGTGTCCGAGGATTGCGGGGGACCTAGCGTGCTGCGCCACAGGGTTCTCACAGGCTGAGCACAGCCACGATCTATTTCATTGTTTCCAGGTTTTCTTTCAGTACAAACAAGTATTGTGCAGGCAACAGACCTGCATACAAACACTATCCAACCTTGTATCCACTCATGAATGTACATATTCACACAGATGTGAAGTACTTTCCTTGCTTAATGTCCTCCAAGAGCGGTATCTCCTTCGGCTCCCACCCCAGCTCGTTCTTCGTCTTCACATTCGAGGTCGGATTGTTACCGCCCATTGCGAGACCAAGAAAGCCATAGTGCTCTAAGACTTCCTCTGCTCCCATACTAATGGTAGGCAGCCCCAGCTTCTGGCCGATGGCCTCTGCAATATCTTTCACAAGCACCGCCTCTTCTGCTACCGCATGGTAGATCGACCCAGCAGAGCCCTTCTCGAGGGCCAATTTATACAGTCGAGCAGTGTCAAGCCGGTGGACTGCCGGCCACCGACTATGTCCTTCCCCGATGTAGGCTGACTTTCCAATCTTGCGAGCGGTCGCGATCATCATTGCGATGAAGCCTTTATCACCTTCACCGTGGTTGGTTGGTGCTAGTCTTATGACCATCGCGTGAACACCTTGCTTGGCCAGGTCAATAGTAGCAGTCTCTGATGGTCCACGAGCAGCCGCAAGTGGCGTGCTAAGGTCTGGTAAGTCATTTTCCGTGACGAGGCGGCCCTGCGGGAGTAAGAGAGTGCCACTTGTGACAACGAATGGCTTCTTTGTTCCCAACAGGGCGGCACCAATTGTCTCGATGGCAACCCTATCAATACGACACCAGTCTACGAAGTCGCCTACAGGCTTCTCTTCCTTGTCCGACTGCGCTCCTTCCTTTTCTTCGGGTTTGAAGTCGTGTGTGAAGGCGCAATGGATGACTGCGTCCGATGCTGCTGCACCTGCTTTGAGACTCTCTAGATCCTGTAGTGATCCTAGGTGTACCTCTGCCCCCAGAGATTCCAGCTTTTTCGTTCCGGCATCAGAACGGGAGAGTCCTAGGACCTGATGGCCGGCGCTCAGCAGTTCCTTGATGACGGCTTGTCCAATCCAACCAGTAGCGCCAGTTACGAATGTGCGCATCTTGTCAAAGTTTAGTGGAAATTGAGATGTCTGTATTCAATATTTGAAGGGGCAGTATAAGTGAGAAGGAGAATACCGTTGTCGAGATGTGATGTCGAGACAAGTTTCTCCCTACGACAACGGCACATATTTATATGCCATGAGACCACACACTTTGCTCCCACGACTCGGATGATGCGCGCCATGGTTACCAGCTGGGATCTCAGATCTCGCACTTTATCACGCAAAGTCCGTGTAAATCCAACATTGCGGGCAGGAACCTAGGTATGTGAGACCTTCGTTTTCATTATCGAGGCAAGCAAACTCACTATATATAAAGACGAGAAAGGGTTAGCATCAGATACAACACGAGAGAAGGTTAGCTTATTTTGATAGGCCAATACCAATCATAATTAGACCCGATTGAAAGACAGACCAATCCGTTTGTCCATAGTTACATGAGAAAGCTTGGCAGAGGGTGCACACATGTCGCGCGCGCACACGAACCGTAGTATAAACGATATTTTTACCTATTACCGCCGCATTATCCCTCTATAATATATAAAACTATAATATATAATAGAAGAAAGTTAGTATAACTAATATATAGTACTATAGATCTTTAATATTCTCTCTATATCCTTCTAGAGCGCCTTAAAATCTAGGAGTATATAGGTAGCTAGAGCTAAGAATCTCTCTCTATAATCTACTCTCTTTACTCTTTTTCTATAATTTTAGAGATATTATAGGTAATTTAAAGTAATAAAAAGAGTATAGATATATTCTTAGGGTTATTTAAGATTAGTATATAGTAGTATTTATAATTATAGAGGTATAATATAGCGGTAATAGTTAAAAATGTCGTTTATACTATGGTTCGTGTGCGCGCGCGACATGTGTGCGCCGTCTGCCAAGCTTTCTCATGTAACTATGGACAAACGGATGGAAGGAATTCGCCGGCTCGGACTTAGGACATAGCATCAATCCTTACACTAACCCTCTCTCGTGTCCACTGACAGATCCTCCTCGCAACATGCTACTTTCGAAGGCAAGTTACTGATACTCACGATTCATTATTCGGTTCTTGTCGCTATCATGGGATCAAAAGAGATCATACCGCCAGCCCGCGCGCCGAGAAAGCGAAAGCCCTATCAGCGATCCCGTAAAGGCTGCGGTAACTGCAAATTGAGAAGCGTCAAGGCATGATAGTATTGTACCATGAGGCTATTCTAGCTAATTATCCCTTAGTGCGACGAGACTAAGCCGCAATGTTTGAAATGCAACGTCTATGGTGTTGTCTGCAATTATGCATCGACAATAGCAGACCTCCAAGCGCCCACTCAAGGAGTAGAGACCTGGAAGCTCTCAAATCAGACCAATGGCTACAAGAGGCTATCTAAGATGCCACTGGAGCCTTTACTTCAGATCGCTATCAACTGTGGGACTGGAGCTTCCAGCTTCACGTTGAATGATAGATGTGTGGATCTGATGGAACAATTCCGTGTCACCACCCTGAGAAGCCTTGGTGGACCGAAGTTTGTTGATCTGGGAGAGAGACTGCTTGCTAAATATGCTGTTCAAGTACGCCCTAATTTTCGGACATTATGCTGAAGTAATCTAAAGTCAGATGCAGTATCCTTTCTTTGCGCATACCATACTTGCCGCCACTGCATTACATGAGCGGTACCTGAAGTCTCCAAGAGCGACAACGCAGACTCCTTCTGAATTCTTCCACCAGAACCAAAGCATCAAGCTCTTCAACGAGGCCTTGTCGAGGCCAATCGAGCAGGATGCGAGGGATCCTCTCTGGGCCACAGCTGGCTTTCTTGGCATTGTGACCTTTTCTTCTTTCGATGCAACCTCACCTGAAGAAGCATGGCCATTAAAGCCAAACGACCCCTCCGACCTCGACTGGCTGCGAATGAGCAGTGGCAAGATGGCTGTCTGGAACTTGACTGATCCTTTGCGACCCGACAGCATGTTCCTCGAAGCCGCGCAAGAATACGCACAAGTATTCAGCCCTATCCCTGATCGTGGCATCGTGGGCGTGGACCCTCAGCTAGCAGAGATATGTGAGCTTGACGCAACATCTACAATAAGTAATCCCTATTTTGCTGTTGTTCATGTACTCGCAAGGCAAAGAAGTCTGGAATACGACATGTCAACGAAAGGTCGTTGGCTGAACTTCTTGCATCATATGTCGCAGCCTTTTCGGGCCAAGTTGTTCGAGAAAGACCCAAGAGCAATGTTGCTTCTTGCACTGTGGTATAAAAGAGCTCGGAAAGCTCTTTGGTGGATTGATCGGAGAGCGACAATAGAGACCGAAGCCATCTGCATTTATCTTGAGAAATTCTGTAGAGATGACATTCGTATTCAAAGTCTCATGAGCCGTGAGCTTAAGAGTGAAAGATCTGTTGATCCTTGCCAGTGCAGCGATGAACTCTAGGTTTTTCCAAACCAGAAAAAGTACCTTACATTAGACACGTACCCAGAGATTATTCTCATGCTAACATTGGAACAGCCTTCCGATTTTGGCGCGTTTAAAAATGCGGAGAGCTCGAAGCTCGAAGTCAAAACGTACCTCCTTACAGGCTACGGAGCATCAGTCGCTCGAATCAGACTCCAAACAAACTCAACTACGCCACACTGGCAGTTCCATAGTTCCACATACGGTCAGCCCTGGACGAACCCCCGGGTCAATACCACTACCGCTGAACCCTAATGTAACCGCGCCGCCTTACGTACCGCCTTTTCATGACTCGCCCCCTAGTCAGCCTCAGCCTTGGAATACCTCCCTCCCAGCCCTACGAGGCGTCTTCGGAAAAACACACAATGAAGTCAAGCACCAGTAACAGCGACGTGGAATGACTGCATAATGGCCATCACACTGTACGAACACCTACCCCGCGGAATTCAACAAACCTATTCTGTCTACATGGTGAAATAGGTCACCACCCTCCACATCACCATCCAGACCTACCAATACGCCTTGCCTCCCAAATCGGGACATTGAATCGACCCTGACACCAAGCCCTATGCCACAGACGTCAAAAGTAGCACCGGCGCTATTGGCAGATCAGCGGGATCGTGAATCTCGGGACGGGGTGCCACACGCCCCGTAGGGCGGGACGCCCAGTGCCATTCTGCAAGGAAAATGAGGGGGTGTGCTGCGCGTGTGTATGAGCAGAATCCAGCGTGTGTACGGCGTGTACGTATGAACGGGGTGTACACGGGTGTCCATAATACGCTCGAGTGTATGGGACACGAGCGAGAGGGCATGGGCATGGGCAAGCAAGCAGGCAAGCAAGCCGTTACCACACCGGCGGGCTTGCCGTACTGGTAACGCGCGTGGGATGGACGCGGTGGAATGGATTCCGCCTGCCGGCGTGCTGGTGAGATCCGACGCCGCAGCATGCGCCGTGGGCGCGACTCATGCGTTGTTCTTTGTGATACTGTGTGGGGTTGGCGGTGATGACGGTTCCCTATTCGGGGAATTGGAGAGGCGTTTGGTGATGGGATTTTGTCAATGGAAGCGGCGGGCGGATTGTCGAGGTCGCTCCAGCGGTGCTGCAGGGCATGGCAAGCTGGCAAGCAAGCAGGCAGGCAGGCAGGCAGGTAGGCAAGCCCGCCCCCGTGGGTCTATTGATGCGCGGCACATCTTAGGATTTTTTCGATGGAGGACGTACGACTCGTTACGTTCGTCTGTGCCTCACTGATCACTTTGAAGACCTCGAGTGAACACATCAACTCCCCTTACTTGGCATATTCCAGGGCTGTACAGATCGGGAGAAGTAGTACCGGTATCACGGCAGTTGAGAACCATTGAGATCACGTACCGCATGAGCGGACTCTCGTCAAAAACACTGAGCCGAAACCCCTTGCCGCCATTTCTAAACCTCATGACCGTCCCGTCTACTGTTCCGTTTGCCAGTCATGAGTAGTTCACTAATCGCCTCGATAATTAGGAGCGGTAAACTGAAGATGCTGCGTCTCGTGCGGTTGGAAGGCCGCTCTCATCGAGCTCTACGCTGGGATACTGCTCTTCACGCTGTTCTCTATCGGCCAGCACGGAGCCATTATCTAAGCGGTTACTATGCCATACAAGTATTCAGAGAACTATGATATAGCCGTTTCATCACAGGTCCAACAGCCCGAAATCTTCTACGACCATTCACAACTTCAAAATTACTGATGTGAGTCCTGATCGGCCAATAAGAGCCCGCGGTCCTGGTCATATCAACAGGGGGGGCAGCAAAAGTCGTGGATCGTCTCTCATCAACACTCACTCGTCTTACCCGCCTTTATAGCAGTAGCATTATCCTACTTGAGCTCTACGATCAAAATATTCGATATATACCTCTTACTCTCTATATCATTTCTGGGGAGATCTAAACGTGGTAAAGTATATGATTAGTGAGGCTCTCGCCTAAAAGAGCGACTTTTGCAGCCCCCTGTTGTATGATCCCATGTCAATGAAAAAGGCAAAACACGCTTACTATAACATAAGAATGGAATATATTTTACAGTGGAATTTGTTCGCCGCCTACGTAGAGGACAAAGTGCACGATACACAAAGAGACGATACGGATGTGTGCCATACACCCCTGAGACAACATCCTGGCTCGTCGTAATCTGACAAAGATGTATCACCAATCGAAGTAGAGGCTGTAGAATCTGATAACAACGTCAAATTTTCACACGGCTCTGTAACGCCGGCGTATGTACATATAATACGGCCAAGGTTTATACCACCCCACAAGCAACGCCTTCCCTGAACTTCCCACCTCTAATCGCTCAACTCATTTCCCCTAACGACCTCTTCTCGTGCTTCCTGTGCCTGTCGCGCAAGCAAGTTCAGTGCACTACCTGCTATAATAAACCCACACTGATCAGCACTTAGCGTATGCTTCGTCTGCACCACGACCTCGGAGCCGTCCTTCTTCTTCACCACAAGCTCCACGCTACCCTTGCCGCCACTCTCCAGCGTCTCCCAGAGCCCCCTGGTGCTCAGCTCATCGCAAGCATCGATCTTATCGTAATCCGCCTCATTCGCAAACGTCAATGGGATGACGCCTTGTTTCTTCAAATTCGTCTCGTGAATACGAGCAAAGCTCTTGGCAAGGATGATCCGGCCACCTAGATAGCGCGGTTGCAGGGCGGCGTGTTCTCGCGCACTTCCCTCGCCATAGTTGTGTTCGGCTACGACGATCCACTCGCGGCCTTGATCTTTCCAACGCTTCGCCAGCTCTGGAATACCGGATGTCGTGCCATCGGTGTCATAGGCTGTGTTAGTCTCGCCTGTTGCTGCGTTGACGGCGCCGATGAGGGTGTTTTCGGAAATATTGGGTAGATGACCCTTGTACTTCAGCCACGGACCAGCTGCCGAGATGGTATCGGTTGTGCATTGGCCTTTGACTTTGTATAGCACGCGAAGGTCGGAAAATTCCTGACCGGTTGGATAAGGTGCAAATGGTTCTAGAAGTGCAAGTCTATCAGAGGTAGGAGACACGGCCACATCTACGGTCGGGTCTGGTACGCCGGGCGTAGGCTGGAAAAGTGGGTTTCCATCTGCAAATCCTGCCGATGGTAGCTCGTAGCCAGATGGGGGGTTGAACCGAAACTCTTGTCCATTTGAGGTCGGGATGCTATCAGTCATGGGATTGAATGTTGTACTGCCAGAATAACTCATTGCCGTGACAATCTCCGGAGACGCGAGAAAGTTCATTGTCTTGCGATTGCCATCGTTGCGACCAGGAAAATTGCGGTTATATGATGTGAAGATGGCGTTGTCAGTACCCTTTTCAACACCGTCATTTCGCTTCCATTGGCCGATACACGGTCCACACGCATTTGCGAGTACAGTACCACCAGCGGACGAGAATGTTGACAGTGTCTCGTCTCGCTCAAGTGTTGCACGGATCTGTTCGCTTCCCGGAGTAATAAAGAAATCGGCCTTAGGAGATAGCCCAGCAGCCTGAGCTTGTTTGACAAGGTGTTCGGCACGGGTCATGTCTTCGTATGAGCTGTTTGTACAGCTACCGATCAGTCCAGCACCGAAAGTCTCAGGCCAATTGTTTATAGCGACAGTATCTTTGAACTTCGAAAGCGGAGTAGAAAGATCAGGGGTGAAAGGTCCGTTGATGTGTGGCTCAAGTTCCGACAGATTTATAGTGATGAGTTGGTCATATTCGGCATCGGGATCTGGACGGAGAAGATTTCGAGAAGATTCATATGACGCAATTTCAGCTGCTTGCTTAGCAATGGGACCACGATGAGTAGCTTCTAGGTATGAGATGTGGCCCGGAGAGAAGGGGAAGAGAGAGGTAGTGGCGCCAACTTCTGCTCCCATGTTACAAGCTGTAGCCATTCCGGTACAGCTCAAGGTGTCCACGCCGGGTCCATGGTATTCAATAATGAACCCTGTGCCACCCCTGACTGTGAGTTTCCCAGCCAGGTACATGATCACGTCTTTTGGAGAAGTCCAGCCGCTGAGTTGTCCTTCGAGTCTCACACCTAGGATCTTAGGTGCCTTGAGTTCCCAAGGAGCATCTACTAGGGCATCAACAGCGTCAGCGCCACCTACGCCGATCGCGATGGCACCTAGTCCCCCAGCGTTTGGTGTATGACTGTCGGTTCCCAGCATCATCAACCCAGGTGCCGAGTAGTTCTCCAATACTGACTGATGAATGATGCCCGCACCAGGCGGCCAGAACTCAATTCCGTACTTCTTCGCAGCGCTTTCAAGAAAGTCGAAAACCTCTTTGTTCCCTGCTATCGAATTCGGCAAATCTGTGTCCGCGCCCTTCTCTCCGACTATCATATGATCGCAGTGGACGCTCGCAGGGACAGCCGTAGTGGACATTCCGCAGGACATGAACTGTAAAAGAGCCATCTGAGCTGATGCGTCTTGCATGGCCACGCGATCGGGCTTGAGCTTGAGGTTGGCAACGCCTCGAATATTGGCGCCATTCTGAGTGTTCGTCAAGAGTGATTCTTCAGGGTTGTCCAAATGCGAGTAAAGGATTTTCTCTGCCAGGGTAAGGGCGCGACTTGAGCCCAATACACGGCGGACTTCTGCTAGGCGCTTGAGGAGCTTAGGATACGGCGGCGTGCGAGATGAAATGTCGATTTGAGGAGGGCGAGGGTTTGTGACTGTTGCCAGGCTCCGAATTGAGCTGCTGACCTGTCCTACACATCGCGAGGTTCTCTAGTAGCAAAGCGTCAGCCATCAATTATTTGATGTTGGAGGGTTTCTGGGTGGAAGCTGTGGATTCTTGCACGCGACTACTGTAGGCAATTGATGTTGAAACTTACCAGATCAGCTCGCGAGAGAGCGACACGAGAACCACGGGCGGGTGCGAAAAGTATTGACATGGTGCACCAGATCAGTCGCTGTGATCGCATGCAACCTGGTCCAGCGCTGAACTTTTTTGGGTGTTCGCGATGATGCGAAATCGGAGGTAATTAGAAGCCCTCCGATTGGCCAGGCCCGTGCAGCTCAAAACCGCTTGCATCACAACACAGATATCTTGTCAAAAATTTGGAGTATCAGATGTTTCTTCATTGTTAGAGTCTACCTGACACAGGATTATTTGATTACGCTCTGAGCTAGCAACAACCGGGCTTCAGGTTCATAGCCCATATTCTAAACACAATCTCGACGCCAATGCAATATGAAATGCTGCCGTATGGATCCCACATATACTGATTGGAGAGATATCTGACCTTTCTTCCCAGATTCAGCAAGACTCTAGCACCTGTGAGAGGTATCAGAGACAACAGCACAATGTCAGCATGTGGAGCTTTTCCGTACGCATTTATAGCCCAGGGGGTGGTGGAACCTATTATCAATTAGCAAGCAGACACGGAGAGCCTTAAACACTCCTACGTTGTTGTAACCAGACGGTACACCAGGAGGCGGTGGCGGGGGAGCATCAGATCCGGACGGAGGAGGTGGAGGCGGCGCATCGTTCGAAGGAGGAGGTGGAGGCGCTTGTGAAGTTGCCTGGGTTGGGGTACCACCACTCTGGTCTTGACCTGCTTGCTGGGCATAGTACTGCTGATACATAGCCATGTAATTCGCATAGCCCCCGTAAGCAGCGTACGGATCCTGACCATTTTGGGCGTACTGCTGATACTGTTGGTAGTACTGGGCGTATTGGGCTGCATAGTCTGCATTTGCCGACGAGGGGGTGGCGGTTTGGCTGTTGGGGTCACCTTGGCCAGTCGGAGACTGTTGCGAGCCGTATCCATAGTGATCGCCAGAGTCACGGCCACCACCATACTCACGTCCACCACCCCCGTATCCACCCCGGCCGCCTCCATTCGATTCCCGGTCACCGTAACGTCCGCGAGCGCCGCCACGCTCCTTGAAAGATTCGTATTGCGATTTGACACTTGCTAGGAGATCTTCACAGAGACCTCTTGCGCGCTTGACCTCGTTCGGATCCGGGCCACTATGAGAATCAGTAACGGACAAGCATGACGTCCAAACCTGCACTTACGCAACATGAAGATACATGGGCTCGTCACTTTCTCTTCCGGTGTTTGGCTCCATGAAGCCAGAATTCTGACCCTTGATTTGAACACGGCATCGAGTCTCTTGCTGGATATGTTTCACATATGCTCCCCCATGACCGACAACCTGGGCTCGGAGATTGAAGCCTGGGATCGGCTCTAGATCGATGGGAATGCGCTCCTCCGGCCATTTGCGCTGGGTCAATATATTAGCATGTTGTTCAATCTCGCTTGAGGCAAGGAGACAGACTCGACCCAGTTCATCTCGCTCAAATTGCTCAGGCTCACGACGGCGAAATCTACGCTCATCAACCAGGTTAGGTAGTTCCTGCTGCATCAATTCATTAATCTTAGCGACAGCCTGCTCAAGACCCTCCTTGCTCGTGCTTGTGATATGGAGATACAAAGGTGGAGACTATATAATGTTAGCTTTCTGTTCTGTTTGACCTTGGGTGAGAAGACACTTACAGCAGCAGTGGCTAAAGTCTTATCCGGGTAGTATTCGCCGCGGGTAGTGACATCTTGACACATATAAGTAAGGTTGTCTCTCAAACAATTCTATGGTAGTCAGGTGGTAGCGTACCGGCGCCAGTTTCTTCTTTGATCTAGATGTCACACAGATGCGGTCAGCAGATGCAAAATTGGGGGATGAGCTCGCGAGAAGAGCGGCTAAATGAGCACTGTGGTAAGCTTCTGGACTGATCCCACATGCGTAAAACACATTACAGATACTTCCCACAAGCCCTGAAGTGGGGTCAATGTGACTGAAGGGACAGAGAGTGACAGGGACTGCCTGAAGATCAGTTGTGCAAGATGACAAAATTATTTACCATTTTCTGTGTTGAGCCTTTGGTCAAGGTGTAGCGATTTCGTAAATCATTGACCTCGATGTCGCGGATGAAATCCCCATCTTGCGTGTAGATTTCGTCGCTAACGCCAGCAACGCCAGATGACTTTTTGGCAGCTTCGGTGCTTGCCTGCAAAACACATTTGTTAGTCTGATAGACGAACAGGAATCACGTACGTACTGAGCGGATTGGAGGGACATCGACTGTTTGAATAGCTTTCTTTGCCGCAAGAGACGCGTTGATCCTCTCAGCAGCGGCCTTGGCTCTCGCTGCAGCATCAGCTTTCAGTTGCTCTTTTGAGGGTGTATCAGTCTCTTCTCGCTGGATTGGGCTGCGTTCGCGAATGGGTTCGGAGGTCCTTGAGGATGGAGATCGCGAACGGCGTTCGCGCGTCGGTTTGCGCTCAGTCTGGTCGAAGCGGCCCATGGTGACTGATAGAAGTAGGAATAGAAGAAGACTTTGGGTATCACACTACCAACATCGGCGAAGACAAGCGACGGCGCGTGATCGTGAAGCCGAATCTTCGAGTTGCGGGTAACAGTGAAAGAAGCCCAGGCTAGATGAGTATCTAGGGCCGGCGGAATGCCGACCCGCCTTTATGCGTGATGAAGGCGAGTGGGGACTGCCAAGGCACAGCGGAGCGGAATATCTAGCGCCGACATCGCATAATCCAAGCTCGGATGTGATTCACGTTCTCGGCTTTTTGCTCTCGACTCAACAGATAGTAGCTCGATCTCTGTGGTCAGCGCTGTACACACATCCACGATGGCAACTCGGCGAGCTATACTGGCTCTGCCTAACAGTAGACAACTACTGCGACCCTCTACAAATACCAATTCTCTTACTTGTCTTCAGTCACAGCAGGTGCGAAACTCGTCAAACTCCTCAACACAAGCCCTTGCATACAAATCCCTTCACCGCCGAACCGCACCTCTACCCACCCAAGATACACCATCGTCATGGTCGGCTCCTGCTGCTGTTTCTTCGATTCTCTACGAGACCCCGTTGCCTTCGTCAGCTCCTCCGAAACGACATGTGCTCAACTGTCTCGTGCAAAATGAGCCCGGTGTGCTTTCTCGTGTTTCTGGCATTCTTGCTGCGCGCGGCTTCAACATCGACTCGCTGGTTGTTTGCAACACTGAGGTTGAGGATCTCTCTCGAATGACAATTGTACTTCAGGGACAAGATGGCGTCGTTGAACAGGCGCGCCGTCAACTAGAAGATCTTGTCCCAGTCTGGGCTGTCCTGGACTATACAGCTGCTCCGCTCGTTCAGCGTGAGTTGCTCTTGGCCAAGGTATCGATTCTCGGTCCGGAATATTTCGAAGAATTATTGGCTCATCATCGAGAGATGGTGACCGATAATGGACCGGAGGAGCTGGAAGCCGATGCAGAATCCGCTTCGCAGCTGGGGAATGCACATAGTCTTGCCCAGTCAGAACGCGACTTTCATCCGAGCAAGCTAGCCGTGAGCGAAGCTCTGAGACACAAGCATGAGCATTTAGAAGCAATCACTCACCTGACTCACCAATTTGGTGGAAAGGTGTTGGACATCAGCAATAACAACTGTATTGTCGAAGTTTCGGCAAAACCCAGCAGAATCGAGAGTTTCATGAAGCTGGTTGCTCCGTTTGGCATTTTGGAAAGTGCTAGGACTGGTAAGTCAAAATAGTAATCTGATCTTCTATGGCGATTGACACTTCCTAGGTCTGATGGCTCTCCCACGTTCACCTTTGTACGGATCTGAAGAGATTGATGAGAAGGATGCTCAGGATATTGTTGATGCAAGCACGCTTCCTCCAGGCTGAGGGAAGCTTCCCACAGTCACTCTGCGTTGGTTAATAGGATGGGCGTAGCAACACTGCTGAAATAGTAATGATGTCCATTAAGTCAAATAAAAACTCATTGGAGATTCCGGGAAACATGCTACGTTGTGTGGCGTTATAATTTCACTTGATGTTAGCGGCCTATAAGCCCAGAAAGGCCTCTTCTCACAACGACAGAGAAATACCAGACGAAAACCAGAATGAACCGTTAGAGAGATACACTTTAGTGGGTCGAGCTAAATAGCTAGGGACACTTCTATCTAGGTACTTTTACATCCATGGAGGAGACTCTTCATACCCCACTTAAAGCTGCATTATGAAGTCATGAGGCTTATTTGTATGTATGTAAACCCTGCGACCCCACATGCACTAAAGCTGGGGACTCACAGTTACACAACACGATCAAACTTGTGTTACACAACAACACTGAAGGGTATTGCTCAGGTATAACAAATATACTTACTATCTATCGTTATGGCTCAACGACCATCTTATGGTAGAACAGCGTCCACCAATCTAGGAGGGACAAACAGCCAAAGAGTGCTGGATGGCAAAGTTGCGATTGTGACGGGTGCTTCGCGAGGCGAGTTTTATTATGCCAGATATTCTACGATACCATCATCTAAGTCTCTACAGGTATCGGTGCTGCAACATGCCGCCTTTTGGCTTCTCGCGGTGCCAATCTCGTCATGAACTATACATCCGAAAAGTCCACTGCAAAGATTGAAGAGCTCGCGAAGCAGCTCGAGTCAGACCATGGCATACAGACTACAATCGTTCAAGCCGATATGGGCAGTATCAAGGGCCCAGCTCACGTGGTCGAGACGGCAAAAAACCATTTCTCGCACCCGAAATCGGGCAAGTTTCAGCTTGATATCATCATCAACAACGCTGGAGTGAGCAGCAATCATGCCTTGGCTGACTTGACCGCCGAAGAGCAGGCTGAAGACTTTGCTTTCCAGTACAATGTCAATGTCAGGGGTCCTCTACTGCTGGTCAAAGCTGCAATTCCTTACTTGCCCCATGATCGGTCTGGCAGGATTGTGAATCTGTCTTCCGTGTCAGCTTCTATTGGCTTGCCATCACAGTCAATCTATGGAGGTACGAAGGCTGCGCTGGATGCCATGACGAGGTCTTGGTCTCGTGAGCTTGCTGAACGTGCAACGGTCAACTCCATCAACCCGGGGCCGGTTGCGACAGACATGTACGGAGCGGCGGCGGGGAAAATAGGAGGCACTCTCGGCCACCTGATCAATAACACGCCCTTGATGGCGCTGCGTCCTGATCTGGACGGTGAGGATAATGCTAAGAAATTTGCAGAGGCTGGCACTCGGCCAGGGTGGGATCATGAAATTGCTGGGATTATTGGGATGATCGTCAGTCCAGATTCAGCGTGGGCCACGGGCAGTGTATTCTGCGCCAACGGAGGCATGGTCTTCACTGGAGCTCCATAGGTGTCTCAGTGTACGTATGAGTTGCAATCATTGTAGCTACAATAATGCTTTATGCCTCAGGCCATAACCGGGGGCCGAAGTTGTCTTCAGTCTCTCTTACCCGAGGACAAACTTTGGTTCCAAGCTTGACTTTGCAACGTCAGACCATTATGTTGATGTTCATCTAAGATAAACGGGTACTTATGCCTAATAAACACCAGGTCGCAAAGCGCTCGAGTACGTGGCCGAAGACAGGTCGCTCGTCCTGCAAGATCTGTAACAATCTCGATGCCAAAGGCCATGCAGCGTCTTCGCACGACGCCGAAGCCTTGTCGGGACGTACAATCAGTCTCAGCCTTCCTGTCGACGCACTGCAGCTGAAAAAGTCGCGTGCCGGGTGCAGATTCTGTAGCGTATTGGCGGAGGCACTCGATGCCTTCTTCGTTGACTGGTCGACAGTCAGAGCTCCAATCATCGTGGATTTGGGCTTCAATGTGCCTGTCTGCGCATCGATTCGTCATGTCAGATACGAGGACCAACAGATTGAGATCTACACTTCGCCTGGTACTGACTGGCTTCTGGATTTGTGCTCGAGAAGTCGCTGACAATCGACAGGTGTCCGGTCGCCTTGGCCGTCCATAGGCTCTGCTGCCAGCATACCACTGTCGCCCGATTCTGATGCTTCTTTCGCGTTTGCGCAGCGATGCATTGACGACTGTGTAAGTAAACACACAGTCTGCCAGGAGGCTCCTGCAGCACAGCCAACGCGTTTACTCTACGTCGGTAAAGATAAAGAGAGTCCAATCAAGCTGTGTGAGCTGCCATACAATCGGTTGAAATATGCGGCATTAAGCCATTGTTGGGGACGCGGGCCAAGCATCACTACTACCAAGGCGAATCTGGCAGCACGCAAGAAGTATATTGACTTTGGTGCAATGCCGGCACTGTTCCAAGATGCAGTCATCATCGCGCGTAAGTTAGGCATTGGCTTCCTGTGGATAGATGCTCTCTGCATCATCCAAGATTGCCGCGATGATTGGGAAACGGAATCTGCAAACATGATGAACATATATCGCTGTGCACACATCACTATATCTGCTGTGCATCCACAGAGTAGCGATGAGAGGATATTTGCGCCGCGCAGAAAGCCGATCGTGCTGGAGTATAAGAATACGCAGGGCAAGTGTACGTATCTACGCGCCCGCAAACTTGACCGGCACCACCCTGACCTGGGTGAGAGTCGACCTGCAAGACCTCACGGCCCATTAATGTCCCGAGCTTGGGTCTTGCAAGAGCACCTTCTCTGTACCCGCATCCTCCACTATACTGAAACCGAGCTTGTCTATGAATGCCGGAAAGTGTGCCGTTGTGAATGCACGTCGACGTGGAGAGGATGTGTCACCACCCCAGGTTTGCTATCCAAAGTGCCGAAGAGTGAAGCTTGGGATGTTTGGCACCGTATAACAGCGCAGTACTCCTTGCGCAAACTCACTGTTCCATCAGACAAGCTTCCGGCCATTTCCGGAATCGCCCAGAACTTCCGCTCGTGTATCAACGCCAAAGACTCGGACTATCTCGCTGGGCTCTGGAAGTCGAATCTTCCCCAGGGGTTATTGTGGTCATCAGATTCGAGTCTATCAGCGCCAGTCTCCACACTCAGACTATCGACATATCGTGCACCAAGCTTCACCTGGGCGTCTGTTGACACGCAGATCAGATACACGCATAGCGCAGATGAAGACTTGATCTCGAATGTCAGAATCGTGTCCGCGTCTTGTACCATGCGTGGAATGAACCCATTCGGCGAAGTATCTTTCGGTTGTATACAGTTAGAAGGGCAGTTGATAGAAGGTTCACTTTCAGCCCCGCACGAGCATGAATTTGAATATGCCTTACAGCTGCAGAATTCTTTGACGACGATCAAAGTGGCCCCTGATACCCTACTCGTCGTATCTGCGCGACTAGGCGAAGCAGACGAAAGCTATGAGACCGTTACACGGGGCGGGCCGAGTGATGTCTACAGCCCATTCGATCGGGTCGGTGTTTGGTGTCTGAATTTAGTCAGCTCTTCTCACGAGTACGTATCTGGTCTCGTCCTCGCCCTCTCTCCACGGACGGCGGGGGCATATGAACGACTGGGCACGTTTTCGTGTGGACATGAGTACTTCAGTGGTGCGCAGAAGCGCAAGTTGAACCTGGTTTGATGACTGGATAGTTGTATTAGACGGGCGACAATCATGGAAATGGAAATGTCTGCATTTGCTAGATGCCTGATGATGCTCTACAGCGAGGAGTCATGCATCATCGACGCGCCCAGGGCCAACCAACGATGTTTTCTGGTTGCGCCGAATCAGCCACCAGCTTTGAAGCTGACCCGACCGAGGACCCCTAGCAGACGGGAAGCATGGATGGGCATGCATGTCGTTCAAAAAATATTGAACGATGGATGCCATGCTTGTCGTTTCGTGTATCCTCGTGTCGCCTCATGTAACTCGGCAATTCAGCCTGCCGGCCTCCAGCTTCCCATCCACGACGGAATCACGATTCTCCACAACTGAATTACAATCGCAATATATCAATTTCTAAAAGTCCATCCAAGTATCAGGACAAGCAAGAACACCAACCGATGTTACGATGACCATGATGTAGCTCGACGCGTTCCGGGAGAAGTTTGAGTGGTGCAGGGAACACGGTGTCGCCAATACGAGCTTGTCACCGCCCCAAGAACCCCCTGCACTACGTTCAGCTTTGATAACCTGGAGGCTCGAGCGACACTAACGAACCCCCTGGACCACATCCTCTCCAAGGAGCAAGTCGGCCCTCAGACTTTGTGAGATAATATACAGTCAGGGCATTGCGAATGATGTACTGTAGAGCGAGCATTGCATCGCGTCCTGTCTGTCCAGACCGTTGTCTCACGCCACAAATTGCCAGACATTCAGCGCATCCATCCCTGAATTACTGAGATGCTATTGCAAACCTAACACGATCCGCCGTCGCTCGTCTCAAAGACTTAGTTAGATAGTCCAGCAATTTCTAGGGGTTGTGCGGCATCATCTAACGATACTATTGTGTCGCACATGCTCCAGCTAGCCACGAAGCCGACTGTATATACCCGCACTATATCGTACACTCGGAATGTCTACCGAATCAAATCCATGCACAAAGTCGTGCCAGCGCCCAGTCCATGGCCGCAGACGGGGAACGATCGTGTCCGCGTCCAGGCCCCTCTCAGCACCAACGCTCAGCCCCACGTCAGCTCGTGCACAATTCCGCCGCTGGTCCTCAAGTCTCGATCCCCAACTTTGTCTTTCTCCACATACGCGTCCTTGTCTGGATGAAATCATCAACCATACCTCTGGTCTATGCGAACGTGGATGGGAGTGGTGATGAACCAAGATAGATGCCATGACGCGCTTGCTGTACCATACTCTCGTCGCTCTCGCAGCGGTGCAATACTCGTTACAGCAGGCTCGGGACCCTGTGGGAGATTTCTGTAGAAGGTGCATAGATCCGTGCTCTTGCGGCCATCAGATGAGTCGAACGCTCACTTTCCTTTAGATTCGGTCATCAGACGACCATCATCGGCCAACGACTATATATTGATGGTCAGTTGTCGACGCCCGGCGCTTGAACCCTACTGATATCCGTCTAGGTGGTGAAGTCGTCTGGAATAGCGACAGTCCCAAGACTAACCAGACAAGTGTGTCATCAAGTGGCCATCGACAGCGGGAAACTGACTAGGATACAGACAAATGGCTGTTGTACAATGACTTGGCGGACATTGAAAATGGCATGCCCCAGCTGAAGGACGACTTGTCAAAGGATGCGACCGTGCCAATCGTATCCGGCGGTATTCTCTGGAGCGACGCCGGCAACCAGACGTTCTACCAGTTCGGCGGAGAGTTTGCGGACTCGGATCAGGTGGAAGAATCGTCGGTATGGATGTACAATATCACGTCCGACCGCTGGACATCGCCGGATAGTCCGTTGCCTGGAGTTCCCGAGAGACTTGCTTGGGGGGCCGGAACCACAATCCAGGACCGCTCCGAGGGCTACTTGTTTGGTGGTTGGCAGAACAATCTTACCACGCCTGATTGGGGGAGTAGAGCACCAGAGGCGTCCAGCCGGATGCTGAAGTATCTCATCGATGAGAACCGATGGACCAACAGCTCAGGACCAGATGACATTGGGCGTGCTGAGGGCACGATGCTGTACCTACCAGCCTCGGATGCAGGCCTCCTCGTCCACTTCGGCGGCGTCCTCGACTCTTTCCAGAATGGCACCATCACTGGCGCCAACATGTCCGATATCCACATCTTTGACGTCCTCAGCCAAAAATGGTATCTTCAAACCGCAACGGGTGATGTGCCAGAAAGCCGGGGACGGTTCTGTGCCGGGGTGACTTGGGCGTCGGACCGGTCTTCGTACAATATTTACATGTATGGAGGTCTCTCGCCGACGGGCTCCTCGTTTGACGATGTCCATGTCCTCAGCCTACCGTCCTTTCGATGGATCAAATGGTGGGGCGCGGAGCCTGGCGAGGGCCATCCGCATCATTCTCTGAGCTGCAATGTGGTCAACAATGCGCAGATGATCATCATCGGCGGAACCTTTCCCTACGAGTCGGACTACTGCGATGCTCCCACCATTTGGGGGACGCATAACTTGAAAATGGGCGGTGGAAACGACTGGATCGAATGGGCGCCATTCAACGAATCGCTGGATGAATATCAGGTCCCTAGCAATATTACAGCAGTGATAGGTGGCGGGTACGTTGACCTCCTTTTTCGTCATCACCACATATTCCCTAAGCTAACAATTGCATCGTAGCCCAACCGGCGGCGCAACACTCACCGCCCCAGTCTCGTGGTCCAACCAAGACCTCCCAGTCTACTTCACCCTCAAAATCACACCTTCCGCCAACCCAACCGCAATACCCCCCACCACATTCCCCTTCCCCAACTCCTCCTCCGCGCCATCCACCGCCACAATCGTCGGCGCCTCCATCGGCTCCGCTGCCGCCCTCTTCATCATCATCGCCCTCATCTGGTACTTCCGCCACCGCGCCCACACCCGCACCACCAAAACATCCTCATCAAACACCACGCCCCCCGAACTCCCCACCTACCCTGCCCGCTACACCCCCGCCATCCCCGTCCACACATACCCCTACAACACCAACAACACCACCACCATCACCAGCCCCGCCGCCGACGGCAACATGTACGTCATGCCCAGCGAACTCGACTCGCCCCACCACACCCATCTCGACCGCAAAACTACCCCCTTTGTCGACCCCGGCACGCATCCCGCCCATCTGATGAGCGAGCATCACCTGCGCCCCGTCGAACGCGACGTCGATGGTCCGGGTGGAATGACGCCGTATAGCGATGAGCTGGGCAGTACGCTTGGTGGTGAGGGCACCATGCGCTCTGGCAGTGTGCCGGATGCGACGCTCACGCAGACGGGCGGGCATGGGCAGTGGGTTTGGCGCTCGCCGGGGTCGCCTGGGAGGGGGTAGTGGGCAGGTGGGCAGGTGGGCAGGCAACTGGGGACTGTGAGGGTTTTTTGAACGGATAGGTGTGTGTGTGTGTGTGTGTGTGTGTGTGTGTGTGTGTGTGTGTGTGTGTGTGTGTTCATGCGTGTGTATGTATGTCAGCCATTGTGAGTTGCGAAACGGCGTTGTCTGGCGTTGTGAAAATGCGGCTTATGGGTGTTTTTCGGGATGTGTTTTTTTTTCGGGGGCTACTATCACATCACATCACACATCACATCATGTTACGAGACGATACGAGCTAGATATACCATTAGCATAAGTAGTTCTTAATAAGTCGGCTTTTTTTTGTCAGTCGTTCGTCTATCTGGTGCATGTGTATTTATGTAAGGTTAATGGAAGAGGGAAGGGGCAGATGGGTTTCTATGTATCCATGTATCTATCCATCTATCTATGCAACCAGTCATCTACCAAGTACATACGATATATGAACAGGACAAGACACGCCATAACAAGACGAGACACAACCCACCACACACCACAGACATATGCAGATAGACAGCCAGCCAGACAGACAATAAACACACAACGCCCAACGGGCCCCCCCTTTGGGAATATAGCATTCAACAAGTCCCAGATTCCTTTAGATTTTATAGGTTCTGGGGGATCAAGTTGGGATTTGGGATACTGACTTGAGTTTTACTTAGGGGAGGGTACTTGGGATTTCAAAGGTTTCAGATCTGGATTAGATTTGGGGTACTTTAGAGGTTTTTGGAGGAGAGTGGGATGGGGGGAGGGGCTTGTGTGTACGTAGTATCTACCTACCTAGTACCTACCTACCTACCTACCTACCTACTTAGCTAGTATGTGAAAAATTAGCATGACATTTAAGGAGGAGGAGGAGAAGGAGAGGTAGGTGCTGGGTGGTATGTTGCGGTTGTGTTGGGGGTGTGTGTTTGTGTTTATGATGTTTATGACTGCCGTGCTTATAACTGCTGTGTTTGTGTTGTATGGTTTAGGCATAGGTGGAGTATATGCCATATATGCCATACCATGCCATACGTGCCATTCATTCCGTGCCATACCATATGTGCTACTCCATTCCATACTATATCATTACATTCCCTTCCCTTTCCTCTCTTCTCCTCTCTTCTCTTCTCCTATAGTTATACTACCAAGTAATAAATCCTACCTATATCGGTAGACTCTAGATATACCCCCTCCTCCTCCCTCTCCTTACCCCCTCCTTACTCCCTCTCTCCCAATCCCTCTCCTCATCCCCCCTCTCTCCCCTCACCCCTCCTTACCCCTTCAGCCTCTCCTCTCACCC